TGGTGGTTGGGTGTCGACCCATGCACCAAGAGGTCGCCGGTTTGATTCCCCGACAGGGCACATGCCCAGGTTGTGGGCCCGATCCCCAGTGGGGGCATGCAGGAGGCGGCCAGTTGATGTTCTCGCTCATCGATAAAAAAATCAATAAAGAAAAAAAATTAAAAAATAAATAAATAAAAATGTTTTCAGCCCTGACCAGTTTGGCTCAGCGGTTAGAGCATCAGCCCGCAGTTCAGAGAGACCCGGGTTTGGTTCCCGCTAAAGGCATGTAACTTGGTTGCAGTTTGTCCCCGGCCCTGGTTGGGGTCGTGCGGGAGGCAGCCACTCGATGTGTCCCTTTCATGTCAATGTTTCTCTGTCTCTCTCTCTACCTCTCACTCTAACTGAACAAAAATGGAAAAAATCCTCGAGTGAGGATAAAAAAAGAAAACTGTTTTTATTATGAAGTATGTCACAAGTACGGAAAGGAGTATAAGATGTGTATGCCTAGTTTAAGGAGTCATAATAGGAAGAGAATAAGGGAGGGGAAACAAGAGGTACTGGACTGTGCTGTATACAGCTGACCCTTGAGCAGTGTGGGGGCTAGGGGCACCAACTCCCTGCACAGCTGAAAATCCAGATAACTTATAAAAATAGTTTACTGATTTTAGAGAGAGAGTAAAGGAAATATATATAGAGAGAAACACTGATGTGAGTGTAACGCCATTGGCAGCCTCCCACATGCCCACTACTGGGGATCGAGCTCGCAACCCAGGCACATGCCCTGACTGGGAATCAGACCGGCAACCTCCGCATGCATGGGAGGACACCTGACCAACTGAGCCACACCGGCCAGGGCCATATAACTTTTTTTTTTTTTAATCCTCACCCGAGGATATTTTTCCATTTATCTTCAGATGGAGAGGGAGGGAGGGAGGGAGGAAGAGAAACATCGAAGTGAAAGGGACACATTGACTGATTGCCTCCCGCATGACCCCAACCAGGGCCGGGGATGAACCGCAACCGAGGTACGTGCCCTTGACCAGGATCGAATCCACGACTCACTGGCCTGCAGGCCGGCGCACTAACCGCTGAGCCACAGCAGCCAGGACGCCATGTTTTTGACTCTCCAGAAACATAACTACTAATAGCCTACTGTTGACCATAAGCCTTACTGATAACAAAGAGTCTATTAACACATATTTTGTCTATTATATCTTTCATATGCTGTTTTCTTACAATAAAGTAAGCTAGAGAAGAGAAAATGTTATTAAGAAAATCATGAGGAGGAGCAACAGTACTTATTGAAAAGATCCACGGATAAGGGGCTGCACAGTTCCTACCTGTGCTGTTTAAGGATCACCTGTAGTTGGAAATTTGCTAAGAGGGTAGATCTTTTTGTTGTTGTTGTTATTATTATATTTCTTTTTTTTTAACTTTTTTATTAATTTATTTTTGTTACAGATGTTTCTCCTTTTTTTCCCCAGACCCCCCTCCTCCCCATCCCCCCCCAATACCCGGCTTTGCTGTCCGTGTCCATCGGTTATGCGGACATGCATATAAGTTCTGTGGTTTATCTCTTCCCTCCCTAAGAGGGTAGATCTTATGTCAAGTGTTTTGTCATAAATAAAAACAGTGAATTAAGAGGGCAGTAGGAAACTTATCTCTAGACTCATCAAGTTGTATACATTAAGCATGTACAGCTTTTTGTATGTCAATCATACCTCAATAAAGTGGTTAAAAAAAAAAGGAACCACCACCACAGAGGACCCCAGGGCGCCCCGTTCACAACCGCTGCTCCTCAGAGGTGACTAGTATCCTGACCTTTAGGTCAATCGCTCCCTCCTGTGTCTTTTGAATTACCTTCCCTGCTGCGCTCTCTGAAGGGAACATTGTTTCATTCTGAAGAGCTGAGCAGCCAGTGCAAACCCCACTGTGCAGGGCCAGGGAGACAAGGTCCCCACGGGATCGGCACGCTGGCCGAGGAGCCTGAGCAGGGTCCGGCTTCAGCTTGCTGAGGGCCCAGGGCTCCTCGGAGGACACGTGGCAGGGTGTAGTGGGAACCAGGTGTGACCTGTGCAGCACAAACACGGTCGGAGGGAGAGCTCTGGCTTTCCTGCCTCCAGACTCACCCTGGCTGCTGCAGGCTGAGAAGTCACCGTGTCTGAGGTGCAGTCAGTGTGCCCAGGTGCTCTGAGAGCGAGGTGTCGGCTTCTTCACTGAGCCGATAGGACCAGCCAAGCACAGAGAAGTGGGCCAGGCACATCTTGGATCCCTGGTCTTCACATTCAAACGACTGTAGGAAGGTGGTCAGTTGCCACGTGAATATAACCCTTAACGTGTCTTTCCTGAATCACTGCTGCAGCCTGGACTGGCCGCCCTCGAGGTCTGGAGCAAAGCCATCCTCCCCGAGGGCTTCCTTGTCTTCCCTCCTGTGCGGGACCCTCTGTTCCGTGTCTTCCTTTTTCCTTGCTTTACACACTCCTCCTTTCGCTGGATGTTCTGATCTGGACTCAGTACGAACTATTAAAGCAGTCTCCGAAAACTAGGAGGATCAAGAATTGAACCTGGAACCTGGGTTTGCCCTGACACGCCCTTGGAAAACCAGCAGGAAGAAGTAAATGGAAAATCTGAGGTCCTGGGTGCAGGTGCAGATTCGTGTGTGTGTATTTCTTTATTTTTTATTTTTATTTTTATTTATTTATTTTTATCCTCACTCGAGGACATTTTTCCATTTTTTGTTCAGATAGAGTGGGAGGGAGAGAGAGAGAGAGAGAGAGAGAGAGAGAGAAACATCGATGTGAAAGGGACACATCGAGTGGCTGCCACCCACACAACCAACCAGGGCCGGGGACAAACTGCAACCGAGGTACGTGCCTTTAGCGGGAACCGAACCTGGGTCTCTCTGGACCGCAGGCTGACACTCTAACCACTGAGCCAAACAGGCCAGGGCTTTCTTTCTTTTTTAAAATTTTTTTCCTTTATTGAATTTAGAGAGAGAAGGAAAGGGAGAAAGAGACAGACACATCCATGAGAGAGAACACTGATTGGCTGCCTCCTGCATGCCCCCCACTGGGAATCGGGCCCACAACCTGGGCATGTGGATCGAACCGGTGACCTCTTAGTACATGGGTTGATGCTCAACCACTGAGCCACCCTGGCCGGGCTGTGTGTGTGTGTGTTATTTCTAACACTGGTGCAACCAGAATTTTAAGGCCTGGAACCTGGACATCAGACCCAGGCAAGGGGGCTCCCCTCATAGCAGCAGTTCAGCCTCATAGGACAGTGTACGTTGTTTCGGGGTGCTGAGGAGGCTGGGGGTACGGGAGGCAGCGAGTCCTCATCTCTGTTCCTCCATTGGGCGGTCCCTTCGCTCTCCAGGGCTGACTACACATGCCTCTGTTTTTCACAACCTCAAAGTTCACTGACTGGCTACTTTGTAGGATTCTATTACCAGCTGATTGAGTTCAAAGAAGAGAAATGGTACACACCACTTACTAAAGATGCTTATTATTACAAGTCATACTAGTTAATGAAGGCAGAACATTTCAGTAGTTCCTCATGAGACATGACACATAAGTCCACTTCCTGCCAAAGAAGCCAGGAGAATGTGAAAGAATAACAAAGGCTTTAGAGTTACCAGTCTTGAATTTGAATTCCCAGATGCCACTTAGCTCTGACCAAGGACAAGCTCTCCGAGATTCAGTTTTCTCAAATATAAAAAATGAAGCTACTGCAAGTCCCGTTGATTTATAAGTCCCCCTTCCTCCTCTTCCCCATCTCATGCCACCAGGCAATAACGACCAAGCCAGACATTTTGTGTTGAAATGCCGATGCTGCAAACCTGTGCCATGCAAGGTGTGAATTAAAGTGGGCACAGGTAAGTTCATCTTTTGTTTGCTTGCTTGTTTCTAATCCTCACCAGAGGACATGCTTAGAGTGAGGGAGAGAGGGAAAGAGGGCGGGAGAGAGAGAGAGAAGAAACATGGATGTGAGAGAGAAACATCAATCGGTTGCCTTCTGCATGTGCCCCAACTGGGAAATGACCCCGAAACCTAGGTATGTGGCCTGACTCGGAATCAAACTAGCGTCCTTTCGGTGCACAGGACGACACTCAACCAACTGAGCCACACTGGCAGGGCAGTACGTTGATTATTTTTTAATCCTCACCCGAGGTCATTTTTTTCCATTTATCTTCAGATAGAGTGGGAGGGAGGGAGGGAGAAAGAGAGAGAGAGTGAGGGAGAAACATTGATGTAAAAGGGACACATCGATCGGTTGCCTCCCCTTGACTGGAATTAAATCCACAACTCTTTGGTCCTCCAGCTGCGCTCCAATTGCTGCGCCAAACTGGCCAGGGCAATACGTTCATTTTTAATAAATGAACCTAAACTAGACTACAAACTATAATCCAAAAAAGGAGTGGAGATTCTTAACATTCTTTCCACATCCAAGTTCTCAGAGAGCTGAGAATAAAGTGGATAAAAGCCCACATGAAGTAGGTGCTCAAGTGTGTTTGCTGAGTCAATCAGCTCTCCATCCCATTTTCAGGTAGGACTTTTTTTTCCCATTTTTGTTCAGATAGAGTGGGAGGGAAAGAGAGAGGAGAAACATCGATGTGAAAGGGACACATCAAGTGGTTGCCACCCACACAACCCAACCAGGGCCGGGGACAAACTGCAACCGAGGTACGTGCCCTTAGCAGGAACTGAACCCAGGCCTCTCTGGACCACAGGCCGACGCTCTAACCGCTGAGCCAAACCGGCCAGGGCTCAGGTAGGACTTTTAGTTTAAAAAGCAGATTTCCTTATACGCTACAAAGTAGCATTTCCATAGCTCCCTGAACTTGGCTACTTCCCTCACCCAGTATGTCCACTGCTAAAGTTCTCAATTATTGTGAAATTCATCTGTCTTTCCACAATACTAATTTCAAGAAAGTTCAAGCCAGTGACACTTCCTGGAATATCAAAAGAAAAACCCATTGTGCACTTACCAGACTCACTCCTGGCCAGTCAGGGTGGGAGAGCAGGTTTTCCTGTCTGTGCAAAAGAAGAGAGTAATTAGAATTTCAGTTGTAATAAATATATATAATCTCCTCCTTAAAGCTTTTATTCTAGAGAACGCTCGTGTGGCCAAGCTCTTGGGAACAGTTTCCTCTGAGCCCACACAGGGGCTCCCCAGCCAGGGAAAAGTATTGCTACAAGGACTCCAGGACTAACTAAATATCAATGAAGCCCCATCTCCAAAGCTTTGCTGGTTTATCTTTCTGAGCCTTGAAGTCCCAGGTAGACACCTGGGGTGGAAACAAAGTAAAATCTCCATCAAATCTCCCTAGTGTTCGGTTCTTACAGGACACCGCACCGGCCTCAGGCTATTTGAACACTTTCACCCAAAAGATGGGTATCAGATCAAACCATACAATTTATATCAACAATATGAACGACAAAATTTAAAAAAGAATTGAAGCGAGTCCTATGTGCCATTTTCTCCATTTGGCCACGTAGTGGGTAATGTGGCTTTCAAGACCATGAACATGAGGAACAAGCCTTTGTTATGTTTAAAGAACTAGGCTCCTCCATGTGTGTCTCGAGACAGTTCGAAGACTTCTGTTTGCTGATAAACCGATGTGAATCCAGTTTGCAAAAGCAGATTCTGATATCACATCTAAAATGCACAACACCTTTGCTGACAAAGAAAATAAAAAAGCCACAACCAAGCAACAGAGCACGGACTGCCGAGAAGCCTGGTCAGGGAGCACCCCACCCACCTCACACCCCAGGAGACGCAGCATCAGACCTGCAGGTCCCTGGTTAATCTCCAAACTCTTTATTCCTTAATAATTTGCCAGGAGAGACTACTGAAATGATGTTATCCATGCTGTTCAACCAGTTCCCTGGTTTCAAGGACGTACTCTTGGTACCTGGGAGGCAGGACACTGTAACTGTTGAATTTTAAAATGACAGGCTGGAGCTGCCAGGGATGCATTTCAAATGTTTAAGTTTACACCGTCCTGTGCCATGATGATCACCTCTGCCAAGAAATAACATGCGGGATAGCTGTCTTTAGAGTCCTTGATGTTATTCATAGTGTTTTGTTTTGATAACATTTGCTCAGGCCATTTTAATAGTTGGGGGTGGGAGGAAGGAAAAGTGAAATTTTTGTGTATGATTTTAAAAAATTACCTAGCCTTTCTTTAGCTTTAGTGAACTATGAAATGCAAAGGCCTTATTTTTGTAGTTTTATTTTTAAAAAAGTTCCCAATGCTAACTGCTTTGTGCCATTAGGTGATTCAGTTGTGCAATTAAAAAGTTTTGGAGCCCTGGCCGGTTTGGCTCAGCGATTGGGGCGTCGGCCTGCAGGCCAGAGGGTCCCGGGTTCGGTGCCCTGAGCGGCACCGAACCGCTTAGGGCACGCACCAAAAAAAAAAAAAAGTTTGCCCTGGCCGGTTTGGCTCAGCGGTTAGAGCGTCGGCCTGTGGTCCTGAGAGACCTGGGTTCGGTTTCCGCTAAGGGCGCGTACCTCGGTTGCAGTTTGTCCCCGGCCCTGGTCGGTTGTGCGGGTGGCAGCCACTCGATGTGTTTCTTTCACGTCGATGTTTCTCTCTCTCTCTCTGTTCCTCTCTCTCCCTCCCACTCTACCTGAACAAAAAATGGAGAAATGTCCTCTGGTGAGGATAAAAAAAAAAAAAAAAAAGTTTTGGTCTTGCCCTGATCTGTTTGGCTCAGTGGTTAGAGCATCGGCCTGCGGACCAATGAGTCTCGGGTTCCATTCCGGTCAAGGGCACATATCTCGGTTGCCGTTCATCCTCGGCCCCGGTTGCGTTGTGCGGGAGGCAGCCAGTCGATATGGCTCTATCACATCAATGTTTCTGTCTCTCTCTCTCTGTCCCTTCCACTCTATCTGGTGACAAACAGAAAAATATCCTCAGGTGAGGAATAAAAAAAAAAGTTTTGTTCTTGTGTGTGAAGTGCTATAGATGTCACAATGAATAGGGACCCTCGTGGAGAATCTCAGTCGGGTACTTAAACAGAGCTGATCTAACATAAGAGCCATAGTCCAGGTTAGCACAAAATGCAGAGAGAGGGACAGGACCAAGCTTTTCAGAAATCTCAAGCCCAGAAGTGGGCCCTGTGTTTGGGTGGCAGGAAGGAGGCATTCTGGGGAGTGGACATTGTGAGCAAAGGTCGAAAGGACATGGGTTTCATGGGGACAGCAATAAATTCAGTTGGGGGAGAAGGGGCGGGGCAGGTACCACAGGGATGACATCAGATTGCAAAAGTCCATGTGTAATTAGACTAATAAGTTCAGGCTGCTGACGCAGGTTAAGCCGAGGATTTTGGGAAGGCAGCCCTGCTTCCAGTGTGCGCGCGATGGGAACAGATGACCTAGGAGGCCGAGTAAATGTTACGAAAGGTGACGGCGGCCTGAACGAGGTCAGTGTCTGTTGGAATAGTGGAAGGGACGCATGTCAGACACATTTCTAAATAATAAACGACTGGTTACCAGCAGCAGAACTGACGACGACTCCGAGTTCTAGCGTGGGTGATGAGTTCCGTGGGGGTAAGAGCAGGTGTTAGGATAGAGGAGGAAGGGAAGCTAATGAATTTGAGCTTTTCCATCTTCAGACTTACTGTGCTCGTGGGAGATGGAATGTCCTCAGCTGTAATAGAACATGGACTTTTTACCGCCACACCTAAGAGAGAGTTCTCTGGAACAAACATTGCCCAGTGTTTCCCACCTCTTCTCAGGGGCAAGGGCTGACCACATGCTGTTTAAGGAAACCCCAGAACGTTTTAATTTTCCCTTCGTTCACAATCATCTACCTCGAGGACAAGATCCAGACTTGGTTTTTCTCCTGGTGTTGCCTCTCGGCAGTCCTGTGCACCCTCCTCAAACCCCTTCCTGAGCCTCGTGATGCTCTGTTTAGATGTCTGACTCCTTCTGTGAGCTCCTTGGGGAAAAAAAAAATTCTTTCATTTACCTCATTTGCTTCTATGTATTAGTACTTTCCCCATTTTATCAATTACTTTCTTTTTTCTTTAATGTTTTCATTGATTTTTTTAGAGAGAGAAAAAGGGAGATAGACACATCGATGTCAGAGAGAAACATCAGTTGGCTGCCCCTGCACGCCCTCTACTGGGGATCAAACGGCAACCCAGGCATGCTCTTACTGGGAATCAAACCGAGACCTCTCAGCCCATGGGATGATACTCAATCCACTGAGAAACACCGGCTGGGCTCAGTTACTTTCCTTTTTAACATTAAAAAAAAAATCCTCACCCGAGGATATTTTTCTATTTATCTTCAGCTAGAGTCGGAGGGAGTGAAGGAGGGAGATAGAGGGAAACATTGATGTGAAAGAGACACATCGACTGGCTGCCTCCTGCATGACCTGACCAAGGCTGGGGACGAACCACAACCAAGGTATGTGCCCTTGACCAGAATCAAGCCCGAGACTCATTGGTCTGTGGGCCAACGCTCTAACCGCTGAGCCAAACCGGCCAGGATTCAATTACTTTCTTAAAAGTAGCATAATTGGGGGTGGTGAACACACAATATAGTGTCCAGATGATGTGTTGTAGAATTCTTTCCCTGAAACCTGCAGAATTTTGTCAACCAGTGCGACCCCAATAAATTCAGTAAAAAGGAAAAAAATATATTCTGACAAAAAAAGCAGCATAACAATTTGTGTAGGGCGAGGTGGAGTGGAAATCGTGGAAGAAAAGCCTCGGTGAGCAAACCCACCTATGCAGCCTCAGAAGGCACCTCGAGTGAGGAAAGAGATCCAACACGACACAAGTCAAACCCTGTGGGAAGCATCAATGAAGGACCCGTCAGAGGTGCCCAGATGCCAGCATGAAAGGGTTCCCGAACTGGCCAAATCTGGGGCAGTTGAACGCCGTATAAGGGTAGTAATGGGTAACAACACACTGAAAACATGGCAGTGCCTGAGTTTGATGAGAAATGGACCATTAGTTTCCAATACCTCCCTAAGGAAGAAAGTAACCTTACAGTACAAGAAGTGGGCAGAACCACCTTAATCAGGTGATCAAAGTGGACATCAGGAGCAGCACAACTTGAACTCATGTGCCTCCTGACAGGATGCAGTGAGGACTCAGCATCACTTCATGAAATTCCTCCCAGAGGAGTGTGACTTGAGTCTCATCGAGAGGAAACCTCGGATAAATCCACACGGAGGTGCTCTGCAAAGCAGCTGGCCTGTATCCTTTACAAGTGTCAAAAGTCAAGACAGAGGAGCTGTTCCAGACTTTAAGGAAATTAAAGAGAAACCGCAACCAACAACAATAGGTGCCCCTCACCTGCAACCCTTGGTTGTGAAGGACACTAGGGACCACTGGGGAACAGGATGGAGCCTGAGGAGGAGCCGGTGGCAGTGCTCACTGCTCGTTCCCCGCCCGATGGTGGGCTACGCAGGGGAGTATCTTTTTTTTTAATCCTCACCTGAGGACATTTTTGCGTTTATCTTCAGATAGAGATAGAGGGAGAGAGGGAGGGAGAGAGAGAGAGAAACATCGATGCGAGAGAGACACATCGACTGGCTGCCACCCACACAACCCCAACTGGGGCCGGGGACAAACTGCAACCGAGGTACGTGCCCTTAGTGGGAACCGAACCCAGGTCTCTCTGGTCTGCAGGCCGACACTCTAACCACTGAGCCAAACCGGCCAGGGCGCAGGGGAATATCTTGGTGCATAGGAAATACACATGGAAGTATTTGGGGGTGATGGGCCACTTACTTTCAGATGGTGCAGGGGAAGAAAGTTCTTTTTACTGCAATCAAAACTTTTCTGTAGTACAGTCGAGATTGTTTCAATACAAAAATTTTATTTTAAAAAAGAATCAGTTATTTTATTTTGTCAGTTCAAATTATTCTTCTTAAAGTGGAGGTAGGCTGTTTCCATACAAGGCTGACCAGATGAGAAGAAATCTTCAACTCTGACTTGGCCTCAATAATCTGAGAATAAAATGCTTAAATGAGACCACATCTGTCCAGCTGATAGCACGAGCTTCCTGCCGGTCACTGCACAGGACCCTCCAAGGCCTGCTGCGGGAGTCACTGGCTAAGGGACTGCTTCAGAGCTTCATACATCATTTGATCCTGAGAAGAGGGGAGACAGAATATAGAGCTGATCACTGTTATGGCTTGAAATCCTATGTTGAAGTCCTAGTTCCTCAGAGTACAGTCGTCCCTTGTTTATCGCTGTTAATCCGTTCTAGACTCTGGCGGTTGCACCTGGTGTTGAAGGATTCCTGGGGTGCTACAGTCTATACATACAGTAATTTTAATTGTAATACAGGGGTGTATAATTGACTCAGACAACCGAGCGCGTGCTGTATAATTTTCACTGTCTCGATCAACTTGCTAATGAATATATTTGAAAAAACCGCAATAGAGTGAAGCTGCGAAAGTCGAAGTACAAAGTGGCGAGGGACGACTATAACTGTATAAGGTTATTTTTGTTTTTTCAAATATGTTTTTTATTGATTTTTCAGAGAGAGAGGAAGAGAGAGACAGAAACATCGATGTGAGAGAGAACCATCAATCAGACGCCTCCTTCACGCCCCCTACTGGGATCGAGCCTGCAACCCGGGCATGTGCCCCAACGGGGAATCAAACTGGGACCTCTCAGTCCATGGGACAACACTCAATCCACTAAGCCACACTGGCAGGGTGAGGGTCTTTTCTTTTTTTTCTTAAGATTTTTAAAAAATTGATATTTAGAGAGAGGAAGGCAGAGAGAGAAACATCAATGTAAAAGTGAAACATCAATCAGCTGTCTCCTGCATACCCCCTACCAAAAATTGAACTGGCAACCTTTTGGTGAACAGAATGATGCCCAACCAACTAGGCCACACTGGCCAGGGTGGAGATAGGGTCTTTAAAGAGGCAATTAAGTGAAAATAAAGTCATCAGGGTGGGCTCGAATCCAAAAATGACTGGCATCTTTATAAGAGGAGATTAAGACAGACACACACAGAGGGAAGTCCATGTGAAGACACAGAAAGAAGATAGTCCTAAAAAAGAAGATAGTCCTTCTGCAAGGAGAAAAGTCTCATAAGAGACCAACCCTGCCAACACCTTGATCTTGGACTTATCTCCAGAACCGTGAGAAAATAAACTTCTGCTGTTAAGCCACCCTGTCTGGGACTTTGTTAGAGGAGGAGAGAAAAAAACTGTATTTTATGTCTGAGTGAGGAGGGCTTCCTGACGGTGGAACGATGCCGTGGTAGGTGGAGTGAAAAGACTATCATTTGAGATAATAAATAGGTGGGAAAATAATCTCAACGTCTCAACATTTGTTAATAGTTAAGCTGGCCTCGGGTCACTGGTGAGCAGTTAATACTGAAAACACCAAGCCAGCAGAGTACGTTATGCTCTACTGGTTCTTGAAGAGAGCAGAGAAAATCAAGGATGGCACAGCTGAAAGGAACATTCTGAATTCTAAAACGCAACTGGCAAAAGAGTCCAACCTTGTTTGCTGGGATATCTGCCGTGACAAACTGCCAGCCTAGGTCTTCTTGGAACCACAGAGGACATGCCTCTGACGAGGAAGCAGGCGGGGGCAGGGATCTTCAGATGGAGCCTAACAGGCTGGTGCAGCCAAGTGACAGTGGATGAGGGATACAGGCAGAACTCAGAAGAATGTTGCTCGCTGTCCTCACTTCCCATCTCAACTCGTTATTGAGGATTGACTGGGCCAAGTGACAAATGTCTGCATTTGGCCTCGAAACTAGACCCTACCGTTATGCCAGCCAATTGCTGGACACCAAATCCACTTCACATGCCGTTACTATGCAACCCCCGGTTCAGCATCGTGTGGCAGCAGGGAAGCAGCTGCTCCAGGGACAGAGAGGGACCAGCGAGGTTCGCCTGGCATGAGAACATGCGGAACATTTCAGAACTACAGACAGCTCTGCAGACTCCGGGACAGAGCTCACACACCTTTCTTCTTTCTTTTCTTTCCCAGACATCTCCTGATCGTTTATTTAATGTTAACTCACTTCAGAGCAATTGCTACTTCTGTAAGTATGTCTGAAAGGCTGAAAAATGTAGTAAGTGTTCCCTTCACATTTAACAAAATCTAGTGATTCTTTCTCAGTGTGAAAATCTCAACTCTCCACAAATAAAGCAGATGACCAAGCTGATTATTACAAGTCATTAACCCGAGCACCGGCGTTTTATTTACATATTTTCATTATAGGGCTTAAAGTCATGTTGTCCTTGAGACCCGGCCTGGGCAGAGTACCTTCCCAGCTGGCCAGTAAGTGGTTTTGGCACGAGCTCCTCACCTGAGCTGCAGCAAGCACAGGCTTCCCTGAGACTCCTGCCAGAGCCTTGGGAACTCTCCTGCTATGGGGTTGGTAAACCAGCGGCCTGCATGTCTGGGCCTGCAGGCAGTCAACTTCGCACAGGACAGTTTCTGGATCCAGCCTGCCTAATGCCAGCCACTCTCAACATTCTATTATGTGGACCAATGACTTCTCTTTATTTCCACTTATAACAGTTTGGGTTGAGTTTCTGTCATTTACAACTAAAAGAGCCCTAATATTAAAAGTAGAAAGAGCTGCTCAATTTTATATTCAGGAAAGCATTTCAACATATGTCACACCTTTCTTTTGGTTTGATTTTTATTTTCATTTGGTTTGACTTTTGAAATGGATTCTGTTTGACCACATCAACTCCTTTAATTTCAACTGAATTCTCCTAAATCAGAAGGAAGAGGTTCTTTAGCATAGCTTTGAACTGTGAAGGACCAGAAACAGAACCAGGACCAGAAAGAAGGCACTGAGCCCCCAATAAAAATAATCTACAGTGGTTTCAAATTTACCTGCAAAAAGTAAGCAAAGGTGATAAAATAAGGATTTAACCTTTAATTATCATAGCTACAAGAATGAAAAACATGGCCAGACTTAGAAATCAGGTCCAGCAATTTTCAAACTTTGCATGACATATCTGTAGCCATTTGTAATAAAATAACGTGAGCAATAAGCATGAAGCTTTTCAAAATTAGAGCAAGCAAATATAACAAACACATTTCTAGAAAACGAAAATGATCTTTTTAGAGGTAAAGAAAGTAAATGTGTGACAAATGAGGAGCTATCCAAAGTCAATATATAAAAAGCAAACAAACTTCTATATGTAGGGTGTGGCAAAAGCAGGTTTATAATTGTTCATATGGAAAATGATAAAATAATAAATAACACAAGAACAAACTGTTTTGCATACTCACAACTGTAAACCTACTTTTGCCACACCCTGTACCATCTCACAATCAGAAAACAAAAAAAAAATTTTTCAAACAACATAAAAAATTAGAAATTACGTAGAAATAAATTTGATGAAAGATGTGTTCACTGAAAACTCAAAACATTACTGAGAAATCAAATACATTAAGTTTTTGTTTTTTATACTTATTTTTTTATCCTCACCCAAGGGCACTTTTGCATTCATCTTCAGATGGAGCGGGAAGGAGAGAGGGAAGAAGAGAGAGAAAGAAACATTGTGTGAGAGAAACACATGGACCAACTGGGGCCGGGGGCAAACTGCAACTGAGGTATGTGCCCTTAGTGGGAACTGAACCCAGGCCTCTCTACTACGGGCCGACGTTCTAACCGCTGAGCCAAACTGGCCAGGGCAGTAAATTTTTGTTTTTTAAATCCTCACCTGAGGATATTTTCCCATTTATCTTCAGACAGAGTGGGAGAGAGGGAGGGAGTGAAAGAGAGAGAGAGAGAGAGATAGAGAGAGAGAAACATTGATGCGAGAGAAACACATCGACTGGTTGCCTCTTGCGCAAGCCCGACCAGGGATGGGGACAGAACCACAACTGAGGTACATGCCCTTGACTGGAATCGAGCCCAGTCTCTTTGGTCCACGGGCCAACACTCTAACCGCTGAGCCAAGGGCTAAATTTTTTATAAGTGAAATTAAATGAATGCAAATAAATGAACAGATGTACTAAGTTCATAGACTGGAAAACTCAGTATTTTTAAGATGTCTGATCTACCAACTAATACAGATTCAATGCAATTCCATTAAAAATTCCAGCTGGCTTCCTTTGCAGAAACTGATAAGCTGATTGTAAATTCTGTAAGGAAATGCAAAGGGCCTAAAATAGACAAAACAATTTTGGGAAAAAGGAATAAATTTGGAGGATTTATACTACCTGATTTCAAGACATATAAAGATCAATGGAACAAAATAAAGAATGCAGAAGGAGACATGCATATATGACCAATTAATTGGTTTCCAACGAAGGCATTCAGTGAGAGAAAGTCTTTTCAACGAACAGGGCCAGAGGAACTACACAGCCACATGGAAAAAAGTAAACGTGACCCCCACCTCACATAAAACTCAAAAGTTAATTTGAAATGGATTACAGACCTTTGTGTAAAAACTAAAACTATAAAACGTGACGAAAAAAAACAAAGGAGAAAATTTTCGCAAACCTGGGATAGTCAATAACTAAAAAAGGAAAAAATGATAAACTGGACTTCATCTAGAACATTTAAAACTCCTATTCAAAAGATGCTTTTAGAAAACAAAATGTAAACAACAGATTAGGAGCAAATATACTCCATATGTATACCTGATAAAAAATTTCAGCCCAGAATAAATTAAGAATTTAATTTATTAAATTCTGTTGAGAGAGTGCAGCAAACAGCAACTCTCATAAAATGCAGAATTATATAGCTACTTTGGAAAAAAGGTTGGCAGTTTCCTTTAAAGTTAAACATACACATACCATAACACCCTGCAACTCCTCTCTGGGACACACACACACACACTGTGGTAAGTGCATGCATGGAAAACTACTCAGCAGGAGAAAGAACCAACGGGGGACACAAACACACACACACACACACACACACTGTGGTAAGTGCATGCATGGAAAACTACTCAGCAGGAGAAAGAACCAACGGAGGACACACACACACACACACACACACTGTGGTAAGTGCATGCATGGAAAACTACTCAGCAGGAGAAAGAACCAACGGGGGACACAAACACACACACACACACACACACTGTGGTAAGTGCATGCATGGAAAACTACTCAGCAGGAGAAAGAACCAACCGAGAAACCTGACAACGTGGATGAACTGCAAAGACACTGCACTGAGCAGAAGCAGCCAGACACAAACGAGCACATCTGTACAATTCCACTTGTATAAAGTCCTAACACAGGCAAAGTGAGAGGCTGACCATAGAAGCCAGCTCAGTGGTTCGCTGGAGGGGCGTTTGGAAGAGGACTGACGACTGCAAAGGCACGCAGGGAACTTCCTGAAGTGATGAAAATGCTCTGTATTTGGCTGCAATGCTCATTACAGTTGTTAAAATGTACAGAACTTGTACTTGTGTGTAAATTAGATTTCAATTTAAAAATACGATTAAAGGATAAGAGTGACAAGTGTGGAGCTATCCCAATATGTCCTCACTCCTAAAGCCTCACAACTCAGGCTCTAAGAAATAGTTCCAAATAAAAAAAATTTTTAATGACTAATCTTTGGGAGGGCACTATACTACTAGTTTCCTATTGATCAGAATGAAAAGTGCCAGTGATATTAACTGTCAAACTGTTTATGACTTAATAAGACTGTTTCACTCAAAGATGTCAGTGAAATAAAAACCTCTCCTCTAGTACACGAAAATACCTATGAGGTCAGGGTCCACTACTGCTTCTCCAAATATGGTGCAAGCCTCAGCAGACTCTTATTCCAATGTAGCTGAGTAGGAAGTGACCCAGGGCACAGCCGGGGCGGCTCAGTGGTTGAGCACCGCAACCCATGCGCCAAGAGGTCGCCAGTTCTATTCCCAGATTGTGGGCCCAATCCCCGGTGAGGGGCATGCAGGAGGCAGCCAATCAATGTTCTCCCTCATTGATATTTCTCTCTCTCTTCCTCTCCCTTACTCTTTCTCTAAAATACCAATAAAGAAAAAGAAGAAAAGTAGTAGTAATCCATGGGCCTAAAAGTTACCACCATCAGCCCAAACCCCTTAACTGGTTATTTTAGTTAAAAGATGGTCAAATAGCCTGGATGGGGTGGCTCAGTGGTTGAGCATCATCCCACGCACCAAGAGGTCACTGGTTCAATTCCTGGTCAGGACACATGCCCAGGTTGTGGGCCAAATCCCTAGTAAGGGGGCATGCAGGAGGCAGCCAATCAATGTTCTCTCTCATTGTTATTTCTCTCTCTCTCCCCCTCTCCTTTCCCCTCTCTCTCTAAAAATGAAGAAAGAAAGAAAAAAAAAGATGGTTAACTTAGAACTTCAGACCAAGACTGGAGGCAGTGAAACAGCAATCCATCTCATATACCTGACTGGACTTTTACTTCCCGTTTTCCTTTTAATTTTTATTTACATGCGTGCCCTTGACCGGAATTGAACCCGTGACTCTTTGGTCTGTGGGCCAACGCTCTAACCGCTGAGCCAAAGCGGTTGATTCTGGTGTTGTTGTTTTTTTGTACAGATAGAGTGGGAGGGAGAGAGAGGAAGGGAGAGAGAGAGAGAGAGAAACATCGATGTGAAGGGACACATCGAGTGGCTGCCACCCACACGACCAACCAGGGACAGGGACAAACTGCAACCAAAGTACGTGCCCTTAGCGGGAACCGAACCCGGGTCTCTCTGGATCGCAGGCCGACGCTCTAACCGCTGAGCCAAACTGGCCAGGGCTAAAGTGGTTGATTCTTATATGTACCCTGACTAGGGATTGAACCCACAACCTTGATGTATCGGGATGACATTCTAACCAACTGAGCTACCTGGCCAGGGCTGACTTTGTTTTCAATCAATAATCATAATGAGAAACACAGCAATCCATTGCACATAACTGGACTTTGACTTAAGAGTTTTCAATCAATAGTCATAATGAGAAATACTGAGCCTGGGTGATAAAGTGCTAACGATTTAAAAGAAGTTGAAGTACAGTCCATGAATAATAGGTTCTCATGGCTAGGGCATATTATAGTTCCAGGAGTCTGGAAACAAAAGAGCCAAGTGAACAAAACTTCTCACAGCATCTAACCCAGACATTTCTCAGGGCTGGATATTCCCTGACAAGTCTCTTTGTACGTGTCATAGTCACCTGACTTCACTAAATAGCAACCATTTTAACTTATTACAAAGAACACCTCAACAAAGTAAAAACAACATGTAAAATCTGGCATTTTATGCAAGAAAAAGCCAGAGTGATTTTTTTAAACCTTTCTCTGACCTTATGGTGAAGATATTTTTACTTTCCTAAAACTTAGGGGTAAGTCCTAAGTGCTCAGTAGTCTAGCTCCAAGAAGATAAGAAGCTATTTATTAAAAAGGGTGCAGTAAGTCAAATACTTGAATGGGACTGATTAAAAATCCTGAGATTGTGGAAATGAACATAAGAGGTCATTCATAGTCTGTGCTTCAGTCTCTAAGAAAGATGCAAAATTAAATCTCAAGAACACTCATTTTGCTTGTTTTCATGAGTTCATATCTACTGGTCTAAATTCTAGTCTCTTTTCTATACATTTAAAAACATTTCTTACCTTTTTTGATATCGATGATTTTACTTTCTTGAAAGCTTCTTCAAAGTGCTTCTGACTAATCTTGAGTTCACCTGTGGAGTAAATACACAGATATACACATCCGGGTATAGGATGCTAGTTCTGATTTATAACTTAGTTTCTCTCTCAAGACACTTCAATCATTCAAGTTGAAAGAACACTGAGGAAATTAGTGATGCTATTGGTTCTCATATTTTTCAGAACAATATTCAAACAAGATAGAGTCTGCTTATCAGATTTTTTAGACCCTTTTTCCTTTTAATTTATATATTCCTGATCATATTTAATTTTACATAATGCTTAAGTTTTTTTGTTTTTTTTTGTGGTACGTGCCCCTAGCGGGAACTGAACCTGAGACTCTCTTGTGCAATCTCCCCCATCCCACCCTACTCCAGCAATCAAAACAAATTATTTTGGAGACAATCTATATAAAGAAGAACTTTGTTCGTCTTTAATTAGAGAGTCTTATCCTTATTAAAAAAACAAAAACAGAACAGTCCTTGTGTTTTATTTATTTCCCCCCAGCTTTACTGAGATACTGTTGACATACAGAAAGTTAAGGTGTTTGATGTGATCACATGATACATGCATACATGTGAGATCATGACCATAGTAAGGTTAGTTAACACCTCTGCCCCCTCTCATGATTACTTTTTTTTTGGTGTGGTGATAACTTTTAAGATCTCTCTTAACAACTTTCAAGTGTATGATACAGTGTTGTTAATGACAATCATTGTGCAGGACATTAAACCCCTTTAACTTATATAATCTTATTGCAAGGAAGTTCAAACCCTTTGACCAACATCTCCTAATTTCCCCCACTCTCTGCTCATCAGACTTTAATGCAGGACCACCAAAAGAATCCTATCACTCTTTTTAAAAACAATTTTTTTTTTCTTTACTGATTTTAGAGAGAGGAAGGGAGAGGGAGAGAGAGAAACATCGATGAAAGAGAACACTGATTGGCCACCTCCTGCATGCCCACTGGGGATTGAGCCCACAACCTGGGCATGTGCCCTGACTGGGAATTGAACTGGCAACTTCTTGGTGCATGGGTTGACACTCAACCACTGAGCCACACCGGCCAGGCCACAGTTTATTCTTGAATTATTGTTTATTTATTATTTCCCATATGAACAACTATAAACCTACTTTTGCCCCATCCTGTATAAAACGTAAATAATATCACAACACTGGATTACAAGGGGGTTCTCATTTTTTTTTTTAAATACAGGGCGCTTCACGGATGTGTGTGTTATCCTTGAGCAGGGGCCATGCTCATCTTCTCTGCATCATTCCAATTTTAGTATATGCTGCCGAAGCAAGCACCTAATTTCTTTTTTTTTAGAGACAGTGGAAGAGAGGGAGGGAGAGAGAGAAAGAGAGAGAGAGAAACATTGATGTTGAGAGATACACATCGATTGGCTGCCTTCCGCATAGCCCTGGTCAGAGTCGGGGAAATCTGCAACCCAGGCATGTGCCCTTGACTAGAATCAAACCCTCGACCCTTGGGTCTGAGGGTTGATGTTCCAACCACTGAGCAAAAACTGCCAGGGGGGGTGGTTCTCATTCTTTGTAAGGGTCTGCCATTACATAAGTAGGAGAAATCAAATAACCAAATGTAAGTAAGGCTTGGCTTAGAATTTAGTATCACAACTTACATGATAATAATTTATAGTTAAAATAGTAAACTTTCTACAGATACTTGGATAGAATATTAACCTAAAAGTAAAATAAAATGTGTGGTTGAACACATCAAAAGGAAGTGAATGGTATTCAAGTTTCAATAAGTTACAAATGTAAGTCCCAAAGGACAGAGAGCTGGAAATGCCAACTGTAGCAAAGCAGGATGTATGTTTATAACAAAACATCCAAAGAGAATCATTGTAGCAGCCAATACATGTACAGAGACCTGTTAATTTTTAGTTACAAAACAAATCCTGAGACAATCATCAGATCCAGCTCTCAGACATCCTACCACATAGAATGTCTTTTATAAGATATGATAATTTTGCTATTTATATCCCATGTACTTCCAAAAGGAATTTAAAATAGATTATAATAAAAGAAGTTCAGATAACTGACTCTTAAAATGAAAAAACAAAAAAAAAAATCAGAGACTTCATGAGTAAAATATGTGTGGTGACGACTCTGAGATAAACACATGCTGCTAAACAAAATTTAGCTCTAAAATTTTGGCAGCCATAGGAAAAAGGGGAAAAAAAAAATCAGGACACACACACACAAGACATCTTTTGGAAGTCTACTAAACAAAAGGAAATCAATGTAGACTTGAACTTTGGATCAAAGTACAGATTTAGAGGACAGGGCAGGTCTTCTGAAGAAGGTGCTCACCAAGTGCTGGAAGGACAGGCATAACTGCCACTGATCAAACGCTTGTCACAGGAGCCAAGCAAAGTCCAGGCTATTTCTGTACTTGGCCTGGTTGGAATGCAGGTCACAAATGAATCTTTTTTGTCACACATACCCAAATCATATAAAGACATTGTCAAACATGAAGAAAGGTGCAAAGCTGTTAAAAGGGCCCCAAATCATCACATAATAACATATCAATTCTGTATTTTGAAAGGAGTGTAAGTATGTGCAAATTACCTCAATTTCATTTCTAGTGTGTGTGTATTTTCTAAGCACTTCAATTTAGGCTGTGAAAGTAGATGCTACCCTAGCAAAAGGAGGAGAAGGTTTTCCAGAGCTGATAAATAGACCAAACTCATGAAGAAGACGGTGAATGGACCCACTTGCCTAAGTCTAAGCAGATGCATACGATAACACTTTCTGTTAGAAAGGCACCAAATAACTTTGCTATCATTATCATTGTCAGCCACAGAAGTTGCATAATATTCTGAAAGATTTCTCAAGTTCCCATCAGAAAACGTCAGTTTTAATGTCACGAATAAGTGACTGTAGAAAATGGTCCTGCCCCAGGTCAACAGTGGTGTTAAGTATCCAGAGTGATAACTGGTAAGAACTGAGAGACTGAAGAGAATTGTACCTTTTTCGTGCCCACTCTTCTGCCTTGCCATTTCCTGTCTCAGGGCACAGACAGACGCTTCCCGCACCAAAGCAGAGAGATCCGCGCCCCTGTAATGACGGAAGTATTCTTATGATTTATTCTTTTTCTTGTTTTGTTTTGTTTTATCCTCACCCAAGGACATTTTTCCATTTTTTTGTTCAGATAGAGTGGGAGGGAGAGAGAGGGAGAGAGAGAGAAACATCAACATGAAAAGGACACATCGAGTGGCTGTCACCTGCACGACCAACCAGGGCCGGGAACAAACCACAGCAGAGGCACATGCCCTTAGCGGGAACTGAACCTGGGTCTCTCTGGACCGCAGGCCGACACTCTAACCGCTGAACCAAACTGGCCAGGGCTTTATTGATTTATTCATAGACACTCTTTAGACTAGAAAGAAGCCTGAGAGTAATTTCCTTTTAAGTCGCATATTAAACAGCCAGAAAAGAAACTGACCAATAAAGGTGGAATCAACTGGTTATAGTCAGTAGGAAAGGGCTTTTAGCTTCCATTTAAAATATTTCTAACTTTCGGAAGGAAGGAAATCATGCAGAAAACAATGCAATGAATCATAAATAGTCCCATTATAATAGTTCCAGATTAATATAAGAAGTTTAGAACATCACCAGTAGAAAGAAATGGACACCACTTATTGTACATTCTGTCCAGTGGCCTGTGCTGAAGTGCTGATGGCCCATTCTTACATTACCTAATGTCTACAACAAGCTTATATAAAAAGTCACTTATGGCTCCATGTTCAAAAGGGGAAAAACCAAAGGCTAGAAAGTCTTTGATGCACTTGATTCATGCTCAAGCTAAGTGGACTCATCAAGTTACTTAAAATATGACAAGAACTAACAAGCCTCCGTGTAACAATATGCTGAGTCCACATGGCTCTTGAGTTCAATGAAAGACAATGGTGTGGACTGGCGTTTCACTACATTACATCTTTTTTTTTTTTAAATTCTTCCCATTTTATCTATTCTTTTAAAAAAATTTTAATTAATTTATTTTTGTTACAGATGTTTCTCCTTTCCCCCCATTGACACCCTCCTTCCGTTCCCCCCTCCCCCAGCATTGTTGTCTTTGTCCATGGTTATGCTTATATGTATAAGTTTCTTGGTTTATCTCTTCCCTTCCCTTGAACCCCGCCTCTGAGATTTGTCAGTCTGAACGCTATTTCCATCCATGTCTCTGGGTCTATTTTGTTCATCACATTATTTTGTTCATTATATTCCACAAATAAGTGAGATCATGTGATATATAACATCTTGACCAGTACCTGGTGATTCTTTGAGAATGAGTTTGAATTTGGGACAAAAACCTTATTGCCAGGAATTAATCTAACGTAATATACAAAGTCGATGATCCACATAATATATAAAATTAAAGACCCACAGAGTTTCAATTACTAACTGTATCCAATGTTTCTGTTGTAAAGTGCTAGGGTTATAACGTTATTTAATAATCACGTACATGTTGGGCTAGTAATTCCTTTCCTTAAATATGGAATCTAACACTGGTGCCGAGACACCACTGACGGGTAGCTGAAGACTGCAGTATTACGGTGTCTCTCAGACTGTGAAGACAGAGGCACTAAAACCCAAAATGTACACCATTCAACTTTAACTCTAACCCCTTTACACACTAACACCCTACATGATATCATCCAAGAGATTTGGCTCATGGTAAATTCTGCCATCAAAACTGTCTGTTACTCACAGAAAATCTTTTCAGATTTTAGCACTAAAAGCTGTAAACTACTCACTTAAGTCTCTTTTTTTCCCTTCGTCGTAAGTTCATTTAATCAGACTGGTATAGATCTGATTCCTAACCAGGGGAGAAATACCCTCTCCTCAAAGGGAAGGAGGGGCTTTCACATCTGCCTGCACCACAGCTTGAACCTCTGCCCACTTCCCCTTCACTGGGACAATCCCTGCTTTCTTTTCTTTTCTTTTTTCAAATCCTCACCCAAGGATATTTTTTTCCCATTTATCTTCAGATAGAGTGGGAAGGAGGGAGGGAGAGAGGGAGAGAGAGAGACAGAGACATTGATGTGAGAGAGACACACTGATTGGTTGTCTCCCGCCTGACCCCGACCAGGGCTGGGATGAACTGCAGCTGAGGTACATGCTCTTGACCAGAACCAAACCCGTGACTCTTTGGTCCACAGGCAGAAGCTCTAACTGCTGAGTCAAACTGTCCAGGGCACAACCTCTGCTTTCTTCAATGAGCCAAGGTTAGTGATCAGAGTGGCATCTGTCCCAGGTGCACAGGCGTGACAGAACAAAGAGTGATACTCAGAGTCCCAGATGTCCCTCTATTAAAAAATTAGACGCTGGGGACTGGGCGGGAGGGATGGGGAGGAGAGCGTCAATGGGGTAAAAAGGGAGAAACATCTGTAACAAAAATAAAATTAAAAAAAAAAAATAAAGATTTACCTTATTCTACCCATGAACAAATGCTGGCATTTGACAGAAATTAACATTTTCCTCAGAAGCTGTTGCTACTTATCTGGCAATTTTTCTCACATGGAATAAAGAATCGGCATTATGTCTAAATATAGCATGAAGACAGAAAAAAAAAAATTGGTGACAAGCCCTGGCCAGTTTGACTCAGCAGTTAGAGCGTCAGCCCAAGGATCAAAGGGTTATGGGTTCGATTTCTGCTCAAGGGCACATACGTGGGGTTACAGGTTTGATCCTCAGCCCCGGCTGGGGTCATGTGGGAGGCAACTAGTTGGTGTGTCTCTCTCACATCGATGTTTCTCTCTCTCTCCCTCCCTTCCACTCTATCTAAAGAATCAATGAAAAAATATCGTTAGGTGAGCATAAATCCCTCCCCCACCAAAAAAACTGGTGATAAAACTTTGTCTCTGAGCATACTCCCTAAAAACGATCAGCATAGTTTCAAGTGAAGAGATGGTTAAGTGGAATTCTTCAACCGGGACTGGAAACAACTGAATGCCTGTTAGTGCCAGGGGATGTGTTCTCTGGATATAAATTTACATTGCCGAGTAACAGACTCCTGAAGATCTCAGAGACGGAAACCCCACCTCGCTCGACATTATCTGACCTTGCCTTACAGGAATAGCATGAACTCAAACTGTACTGTAGACAATACACAGGGTTTTCAAATAAGCCAGAGGCGATGTCTTTCCCTGTTAAACTTGTTTCATTTTTTTCCCTGTATACCAAAACTGGGAAACTTAACAAATTTCCTTAAAAACACATGAAAAACAAACAACAAAAAAGACAAACCACAACCACCACAAACATCTGAGCCTGAAGGCAGAACATCCCACTTCCTGCTTCTGCTACAGGCTGTGTGGATGTTCGTGGGTGCATGCGCTGTGAAACTCAATCCTGAGCCTTGGGAAATGAGCGCTCATGAGCACATGAATAATTGGGCATCAGGTCACACAAATTCTGGAAGGACAGACAGTTTGTGGCGGTCAAGGAACTGAGTAACAAGAGTCAATATATAAGAGGATCCCCCACTTCTGTAATTCCTCAGAGCCTCAACATGGGGAACTGCTTCTCTAAGAAAAAAGAGCAAGAAAGGGCCAGACCCTACACTGGGTGCTCTGCAGGATGCCCTATCTAATCTTCCCAACAGCATCCTTCTCCCTCCTGTGACATAAGAGGAAACTGAGCCTCGGAGAATCAACAAACTTGAGACTGAGATCCTTACGAATAGCAATCACAGCGATGGTCACCAGCAATCGCTTCCAGGTTTACATCCGCGTCCAATGGGGGTCTGGTGCCATTCTAAATAAGAGAGAAAACAATTTTTCATTGAGAGTTTAAAGATGGATAGTTTTCCACATACAGGTTCTTAAAAAACAGTAATGGCTACCTGTCTAAATGAAGGTGTTACACAATTTTTACAAATTTCAATTTTTTTTAATCCTCACCCGAGGACATTTTTCCATTTTTTATTCAGATAGAGTGGGAGGGAGAGAGAGAGAGAGCAACATCGATGTGAAAGGGACACATCAAGTGGTTGCCACCTGCATGACCCAAACAGGGCAGGGGACAAATTACAACCGAAGTACGTGCCCTTGGCGGGAACTGAACCTGGGTCTCTCTGGACCACAGGCTGACGCTCTAACCACTGAACCAAACTGGCCAGAGCACAAATTTCAATTTCGAGAAAAGAGGTTAAAAAGCAGACTCCACACGTGGGCAAGCTAAATGAAATGTATGCTTATGAAGTTTGAATACTTTGTCTGCAGTTGCAGCAAAGTCAAAACGCCACCAAGAACAAAATTACCAGCTCAATCTTCCTAAAGGCGAGGAAACCCATTTCCTTTGCTGATTATGTGGCAAGGACTCCAGCAGTGCTTGGACACATTATGATGGAAAATGGAAATGTCTGGGCTTCCCAAGCTACACCCAAGGTGGGAAAGCCTGGTAACACTGCCTTTAGTCTTCAATGCATCCTTGAAAGGAGGTAGGGAGTTAGAGAGGAAAGGGTACCTCATTAGGCATGAGCCCTTATTAGATTCTCTATGTTCACCAGAAACTATCAACTTCACCCTGACACACAGCACACGGATGTTCCCGGCTTCTATTTCAGGTGCGCCTAGAAAATTTTACCTCGATCCTTCTACTGACCCGTTTTAATTAAAAGCTCAATAATAATAAATAAATCCATGGAGGACTGTCTAAGGATCATTCTTTAAAGTTCTCAGTATCTAAAGTCTACTCTTGGGTCAAGCTGGGCTTTCAAAAGGCCTGCATACCCCTATATGCATTTCTCTGACCTTTCAGGAAGTTGCTTTTAATGAACTGGCTTTGAGTTATGTCCTCACTTTACTTTACATTAAGAGAACCCACCAGCCTCAGTATGAGAGGCTTGTTACTATGTCAAGGACAGGGCTATGGTTAGAAACCCTGTGCCTCACATTTTAGGGCTCTCTTCATGAGCACCCCGGGGGGACTTCTCACATCCGCGTACTGGCAGAAGCTGCCAGCTCCTGTGCTCTGGGCGCCCTCTGTCAGGTCTTTCATGAGAGCTCACTATATACAGGAACACCATGCACAAATGATTCTCAGAAGTAATACTTTAGACATATAGTTAAGCTCAGCTGGTGTGATTCAGTGGTTGAGTGTCGACCCCTGCACCCAGAGGTCACCAGTTCGATTCCCGGTCAGGGCACATGCCCAGGTTGTGGGCTAAACCCCAGTGGGGGGCATGCAGGAGGCGGCCAATCGATGTTCTCTCTCATCCATGTTTCTATCTCTTTCTCCCTCTCCCTTCCTCTCTCTTTAAAATCAATAATAAAAAAGAAAGAAAAATAGTTAATTCTTAGAAATTTAAATTCTCAAAAATTTTCTAATTCTTAGGAAAGTAATTTTTTAGAAAAATAAATAATCCTCCCAAATCCTCCATTTGACAGAAAGTAACAAACTGCCTTTTTTGAGAGTGTGGTGTGTGTTCCATATAGGATAGCTCTAAAAGTTTGAGTAATAACCCTACTTTCCAATTAGAACGAAGGGCTGAGGAATCACTGGATCATTAAAATTGTATTTTTGGTTTTTAAAAATATTTTTAAAATCTTATTGATTTGCGAGAGAGTGAGAGAGAGAGATTGATTTGTTGTTCTACTTATGTATGCATTCATTGGTTGATTCTTGTATGTGCCCTGACCAGGGATCGAATCTGAAACCTTGACTTATCGGGATGACGTTCTAACCAAGCTACACCGCCCGGGCAACAAAGTTATTCTAATCATTCTTAACTGAAATGGGGCAATGTTTCTATCTTGTAGTAAGAAGTGAAATGAAAAGTGAAGTGAGAACAGTTATGAAAAGGTTTAATAGTATATTAGAAAGCTTATAAAACAAAATACTTAAATATTTTAGAGAATCATTTATTGAAATACTAATATATAAAATAAGAACTTTTTATACTAACTTGGTTTTTCTTCACTGATTTTATTCCTCTCTTAATAAAAGCTCTAATAAAAATCTCAAATAATTTGGTAACTAGAAAGCTGAGCGACAGAAATTATTAAAAGGAGGCAAACAATCTTTTAAGCAGTTATGGTCCACAACTATTGTACACAGAGAGTAGTCAAAGTTACAGAGACAGAGTGCAATGAATGGTGGCTGCCAGGGGCTGGAGAGAGGGTGAAATGGGGAGTATTGCTTAACGGGGACACATTTTTACTTTTTATTATTTATTTATTTGTTGTTGTTAATCCTCACCTGAGGATATTTTTCCATTGATTTTTAGATAGAGTGAAAGGGAGGGAGAGAGAAACATCGATGTGAGAGAGACCCACTGATTGGTTGCTTCCTGCACGACCCTGACTGGGTCTGGGGATCGAATCTGTAACCTAAGTACATGCCCTTGACCGGGAATGAAACCTGAGACCTTGGGCTGATGCTCTAACCGCTGGACCACACAGGCCAGAGCAGGAATTGATTTTTAGGTTGGAAAATGAAGGCTTCTGGAGGTGGACAGTGGTCATGGCTGCACAGCAACATGACTAGTGTCAAGAAAATGCACAATCGCCCTGGCCGGTTTGGCTCAGCGGTTAGAGCGTTGGCCTGTGGTCCTGAGAGACCTGGGTTCGGTTCCCGCTAAGGGCGCGTACCTCGGTTGCAGTTTGTCCCCGGCCCTGGTCGGTTGTGTGGGTGGCAGCCACTCGATGTGTCCCTTTCACATCGATGTTTCTCTCTCTCTGTTCCTCTCTCTCCCTCCCACTCTACCTGAACAAAAAATGGAAAAATGTCCTCGGGTGAGGATAAAAAAAAAGAAAAAAAAAGAAAATGCACAATTAAACATAGTTCACAGGGTAAACCTGAGTTAATTTTAGTGGGAGTTTTGTCACTATTTTTAAATACTGTAATATTATCTCAAAGCATTTGGTAAACATCAAATTAACATTCTGGCTTTCTGAAATACAGGTAAGTTTTTGTTTTTTATCCTCACCCAAGGACATTTTTTTTCTTCCATTTTTTGTTCAGATAGAGTGGGAGGAAGAGAGAGAGAGAGAAGCATCAATGTGAAAGGGACACATTGAGTGGCTGCCACCTGCACGACCAACCAGGGCCGGGGACAAACTGCAACTGAGGTACATGCCCCTAGCAGGAATTGAACCCGGGTCTCTCTGGACCGCAGGCCAATGCTCTAACCGCTGAGCCAAACTGGCCAGGGCATGAGATAAGGGTAAGTTTTAATAACAGTTATAGGGGGAAAAACAAAGGATGGATTTGGCAGATAGAGGCTGAACAAATATTTAAAGCAACAGAAATGAAGGTGATCAGGCATCCTGAAGTACTACTTGTCTGTATTTAAAATGAGAGAAATAGATACAAAAATATACCATTTCCTTGACTCACTTTTGTGATAGTTTTTAAGATGGCGAGACGATCTGCTGAGGGCGGCAAGCCCACGAACAGAGTTTTATCTAGGCGGCCTGGGCGCAGGATTGCGGGGTCAATGATATCTAGACAGGAAGGGAGGCAAGAGTCTTAAATAAATAAAACAGAATCTTTTAAAAAATATAACTAACGTGAGAGACGGGAAGAGCACGTTTTTTAAAAGTAAAAAAAAAAAAAAAAAAAAAAAAGATTAGACTTTATTAAAATGAAAAGCTTCTCCTTAACAAACCAGGTTCTTAAAAACGGGAAAAGTCCACCCCCATCTTCCGGACCGAAACCTGCCGCCCTCCAGTATTCTCCATCTCAGACAGTGACCCCTGCTCGCCCCCCAAAATACCAGGCAGGTCTCCCCATTCCCTCTAACTGGAGACATGTTCTATCAAGTCTGCTTCCCATTCCCTCAGCCCTCAGTCCAGGCCAAATGTAACGTCCTCCTGACCAGTCTAAACTTCCCCCCTCTGGGCCCTCACAACACTGCCAGGGTTACTTCCTAAAATACACATCTGACTCTCTCAATGCCTGCTCCCCACTGCAGAACAAGCCTAACACCGTCAGTATCATGCTAGAGCATCGTCTGACAAGTCTAAGGGTCATCTGAGTCTACCTTTGCACTTTAAAAAATTACTGAGGACCCCTTTGTAACCTTTTGATCTTGCCCTTCCCTGACCCCCTTTATCCCTAGGCAGCCACTGATCTGTTCTGTCACTATAGATTAGTTTGCATTTTCTAGAATTTTATGTAAGTGGTATCATGCAGTATGTACTCTGTCTACTTTCTGTTACTCAACATAATTATTTTGAGATTCCTCTAAGTTGCTATGTGCATTTGTAGTTAATTATTTTTTACTGCTGGTACTATTCCACTGTATGAATATGCCCCAATTTGTTTTTCCACTCTTCTATTGATAAACATTTGCCTCCTGTCCACTTTTGGCCTAGTACAAATAAAGCTGCTATGAATACTCATGTACAGGTCTCTGTATAGGTTTTGATTTCTCCTCAGTAAATACCTAAGTGTGGGATGCAAAGCAGTATGGCTACATCACACTCATGCTTAACTTCTAAAAATTGGCAAAATACTTGCCAAACTAGCTGTAGCATTTTACATCCCCATCAGCAGTGCATGAGAGTTCCAGTTCCTCCATATCCTTGCCAATACTTGGTATGGTTAGTCTTTTCAATTGTAGTCAGTCATTCTAAGGTTTGTAGTAATATGTCTTCGTGGCTTAATTTTTTTAAATTACAGTTTACATTCATATTATTTTTTATTAGTTTCAGGTATACAGCATAATGGTCAGACAATCATATACTTTACAAAGTGGTCCCCCCGATATTTCCAGTACCCACCTGGCACCATACATAGTTATTATAATATTATTGACTATATTCTGTATGTTGTACTTTACATTGTGATTATTTTGTAACTACCGATTTGTATTTCTTAATCCCTCCGCCTTCTTTTACCCAGTCCCCTGCCGCCCTCCCCTATGGCAACCATTAGCTATGACTGAATATATTTTATCCTGTGATCCAGGGTGCATTTTGAGGGTTACGCTCTATGTTAAACTCTGTTCTACGACCCAGGTTTAAAAAGTCTGGCTTTCATTAGTGTCCTGAAACTAGCTATTATAATATATGAACCTCAGGTACTGCCTGTCTAGAATACATATGTACGCATTTGCTTTTCGCCCTTTAGATCTTAAAGACTAGGAGAGAAGTATGTAAGGGATGGATATTCTAGGAAGTGAGAGAGGCTGGCTCATACCCAATATCACCATGTGACTCACTGGACCTTACACATGACACATGTAAGACTGATATCCTGATCTTTTCCTAGCTCCTCCCCAAACAGGGCCCTACCATTGTCTTTTCCATCTTGGTTAACGCCAACTCTTTCTTCCAGTTTTTCAGGCCCAACACCTGGAGTTAAGCTTGATCCCACTCTCCCACATCCATATTCAATCCATTAGCAAATCCTGTCAACTCTATGACACAGTATGTCCTGATTCTTTCTACATCGCCAGGCATCACCTGGTACAAACCACCAACATCTTGCACTTGAATTATTGTTACATTTCTTAACTGGTTTCCTACCTAATTGTGTCAGTGACAGAATTTCAGGTCAGAGTCAAGATATCAATTCTTACATTTGCAATGAAAAAGTCACCAACAATCCCAAAGCTTTAAAGACAAAATGCATTAATTCACAAATGAGATGGATACTTGAAGAGGAACACCCCTTCATATCTGCTGATAAAGAAACAACTTAGCCTGGCTGGTGTGACTCAGTGGGTTGAGTGCTGTCCCATGAACTGAGAGGTCCGGGTTCAATTCCCAGTCAGGGCACATGCCCAGGTTGTGGGCTAGATCCCCAGTAGTGGGCATGCAGGAGGCAGCTGATGGATGTTTCTATCTCTCTATCCCTTCCTCTCTTTCTCTAAAATAATGAAAAAAAAATCAATGTAGTTTGGCTGGTGTGGCTCAATGGTTGAGCATCAACCCATGCACCAAGAGGTCGCTGGTTTGATTCCCGGTCAGGACACTTGCCCAGGTTGTGAGCCTAATCCCCAGTGGGGGGCATGCAGGAGGAGGCCAATCAATGTTCTCTATCATCGATGTTTCTTTCTCTCCCTTACCTTTCCTCTCTCTCTGAAATCAATAAAAGGAAAAATAATCAATAAAAACATATTCAAAAAGAAAAAAATAAGAAAAAGAAAGGCATAGATGAAAACAGGAGAAAAGAAGAAATTCAGACGGTCAATTCAGGGGGTTCAAGTTCCACTAAGTACTAAGCATACACATAAACAAATAAATAAAAAGTCACATAAAAAGGACCAGAATGACACAGACCTTTAAAGAAAAAGGATTGCCTACAAATTATGAAAAAAAAAAATTTTTCAATTCAATTTCTATTCTCTGACAAGCTGCCAATCAATAATGAGGAGAGAATAATGATCATTTCAAATACATAAGAACTCAAAAAATTTACCTCCTACATGACCTTTCTTAGAAAAGCCACTGAAAAATCAGCTGCAGCAAAATGAGCGCGTTAAACCGAGAGATTAGGGTCAGAAGCAGAGGCAGAACAAGGGGAAGCAGCCCAGGTGAGCCCTGAAGTAACAGCTGTTTCTTCCACAGACCCAGAGAAGCAGGAGGGTAAAAAGCTCCGAAGGGAAGTCTCTAGAAACAAACAATCAAATGGAATTGCTATATCATCTAAATAAATAAAACTATTGTATAACATATCTGATGAAGAATAGGAACACAGAAAAGAAAGCAAAAGAAAAAATGAGGGTCACTCAATCTAAGAATAGCAAGGTCAAATGAAAAAGGAAACCTAGTTATAGTATTATTCTTGGGTGAGCAGCGACAAATATTAACACAGGCAGAAGTAATGCAAACACTGACTAGTAATTCAACCAAAGTTGTGATAAAACTGTATTAAAATACTGGGAGGACAGAGTGAAGAGAACAGAAGGTTCAGGGGTAGAGAAAGGCTGAACAAGATAACAATCTTCATGTACCTTAGAAAGAAAATGATGGTCTCTGGTTGGTCTGGCTCATTGGTTAGTGTTGGCCCTCAGATTGAAGGGTCGAGCATTCGATTCCCGGTCAAGGGCACGTACCTGGGTTGCAGGTTTGATCCCCAGCCCCAGTCAGGGTCATGCGGGAGGCAACCAATCAATGGGTCTCTCACATCGATGTTTCTCTTTCCCTCCCTTCCACTCTGTCTAAAAATCAATAAAAAAATATCCTCAGGTGAAGATTAACAAAAATAAAAACAAACAAAAAAAAGAAGTTAATGGGCAGTGTGTGAAATTGGTAAGAAAGAAGTTTGAATACATTATTTGAAAATATGGAGGAAATACAGAAAAAATAGCTCACGGAGTTTATAAGTGTTTGCTCTGGGGCGGGGTAGGGCCAAGACAGTTTTCATTATAAGCTTTGTGGTATCATTAGATTTCCCTGTGTGGGTGGGTTTCTCTTTTTCATGCCATTCACTAATTGGATCGATAACCACACATACTTGTTATGGCCATTCTCTTAGGGTGTTAGTCAATTCACAGGAACTGAGTCACACAAGACAAACAGTGTTGAAACTTGCTCAAAACCCTCCTATGGCTTCCCATTATGGCAAAATCCACAGCATTATTATGACACACAAGGCCCCACGCACCTCTCCATCACTGTCCCCACCACCCATTTCACTCTGGACACACGCCCTCTTGCTGGTTCCCCAACAGGCCAAATCTGTCCTCGCCTCAGGGCCTTCACACACTTATGTTTGCTCTCTACCTGGAATGCTCTTCTCCCAGATTTTTGTATGGCTTGATCCTTCACATCGTTTGAGTTCATGAAATAATCACATCACCTCTGATGAAGCCTCCCTGGACCATGATGTCTAAATTAGCATTTCTCTCTCCAATTGCCAATCATTCTGTATCCTCCTACCTGGTTTTATTTATTTGTCTATTATTTATTCTGTGTTCCCCAGCCCTAGTCAGAGTATATACAGGCAAAGAATTTTTCTGAGTTAACTTGTACATTGTTAACCTTTAAATCCCCAATGCTCAGCAAAACCAGACATACACTAAAAAATAAATACTGATGAATGAGAAAGCAGATCTTCTGAGAGACCATTCCTACTTCCTCTTCCTATGAATCTGGGCCTTCCTGTCACTGTCCTGACCAACACAGTTTGCCTCTCCCAGGCCTTGCACTTAGGAGAGTTAGCAGCCTCAACCTTGGTCTCCTGGGATCCAGCTGTCATATGAGAAGTCAGAGTACTCAGAGAGCCATGCTAATGGAAGCCCAAGCCACATGGAGAGGCCTTGGAAGATAGCAAATAGTGGGTGAGGGGAGAGAGACATGCCAAGGAGTACCCAAGGCACCAGACAGGAGTAGAGAAGTCCCCTGGGCAGGGGAGTCTCTGGCCCAGCTGCTCCAGCTGATGGCACGTGGGTCAGAGATGAACCACCTGGACAAGCCCTTCCTGGATTCCTGACCTCACAAAACTGTGAGCAAAGCAAAAATGGCTAAGTACTGCAGGAGTCTGTCAGTCAGCAATAGCTGATTTTAAAACATCAGGCGAGAAGGGATTTCTGAAAGTTGAGCAGAAAATAGGTTATAAACAATCTAACCAGAATGTCACAGCATAGTATCCAACAGAACAGACTGGCCTAATAAGCATGAATGCAAGTGAAAAAGATCGAGAACATCTATTTGTAAATGCAGGCAGGTCTTCGATGCAATGGGGTTTGATATGGGGGAAAGGGATGAGTAAGGTGCAGTGGACAGGAAGACAATACTCAAGGACACTGCAAAGGACAAAACACAGGTACACATGATAACTCACCTGTCATTTGTATCACTGGCTAAACTCAACACGGACTATTACATTCAGTTCTGGGTTTTATTTTTATTTTATTTTTTCTTAATCCTCACCTGAGGATATATATTTTTTTATATTTATCTTCAGATGGAGTGGGAGGGAGGGAGCGGGAAAGAGAGAGAAACCTCGATGTGAGAGAGACACATCAATTGGTTGCCACCTGCACGACCCCAACTGGGGCCAGGGACGAACTGCAACCGAGGTATGTGCCCTTGGCCGGAATCAAACCCGGGACTCCCTGGTCCACAGGCCCACGCTCTAACCGCTGAGCAAACTGGCCAGGGCTCAGTTCTGGGTTTTAAAACTAAGGAGAATCTGAAGCTTTATAAGAATTCAAAGATGAATAAAGAGATCACAGGAAGAAACTCATGAGAAAAGGTAATGTACCTGGACTGTTCTAAAGGAGAGGATTTAAGTAAAACTTAGCGACACTAAAGGACCTATTCTAATCTACAGAGATTAAACTACAAGAGTTTTTACATTAAACAAACATGACCAATGATGAGTGCAGTAAAAAGAGAATAGATTACTCTAAACAGCAGACCTGAAATGTCAGAAAAGATGTGTATCTACTTTGGAAAGGTAGGAGGTGACTTTGTCCAAATCTGAGGGACTTTCAAGGTTTCTTCTAAGAAGACTGTGTTTTGCCCGGCCTGAGTGGCTCAGCGGTTGAGTGTTGACCCATGCACCATGAGGTCACCAGTTCGGTTCTGGGTCAGGGCACATGCTCTGGTTGCGGGCCCCAACCCCAGTGGGGGACATGCAGGAGGTGGCCAGTCGATGTTATCTCTCATCGATGTTTCTCTCTCTCTCTCCCTACCTCTTCCTCTCTCTCTAAAAATCAGTACAGAAAATTTAAAAAAAGACTCTGTGATTTTATGGCCTAATGACTGCTCCTACTGCGATTAGCACCGATTACCACAAGTGTTCATGATGATGATAATTACTAAATAGCTACGTGTCACACTGTGGCAGATTGCTAATATCACTTAACCTTTATGACAATCCTCCCAATTAAGAATTATTATCTTCATTTCACAAATGAAGAAATGATGGCTAGCAAGAGGAAGTAATGTGTATAAAAGATTAATATGGTATAATAAAGAATACATTTGGTCTTTGCCCCAGGTTCCTGGTATAGAGCTTCAATAATCCTTGGAATTTCCTCAGTTAGGAGTCTGTGCTATGCTAATGAGATGACTCTGGGCTGGCCTCAAGATAACCTCAGAATGGGGAGGACCAACCATGTAATTAGAGGGTTGGAACTTTGACCCAGACCTCTGAGGAGGGAAGGGCAAGCTGAAAATGGAGTTTCATCAATCACAGCTACATAATAAAACCCCAATGGAAAAACTACATCAAAGCTCAAGGAGCTGCCTCGTTGATGGAACACACTGATGTGCCTGGAGGGTAATGCATCCTGACTCCAGGGAGAGAGGGCAACTCTACACTCCCTCTAAGACCTACCTGTGTGGGCATCCCTTACAATAACTTGTAATTATAAATACAGCGCTTTCCTGGATTCTATTAGTTGTTCTAGTGAATTATTGAACTTGAGGGGGGGGTCCATGGGAATCCCCAAATTTGTAGCTGGCTGGTCAGAAAGTGTGAGTGTCCTGGATACCACTATAGAGAACTGACTCCTTAACTTGCACGATCTGACACTAACTCCAGGTGGTTAGAGTAAGAACTGAATTATAATGTACTCATCTGGTGTTAGACCAGCTGGCATCCAAACAGAACAGTTACTAACATAAGAAGTTCTATAGCCAGGACTCGAACCTTGTTCTGTCTAATTCCAAACAGAGCATTTCATTATTACCAGAGTCATAGTATAAACCACAGCAACTTTCAATTTTTCGTTTTATTATAAAATGGCACACAATTCATGAAGGTTATAGTTTCCATACTAACTTATATAAAATGAAAAATTACCCTGGATGATTTTGCTCAGTGGTTAGAGTATCAGCCTGTGGTCCCAAGAGACCCGGGTTCAGTTCCCACTAAGGGCATGTACCTCGGTTGCAGTTTGTCCCCGGCCCTGGTTGGGTTGTGCGGATAGCAGCCACTCGATCTGTCCCTTTCACGTTGATGTTTCTCTCTCTCTTCCTCTCTTTCCCTTCCACTCTATCTGAACAAAAAATGTAAAAATGTCCTTGGATGAGAATAAAAAAAAATTATGTCAGCTTGACAACTGATAAGTCCAGTTAAGGAATTAAATTACCATCTCATTGCTCTCAGACATAACTAACACAATATCAATGTAGGAGCAGCTATAACACAGTGCTTCATATGGATGGCAAGGTATTAAATAATATGAAGCAAATTTAGGATCTGGAGTAAAAGCCACCTCCAACACTTTTGAAGTTTTGTTTTTTAATCCTCACCTGAGGACATTTTTGCATTCATCTTCGATAATGAGAGAGACACATCGATGTGAGAGAGACACATTGACTGATTGCCACTCACATAACCCCAACTGGGGCCGGGGACAAACTGCAACTGAGGTACATGCCCTTGGCGGGAACCAAATCCGGGTGTGTCTGGTCCACAGGTCGACGCTCTAACTGCTGATCCAAACCGGCCAGGGCTGTTTTGTTTGTTTTTTTGAGAGAGAGGAAGGGAGAGGAAGAGAAAGATCAATGTGAGAGCAAAACATCAACCAGCTGCCTCCAGCACGCCCTCTACTGGTTATCAAGCTTGCAACCCAGGCGTGTACACTGACCAGCAATTGAACTGGCAATCTTTCAATGTGAAGGACAATGCCCAACCAAAACCTGAAAAACCTATTTTCAACCTTCAGATACGATGGAGTCTTTTTTTTTTTTTTTATCCTCACCCGAGGACATTTTTTTACTTTTTGTTCAGATAGAGCAGAGAAAGAGAGAGAGAGAAACGTCGACGTGAAAGGGACACATCGAGTGGCTGCCACCCGCACGACCCAACCAGGGCCGGGGACAAACTGCAACCGAGGTACATGCCCTTAGCGGGAACCGAACCCGGGTCTCTCTGGACCGCAGGCCAATGCTCTAACCGCTGAGCCAAACCGGCCAGGGCGGAAAGAGTCTTACTGTTGTTTCCTATAAGCTTGAGAGAAACCACAGAGAATAAGTTCAGATTAATATTTCTGTGATCAAAGTGAATGTTACATGTGTTCTCTGCCAACAAGAGAACTTTCTGAGCAGCAACACAGAAAACAAAATAAAATAAATCTCCAGAATCCAGGCAATGCTATCTTTTTTCTATAGTTTACTTAAAAGTTTTCTAAGGTTTTATTTCAACTTATGAACCCCAAAGGTATTTCCCAAACTTAATCTTCCTTTACTAGGATGTATATAAACTGTACTGTTTTTGATGCTGAAAGTCTTTATACTCATCTGCTTTATCTACTTCTGTCTTACCTGGCCTGTTAGTGGCTGCCATAATAAAAACCTGCTGACGTGTTTCCAGACCATCCATCTCTGTAAGCAGCTGATTCACCACCCGGACACTTGCCCCTGTCTAAAAAGAAACAAACATAGCTCCATCAGCGCCCTATAAAAAGTAAAATACATCACCAATTTTTTTTTTTTTTTGCTATACAAAATCATACACTTAATAATTTGAATGAAGCTTTTGTCAAAAGTGGTAACAATGGCCCTGGCCAATTTGGCTCAGCGGTTAGAGCGTCGGCCTGCGGTCTGGGGAGACACGGGTTCGGTTCCCGCTAAGGGCACGTACTTCGGTTGCAGTTTGTCCCCGGCCCTGGTTGGTCGTGCGGGTGGCAGCCACTCGATGTGTCCCTTCACGTCGATGTTTCTCTCTCTCTCTCCCTTCCTCTCTCTCCCTCCCACTCTGTCTGTACAAAAAATGGAAAAATGTCCTCGGGTGAGGATAAAAAAAAAAAAAAAAAAAAGTGGTAACAATGCCCTGGCCGGTTTGGCTCAGTGGTTAGAGCGTCGGCCTGCAGTCCAGAGAGACCCGGGTTCGGTTCCTGTTAAGGGCACGTACCTCGGTTGCAGTTTGTCCCTGGCCCTGGTTGGGTTGTGTGGTTGGCAACCACTCGATGTGTCCCTTTCACATCGATGTTTCTCTCTTTCTCTCTCTCTCTCCCTCCCACTCTATCTGAACAAAAAATGGAAAAATGTCCTCCGGTGAGAATAAAAAAAAAAAAAAAAAAGCGGTAACAATGATCATTTCCTGACTAGCCACTACTAGAGAGCCAACCACAGCACAAAATGTGTTCTCAGCCTCATGGTTCCCCAGCAATCCTCTTCTTTCAGCCACAGTTCAGACAGGAAACTGGCTGACAGAGGATGTTGAGTTATTTGTCCATGGTCTCACAGCAAGATAAGGGCAGAGATAAAACTCAAACTCAGATTTATCTGATCCCAAACTCTATGCCTCTGAGTTATTCAAAGATCCAGCAGCCACAATAAATTTCCTTTTGGACAAATCTAGACTCAGCTTTTGAATGCCAGATCAGATTCCTCAGGATATCAGATGTTTCATCTGCGACACTAAGTCTTTCTTTCTTCCTTACAGTACAAGTATTGCTACCTCAGGGCAACATCAAGAGCAATGTTCTGGGGGCTGGGAGAGGGGCAAATCCCTCAGGTAACAGAAATTTTAAACTGCAGAATAGAGTAAATGAGAAAAGCGGTCCTGTTTCCTTTTGTTATTAATTGCCTTTCTTCAACACATACTTTATGTACAGAGGTGGTAATGAGTTTAACCCACTGATTTCTCAAAAAATTTTTTTGGTGTACCTTATTATCACTGCTTGGCAAGTGATAGTTAGGAGATTAACAGAATTATAATCTAGACTCAAAAATATGAAATTACTAGATAAAAATAAAAACAAAACATTGTCCTACCTAAGCAAGATAAAAACCTCAGAATCAATACAGGAAAAGGTGGACAAATTTTACTATATTAAAATGATAACATTGTATATAATAAAAAAAATTAAAGCTAGGTGGTAAGACTGGGAAAAATAGTACCCACACACATAATTGGACAATGAACTAATTTCTACCACACATAAAAAGCTCCTATAAAAAACAAACAAACAAAAAAACCCAGTTCAATAGCAAAAGGGTCAAAGAATATAATCAGGCAATTTATAGAAGATAAAATATAAAATCATTGAAGACGATCAACCTCACTGATAATAGGGGACATAAATACTACAATTTAATACAGTATCATGCTTTGCCAATAAAATTGAAAAAATTAAAAGATGGGTATTATCCACAGTTGACAAAATTGTGGAAAATGGTTATTTTTTATTTTATTTTATTTTTTCCTTTACTGATTTTTTTAGAGACAGAGGAAGTGAAAGGGGAGAGAGAGAGAAACATTGACAAGAGAGAACATCGACTGGTCACCTCCTGCATGCCCCCCACAGGGGATCAGGCCCACAACCTGGGCATGTGTCCTGGCTGGGAATTGAACTGGTAACCTCTTGGTGCATGGGTAGATGCGCAACCACTGAGCCATACCGGCCGGACGGAAATGGTTATTTTCACACACTGTTGGTGGGGGTATGCAACTGGTAGTTTATGTGAGGAATGATTTGTATTAGCTCTCAAAATGTAACATGCATACATCTCCTACCCCAAAATTCTACCTCTAAAACTCTCATATACTCCCAAATGTGCACAAAAATATGTTATGAGACTGTTTACTACAGTTCTGTTTATAAGAGAAATAACTAGAAACAATGTAAATGTCCAAATCAGAGGAATTATTTAAAAAGTCTAAAAAAATACATGTTTTTAAGTTTATGAAAAAAGTTCTAGAATGACAGATACTAAACACTAAACTGTTAGCAGAAGTAACCTCCCCAAGAAGAACTGTAGGGACGAGGATGGGAAGACTTTCACTCTCCTTATACTTGTATTCATTTGAATTTTCACAAGTAAACATTCATATGCAACTTGCATAATAAAAAAACACATTCAAATTTGAAATATTTTCAGAATCCTTAGGTGAAAATGGTAAAAGTCAAAACATATGTATTAGAATGCAAAAAGGTGTGCTGGTAGATACTCTAAAGGGAGAGAACCTAAGTTAGGGACGTAATTTGTATGGCTACAGACTTCTCTGAGGGCAAGTAGTTGATTGGATATACCTCACTGCACGCCCCCAATACTTAAATTACTAGTTGATAACAGAGAGCTACAAACCAATGAAAGGGGCTGTCAACAAATGAAGAGTTTGTTTGTGGCAAAAGAGTAAAATCCAGAGCACACCATGCCCCAATCAGCTGGATAGAAAGTGTGGTTTGCTCTGGATTCCACACTATACTTGGGGATATGATAGCTGGTAGGTGAACAGGAAGGACCTCTGCCCTGGCCACTGACATCATTGTCAGATGAGACTGTAACAGGATATTCTGTGATGATATTGATGACTACTGGATGAAGAAACAAAACTGCTATAATATGAATCACACTTGTATTAGTCAAATTTTGTTTTGGTAACTGTTGAAATGTTTCTGGAGACTCTAAGTGAAATGAGGCACTGAATAGATGTTTCACTACCTAAGAGTGCACACACAGAATCATTACCTGGAAATACAACACAAAAGAAATAGAATCACTATGCTTCCAAGTCTTATGTAGCAGTGCTACTGATAACAGCCGCTTCCGGGCACTCTTTTTACTGAAATTTCTAAGAACTATGACTCAGTGTAGTAATGCAAGTGGTAGTCAACACAGACCAACTTTATGTCTTCTCAGAGTGTGATGGTGCTGAGTCAGTGGATATTACCTGACCCTACCGTGAGTGCGTGTCTTAGATTACATTTTGTCCTGCCTCGAGAACTCAGTTAACTAAAGAGAATCATAAGATTACAAGCAGGCTTTTCAAAATCATTATTTCCATTCTCAGTTACTCAATTGTGTGAATCCGATATGTGCAACCAAACTAATGTACTAAAATAAAAAAGAGGATACAAAGGTTAATAAAAATACAACTGTTATTCCTTGGCCCCAATTTCAAATTACTAGGTTTCTTCACATAGAGTCTCAATGTTCTCAAGGAATGACTTTACAAGAACTATTTGAATTTTATATAAACTTTATGAAAACTTATAAAAGGTCTGTGGTATTTTTTTTAAAAATCTGTATATCACGAATCTATGATACCTACCTCTCGGTCTGATCTTCGAGGGCACAAGGCATCCACTTCATCAAAGAAGATCACACAGGGTGCTGAGTTCTTGGCCCGCTGAAAAACCTGCCGCACGGCACGCTCACTTTCACCGACGTACTACACACACACAGGAGACAAAATGAAGAGACAGTTCGACTTTGGGGTTTAAGCCAAATTAAAGTAAAACTAGTTTTAAATGACATTTTTATGTCACAGTCCAAAAAGTATTCGGTTGAACCATATGAAATCGCTAGTATTTGCCCATTTTTGACCTATAAAAATAGCCAGTTGTATGTGGTTCAACTTAATAAAGTTAGCTATTATTTATGCTTATAAATGTCCTCATTTATAAAATAAAGACTAAAATGCAATGCAAGGTCTTCTCTAAGTAAAAAAAAATCTTACAATTCTATTCTATTTCAGAAGTGATCTCCTAAGCTCTATGCACATAAAATACCCAGCAATAATTTTCATTAATTCAACAATATTTTATGCGCAAACAAGGCACCTGACTGTTCTACTGTCATTTGTACACATCATCTTGCTACAGGAAGAACTATTTTGTCAGATAGCATCAGAAGAGGCTAGGTGAGCCAGCTAGAGGTCTAACAGCTCTCATATGACATAAAGCATGTTAAAATCTAAATCAAAGTATAAAATATTAATATCAGTCAAGAAATACAACAACTCATTAGCAGCTATATATAACATTAGGACTAATTAAAATAAAAAGTTGTATGTAAGAATATGGTTTTACTTTTAGCTAGGCATAAGAAATTGTTCTCATAAAATTTCAAACTATGGCTTTTTCTTTTCTATTTTTTTTTTTTTTACCAAGAAAAGCGATTTTGCTGTAATAAAACAGAATCTGAAAATATCTTACCAGTGCCAACAATATTACGAGGTATCTTTGATATTATTTTATGACTATAGGGTTATAAAGTAATTAAGGGAGACTATTTCAAAGATGACAGTTATTAACGTATTTTTGTTTTCTCATTTGAATAGAGCTGCCTTCCTTCGCGTGTATCCTGTACTTCTCTTTGTACTCTAGCTCACCTTGCTTCCCTTACTTGAACTGCTTTTCCAACCTACCACCAAATAGCTCTTGCATTCGAAAAGATCCCCATTAATCTTTCTTCCCGTTACTCTCTCTGCTCTTGATTTTCTACTATTATAACTTGTGAGTTCTTCTACTTCACTATACTATATCGTAAAGTCCTTCGAAAACAGAAGTCATGACTGGTTCAAATTTTTCTCTGATCATAACATCCTGGGCAGTGTGCAAATACTGTAAAACAATTTAATTCCCTGAACAATTTAATTCAGCAAAAATTATATTTGGATAGCTGAACCAAAACATTGATACGTTTTTTGCATTTATCTTCAGATACTGTGGGAGGGAGGGGGCAGAGAGAGAAACATTGACGTGAGAAAGACACATCAACTGGATGTCACCCACACAACCCCAACTGGGGCCGGGGACAAACTGCAACTGCGGTACATGCCCTTAGCAGGAACTGAACCCGGGACTCTCTGGTCTGCGGGCCAAGGCTCTAACTGCTGTGCCAAACCCGCCAGGGCTACACTCTTGCTTGTTAAAGCAAGCCTCTATCAGTCTTTGACATTCTTAAGATAGCTTGGTATGAAGGCCCTTCACCATCTGGCTATAGGCTTCTTTTCCAGCCTCCCCATAATCCTCTCACCTCCAAGGCTCATTTCTATTGCCGCCTCCAGTAGAAAAGCCAAAGTAAAATGCAAAAAAAGTAAAGAGGTGCATACATGTCCTAGAGAAAATACTTAAGTATAACTCTCTTATTTTAGGGTAAAGTAATATACAATAGGAAACAAAAATATGGAAGTGGGGATAAATTTAAAAAGCTTTTAAAAAATGTTTTTATTTATCAGAGAGAGAGGAGAGGAAGAGAAAGAAAAACATCCATGTTACAGAGAAACATCTATCAGCTGCCGCCTGCATGCCCCCTACTGGGGAATGAGCCTGCAACCTGGGCATTTGCCCTGACTGGGAATCGAACTGGTGACCTCTTGATACACGGGACAAGGCTTAACCAACTGAGCCACACTGGCCAGGGTTAAAAAGCCTTTTAAAACAAATAATACCATTCTCATTTTGTTTTTGTTTGAAAATATTACAGAACAGCACTTATACTTTTTATAAGAATGGATAAAAAATAAGAAATTCAGTTTCTTAAATTGGAGATATAAATTGCTTAAATGCTGAAAGAAGTTATTATATAGCACATTAGTGTTTTATTTCCCCAAAGTATTTTTATTTATTAATACTTAACTCACTTGAGCCACACAGTAACAGGACAAAGAAAGCAGATCAGACAACCCAGATTCAAATCTTAGCTCTACTATCTCCTGGCTGTCAAACTCACAAACTTAACTTCCTTTTTTTTTTTTATCCTCACCTGAGGACTCTTTTGCATTTATCCTCAGATAGAGCAAGAAGGAGAGAGGGCGGAAGAGAAAGACAGAAACATCTATGTGAGAGAGACACATCGAATGGTCACCACCCACATGACCCCAATCGGGAACAAACTGCAACCGAGGTACATGCCCTCAGCGGGAACCGAAACTAGGACTCTCTGGTCCACGGGCCAACGCTCTAACCACTGAGCAAAACTGGCCAGGGCTAAGTTCCTCTTTTAAAAATTGAATTTATTGGGATAACATTGGTTAATAAAATTATATAGGTTTCAAGTATACAACCCTCTAATATATCATCTGAATATTGCATTGTGTTTACCACGCCAAGTTAAGTCTCCTTCCATTACCATTTATACCCCCCTTTACCCTCTTCCACCTTCCCCACTCCCTAAACTTAAATTTCCTCATTTGCGAATCAGAGGAAACAATGATTCATATCTCACAGGGTTGCTGAAGAATAATACATGTGATGTGCTTGACAAATACATGGTACAGAGTAAACACTTTAAAATGTTAATTATTACAACTATTTCCATCTTGTAGGTGAGAAAACGGAGGCTCAGAAGTTACCAGACTTCATTAAGAAAGTACACACACTAAGTACAGCAGCGCAAAGCCCCATTTCTTCACTCCTAAGAGGTGATCTTACCAAAATGTGATAATCGTTTCAAAGATTGAGGACATTCTACCCTGTAATTTGAATGATCATTACCTTCCTTATCTAAACAATGGCTAATGCCACAACAACTTACCATATTTAGTAATTCAGGGCCCTTGACAGATATGAAATTTAGTCCAGACTCATTTGCAACAGCCTAGTAAGAGGAAACAAAAAGATACAATAAATTAATAATAATTTGTGATAACGCAGGGACTTCTTGTGGCTTATACTCTATTTCTCCACTTTTATAGTTGCCTCTTTCAAATTAGGAGAGGAGACATATGGGAAAAGAGAAATGGATAAAAAGAAAATGTTAACCTGAAACTTTCTAAGAACTATTAAGACTAGAAATCAGGTGAAAGTGACACAAAATATTTATGTAAATGTTGTATACGTGTGTAGCCCTAACTTGGAATTCTAGTGAAAGATCATAATCTCTGTATCAAGAAATGAATGTCCTGTCCAATGAAAGCAATCATTATTTTAAAACATTAGTTTAAGTCTTTATCAACTGTCAGTATTAATAGGCTACTTTTTTTTTTTATCCTCACCGGAGAACATTTTTCCATTTTTTTTGTTCAGATAGAGTGGGAGGGGGAGAGAGGAAGAAAGCGAGAGAAAGAGAGAGAAACATTGACGTGAAAGGGACACACTGAGTGGCTGCCTCCTGCAAGACCCAACCAGGGCCGGGAACAAAGTGCAACCGAGGCACGTGCTCCCAGCGAGAACCAAACCCAGGTCTCTCTGGACCGCAGGCCAACGCTCTAACTGCTGAGCCAAACTGGCCAGGGCTACTAGGCTACTTTTAATAAATAAAGATTGAACTGCGATTAAGAGTAATGGTTCAAAGCCAAAGAGAAACACACAGCTACATGTGTGGAAGAATCCAAGAATTAGAACCTGAATATAGAGATAAAACCTGAAAACAATCTCTCCGAACTTCAACATGATCAGGTAATGGCCGGCTGGCACGGCTCAGTGGATCGAGTGTCGTCCCATGGACTGAGAGTTTCCGGTTCGATTCCAGGTCAGGGCACGTGCCTGGGTTTCAGGCTCGATCCCCACTAGGGGGCATGCAGGAGGCAGCTGATCAATGTTTCTCACATTGATGTTTCTATCTCTCTCTCCCTTTCTCTCTAAAAAATCAATAAAAATGGATTATAAAAAAAAAAAAAAAAAAAAAGATCAGAGAACAGAGATCTTTCATGTTCGTAGAACCTGATACGTGAGCTCCAGATCCAGAGCCCACATACACTACTTGGCATCTCCATGTGGATCTTACAGAGGTATTTCACATCTACCACTTCCAAAGCAAGATTCCAGCTCTCCCAACTCCCTCTAAACCAATTCTTTTCATCCCCATCTCAGTAAATACAGTTTCTAGGCAAAACCTTGGTGTCTTCCTTGATCCCTTGTTTTGTCATGTCATCCAATCCATATATGCAAATCCTATTAGCTTAATGCTAAAAATCTATGTGAGCCTGACACATTCTATTTCTCTACTACACCACCACCTATTCCAGAACACTGTCATCTCTTGCCTGGAAATGCAGAAGCAAAACAAAAATGAACAAATAAAACCTCTCAAATTCCTAACTGGTTTCTTCTCACTCTTGCTTTCCTCCAATCCATCTGCACATGGCAGTCAGAGCACTTTTTAAAAAATGTAAGTCAGCCCTGAGCAGTGGTTAGGACATTGGCCTGAGGACCAAAGAGTCACGGGTTCGATTCTGGTCAAGGGCATGTACCTCGGTTGTGGTTCGGTCGCTAGCCCTGGTCAGGGTCATGCAGGAGGTAACCAGTTGATGTGTCTCTCGCATCAATATTTCTCTGTCTCTTCCCCTCCCTCCCACTCTATCTGAAGATAAATGGAAGAATATCCTCAGGTGAGGACTAAGAGAAAAAATAAGTCAGATCATATCATTTTACTAGGTTTCTCATTTATCTTTCAGTACAATTTGAAATATTTACCATGCTCATAAGCCTATACTTTGGGACATGACATTCTCTTTGGTCTAGTCATTGGCTCTTCTTCTGGTTCTCGAACTCAACAAGCTCTTTCCTAACCCACTTCAGGGATTTTACAACTGCTGTTCCCTCTCTGGGAGATGCTTCCCCTTCTTTCCCTGCCTCTTCATGTGGCTAGCTGCTTCTCAGGGCTCTTAAATAGCACCATCCCTTGAACACCATACCTACAATAGCCAGCTCCCAATCAATCTATCATAACAATCTGCTTATTTCCTTTAGAACTTAGCTGAACTGTAATTTTATTGTTTTTGTTTACTGCCTGCCCTTCCAAACAGACAAAATATATCCTTTAGCATAGGTTCACTAGTTTATCCCCAGCACCTGAAACAATTTCTGTAAGAGTAAGTAGCTCAATAAATACCTATTGAACAAAGGAATACTTGCATGCTCCAAAATTTGCCCACATAAATATATGAACAGTAATTCAAAAAGAAAAATAGCTAATAAATATATACTTTTTAAAGCGCACTAGTAATTTTTAAAATGCAACTTAAAAACTACAAGGTACCACTTTTCTTATTGTCCTGCATGACCCTTTGAAGTCCCCAAGGCACCTGACTTCATCCCTAGCTCAGGATGTCTTATATACCCGTGTCCCTTTCTATCTCCAAACTTCTAACTCTCTAACTCTCCTTTCAGTGTGGTTCCTGCACATATGTATATATTAAACTTGGTTATTTCCTCTTGCTAAACATCCACGCCCCCCCCCCCCAAAAAAAAACTGTAAGATGCCACTTTTACCTATCAAATTATGAAATACTAAAAACAATGTTAATGGTTATTGCTAATTTAGGCTTTGGGCAATGGATACTCATTACTCTATTGATAGGGGTGGAAACTGATACAAAGTTTTTGGAAGGCACTTTAGTAATGGATCAAAAATTTAAAAAAATTCCTTTTACTGTAAAAAGTATTTAGGAATGCATTCTTTTTTTTTTTTTTTTTTTTTTATCCTCACCCAAGGACATTTTTCCATTTTTTGTTCAGACAGAGCGGGAGGGAGAGAGAGGGAGAGAGAGAGAGAGAAACATCAACGTGAAAGGACACATCGAGTGGCTGCCACCCGCACGACCAACCAGGGGCCAAACTGCAACCGAGGTACGTGCCCTTAGCGGGAACCGAACCCGGGTCTCTCCAGACCACAGGCTGACGCTCCAACCGTTGCGCCAAACCGGCCAGGGCAGGAATGCATTCTAACAAAATTATCAGGCAAGGCCCTGGCCGGTTTGGCTCAGCAGTTAGAGCATCAGCTTGCGGTCCAGAGAGACCCGGGTTTGGTTCCCGTTAAGGACAGGTACCTTGGTTGCAGTTTGTCCCTGGCCCTGGTTGGGTGGCAACCACTCGATGTGTCCCTTTTATGTTGATGTTTCTCTCTCTCTCTTCCTCTCTCTCCCCCCTCACTCTATCTGAACAAAAAACGAAAAAATGTCCTCGCGTGAGGATAAAAAAAAAAAATTATCAGGCAAGGTATAAAAATGCAAATACAAAATTATTTAATACAGTGTTATTTTAATAGGGGACCATTTCCACATATTATAGGACATCTTTATGGTAGAACACTATGTAGGCATTAAAAATATTAATGTGTTTCTATATATATTGATATAGGAAGATGTTCGAGAAATATTGCTAAGTGAGAAAAGCATGTTTAAAAACTTTATATTTGTAAAAATGTGTATAAAAGCTATATATATCTTGATATGAATGTACAGAAAAACATCTAAAAAAACTGACAACAGAATGAAACATAGTGGTCATAGTGAGAGGATTATAAATAATGCCTTTGCTTTCTGTTTATACTGTCCACTGTGAAGCAAAAAATTTAAACAAAAAATTATAAGAAATGTAGAGAAAAATAAGTTAGATTATAAATAATAACTATCAAAGCAAGAAATTACAAACTATAAGTTAAATAACACTCATTATTTATTTATTTTTTAATCCTCACCCGAGGACATTTTTCCATTTTTTGTTCAGATAGAGTGGGAAGGAGAGAGAGGAAGAGAGAGAGAGAGAGAGAGAGAGAGAGAGAGAGAAACATCGACGTGAAAGGGACACATCGAGTGGTTGCCACCCACACAACCCAACCAGGGCCGGGGACAAACTGCAACCAAGTTACATGCCCTTAGCGGGAACCGAACCCGGGTCTCTCCGGACCGCAGGCCAATGCTCTAACTGCTGAGCCAAATCGGCCAGGGCAAATAACACTCATTAAAAGCTAGAACATATTAGGCAGAAAATATGATAATTGCTGTGTTAAAACTGATGGGGTTATAGCTGATTAAAATTTTTTTCTTTTCTAAATTTTCAATGATGTACTTTTGTAATTAAAAGGTGTGGTGGTGGGGGTGCAGAAGAACTAAATAGATATTTTGCCAAAGAGGACATCAAAATGGCCAACACACACATGAAAAGATGGTAACCTAACTAACCATCAGGGAAATGCAAATCAAAACCACAATGAGATATCACCTCACACCTGTTAGAAGGGCTAGCATCAAAAAGACAAGTGAGAACAGGTGCTGGCTAGACTGTGGTAAAAAGGGAACCCTTATATACTTTTGTTAGGAATGTAAATTAATCCAACAAGAGTGACAAATAATATGGAGATTCCTCAAAAAATTAAAAATAGATTTACCACACAATCCAGCAACTCCACTTCCAGGTATATACCCAAAGGAAATAAAAACAGAATTGATGAGATATATGCACTCCCATGTTTACTGCAGCATTATTCACAACAACCAGTATATGAGAACAACTCAAACACCCTTAAATAAGTCAATGGGTAAAGAAGATGTGGTACATATACACAACGAAGTATTACTCAGCCACAACAAAGAAGGGCATCCTTCCATTTGTGACATCATGGGTGAACCTTAAGCACATTATGCTAAGCTAGGGAAGTCAGACAAAGGAAGACAAGTATTATCACTTTTATGTGGAATCTAAAAAGGATAATATATAAAAAACAGATAGGAAAATGATCATTACCAGGGAATGAGTGGGAGGGGCAGGGAGGAATAAGAAAAAATAAAAGTGGGAAACTTTCCTGAAGAAAACTGTCAGTCTTAGTAAAATGAACTTTTAGTAGAAATTATACAAAAATATCTCAGTGTATTACTCAGAGTTGAATTCATCTTATCCTCCTGAAAGAAATGAAATACACGCAGCTGAACCTACACCGTACCTTCGCCAGCAGAGTTTTCCCACAGCCAGGAGGGCCAGCAAGGAGGACTCCAGCCGGAGTCACCAATCCGAGAGCTTGGAACTGCTCTGGGTGCCGTACTGGTGCCTGGAAAGTACAATCCAACAGCGACCCATGACAAATGTCCTTTCATACTGCATGTTCAAATGATGCCCAGAGGCTCTGCCTGGGACAAAGTACTTACTTGCTCCAGGCATGAAGTACATGGTGACAAACAAAAGAGCCCCTGCTCTTGATAAATCCATAATTAAATGTTAGTTCTGAAAACACTTTAAACATAAAGCAGAAGCACAATACTCAACATTGTCAAAAGCCAGAGACACCTGTTCACTGTAACCTCCGTGTATTTTCTTTCAGTAGTTACACATCTCTGTATAGACCATACGTCACTAATGAACCCCAGAATGATTAGTAGAGTGGAAAAATAAGAGTAAATAAAAACCTGAAGTTTCATGGGCATTAAACTGCTTTGGCCTTTATGAGCTTGACTGAGTTCAGAAAGTATTTTTCGAACAATTTGGTCTTGGTTGAAACCTAAACTTTTATTTGTACTTACTGTCATAGAATTCAAGCTTAGCTGAAGAAGTAAGTCTATTTAAAAAAATTTTTTTTTTATCCTCACTTGAGGACATTTTTCCATTTTTTTTTGTTCAGATAGAGTGGGAGAGAGAGAGAGGAAGAAAGAGAGAGAGAGAGAAACATCGAAGTGAAAGGGACACATCGAGTGGATGCCACCCGACGACCCAACCAGGGCCGGGGACAAACTGCAACCCAGGTACGTGCCCTTAGTGGGAATTGAACCCGGGTTTCTCTGGACCACAGGCCGATGCTCTAACCACTGAGCAAAACCGGCCAGGTCAGAAGAAGTTAAGTCTAAAATAGATCTCAGAAAAATGAAAAACCACCACTGGGGCTCAGTAATAATACAACACAACACATACAAGAAAACTTACAGTCAAGTCAATTTAGACATACAACCAAGTACACGCACATGGTCATTTACTCATCACATGGGCCAATGGCATTTAGCTGCATATACACCTACCAATATTGCCATGGTGAGCTCCTCTCTAATATCTTCCAAGGCACCAATATCTGCCCACGTCACATTAGGGACAGTGGCAAAGCCTTCCCTTTTGGCAGAGGGTTGGACTGAGGACAGAGCAACAATGAAATCATTCAATTCAATGCACAGCCCTTGCAGCTGCTCCTCGGAGAGGGGATCTTGGTTTCTTAGCAACCCCAGCAGACTTTCCAATTCATCCTTAATGGGAGCAATTGAGAGGAAAAAAAAAGAAAAACCAAAGTTTGTTAAATATACTTTTTGTACTTTTAAAAATTATTACTGCAATATTTTGTAAGCTATAGTGAACTTCTATGTATTTTAATAATTTTCTCCACCAATAAGAGGTATTAATTTTATTCTAAATAGAGAATTTTACTTGGTCAAGGAAAGATACACCAATTATACTCAAATATAGAAGAATGATTTTGTAGCCTATACTATGGCTAGCTACAGTAAACATAAGCAGTTGGCACAGATTCATTTCAACAATCATGTTATTTTCATTTTTCACTTATAAATATTTAAGAAGCAGCTAAATTTTGGTGGAATTAAAACAGTTACTGGGATGGCAGTAAAATTTCATGATATGGTTCCTTGGTGGCTTATGAACTGAACAATTATCCTAGCCCACTGAATCTTGAACTTCTCAGACAGATTTCTTGCCTTGTGAAGAATATGAAAGGACAAGTATAAAGAGTAACTGAATAATTCAATTTAGAAAACCCTAATTTATATGCAACATTATAAAAGGAATAAGTTTATTATTATTTTTAACAGATATAATTATGGTTCCAAACGAGTAAGAAAAACATTATTTGAAAACCAAAGACCTGGATCTAAGTTCCTGCTCTGGAAAGTAGAGGGGTATGGTCTTGGGCAAGTCACAATCTCTCAACCTCAGCTTCTTTGATTATAAAATAAGAAAAGTAATGATATTTACTTGACAAAGTTACATAGATCAAATTATATGATATATAGATGCCTCTGTGCAAACCTTCAAATGGCATATAAATGTTACTTTGAGTTTTCATGATTTACAAAACTCAAACATTTTAACACTGATCTTTGACTGGTAAGCGTCCTCCCACGTTCCTAGGACTGCCCTCCAGACCATTTCAGCTGCGGACAAGAGGACGGCTGCGCCAGCACTTCCCTAGTCCACCTAACCAAACCCAGGACAACCCACTGCTATAGCAGGAGCTGGCACACCTTCCCTGAAGGACTGGAGAACAAACACTGCAGGCTTTGTGGACCCCACATCCCTGCTGTAAAAACTCCTGTGTGAATTCTGCTGTGAAAGGTGGAAGCAGAAATAGACAATATGTAAATAAATGAGCAGAGCTGTGTTCCAATATAACTTTCATTTATAAAAACAGGTGGTAGGAGGGTGAGTCCTATTTTGCCAACCCCTGTTCTAGAATTTCATAATCATTCTTGTAAAATGAATTTATTCAGGATAAACCAAAAAACAAACAAACCAAAAAACCAAAGCATGTAATTTTGAAATTATAGGCATTCTGGGTGTAACTGATGATATAAAGAAAGAACATTTAAAGGACAGTTTAAGCACCTGTGTGGGCTCAGTTCCAATCCGTTGTTCCTGGCCTCCTTCGAAGGGCAAGCCTTCAGCCCCGGGGTCTTTCCTCTGCGTGTCCTGCAGCTGCATTAAGACCCTGCTGACTGCACACATGGCTGCCTCCCGGCAGAGTGCCATCAGATCAGCACCAACAAAGCCTGGCGTTAGGTGTGCCAAGTGACGGAAAGAAAAAGTTTCAGGAAGTCTTAGTTTTCTGCACAAAGTTTGAAGTATTCTGCAGAAAAGACAGGAAAAAAATTCAGATCCCTAAACTACTAGTAAAAACAAATCAGTGAATATATTGATTTGAAGTCCTCACTCTCTGTCAGTGATTCAGCATTTTTTGAAGGAGCTATTTGATCTTATACTATGCCCATTCAACAAATGCTAAATCACCATTACACATCCCACTTTATTCCATTGAGGATTAAGGTAAATATCTACTTTGTGAAGAATTATATTAAATGCTATGAGGAATAAAAATATAGATGCTTAAAAAGTATTCTGCCTTTAAGAATTTTCCAGTATTAGAGTAAATAAGATAAATGATTTATGAGGATAAAAGGTGAGCTCTACTTTTAGAGTAGATTAAATAGATATCTACCGGAAATAAAAGCCTCCAAACTCAAACCATTATTTCTACTCAGTAAAAAAGTTATGCTGATATATACTTTAATATCCTATTTTATTTTATTTAAAAAAATTTTTTTTTCTTTATTGATGTTACAGAGAGAGGAAGAAGGAGAGATAGACGCATCAATGAGAGAGAACATCAACTGGCTGCCTCCTGCATGCCCCCTCACTGGGGATTGGACCCACAACCTGGGCATGTGCCCTGACCGGGAATCAAACCGGCGACCTCTTGGTGCGTGGATCAATGCTTAACCACTGAGCCACACCAGCCAGGCTAATATCCAATTCTATATTAGAACGGCTACTTCTTCAAAAACTGGTATAAGGGTTACATAGGAGAAGTGTTAGGGCTAAAGTCATGATGTCTTCAACTATCCTTCAAATGGCTTGGCAAGAACAAAAAAAAGGTACACACACACAAATAATGTATGCTTGTATATAGAGAGTAACAGTAAACATGACAAAATGTTAACAAGTAATAAACTTAGGTAAAGGGCATACATATATTCATTGTATTATTCCTTCAACTTTTTGTAGACCTAAATTTTTTCAAAATGTGGCCATCTACAAAAGCCCTTTGAGGACTTTGTTGATGACGGAAAACTGGATAGATGAACAAAGGATTTTATCTTGTAGAGATGATAGGCGCCCCTATGTCTATGTCTCTACCATGAAATTTGACACTCAATCAAAAAAAGAGCTAGATAAAGGACACAGGCCTTATTGTTCTCTTACTGTGTTGGAAGCATGTTGAAAGCAAGGACTCATAATATTATATTCTCCACATTACTTACCACAGTGGCATATGCACATACTATATGCAACAGGTGTTTGCTGAACATATGCAGACTTCTTCAGTATCAAATAATATTTTGCTGTAGTTATAAACAAGCCAGTAAACAAACCTAAATGTCTGAGTGACTGTTTGAAGATTATCAATGTGTGGAAATGCAGTTAGCAGATATGTACATGACTATGAATACAGTAGCTGAAGAAGAAATTGCAAACCAATCAAAAGTGGAAGCCATATAAAGTACTCGGAGGAAGGGGTGATACACATCCCTTCCTAATGCGTTCTCCTTTCCACAGTGCCTTGATCACTTCTATTTCCTGCATTCCTGAAGTCTACCCTTCTTCACTGCACCTGACTATTTCCTTTCACTACGTACTACTGTTCCCGTACACCAATTTTAGTGTCATTAACCTAGACCATTATAAAGTATTTCAAAACATTTATTTACTGGATTTCTGCTCCTAAGTAGTGCCTCCTGAGATTTTTTAGTTTTTGACATATGGGTGAACACTTCTTTGCTCTGCTGACAGTCAACACCAATGACTAGGAAAGGTTGGTTCTACAGCAAAACTCAGGTTTCAACTCTCTGGCTGCCATCTAATTATTTTTCACAGGACCTGTGGTCTTAGGCAGCTTAGTGCAACAGGTTCAAGCATGGTACTCAGACTTAGCCCACATGTGGACCAGTAAGCACTGCTCTATTCTATACTCTAGACACAGCCCTAAGCTGACCAGCCAAACTAAAAGTGCAAGCCACTGTTAATAAGACTGGACAAGTAAGTATACATATGTAAGTCCACTATCACTACTAGAAAATGTCTGAAACAATTACTCTATTGATGAGTAAATTATTTCCTTAAACATTAATTGAATGTGGGCTTTTTTTCCTTTCCAAATCAATTTAACTGGCAAAAAAGAGAGAGAGAGAGAGCAAGAGAAGAAGAGTAGGCTACATACCGTCTCTCATCCCTTAATTTCAAAGCATTCAGTTCAGAGCGCACAGTGGTACACAAACTTCATTCTCTAAAAGTATACCTTTCCCTGGATGCTTCATCTGGGATACCAAGGCATATTTCCCGGTCGAACCTTCCTGCACGTCTCAGAGCAGGGTCTAAGGAGTCTGGTCGGTTAGTAGCTCCAAGGACTAGGACCCGAGCTGTAGCAGCCACATTAGTGAGATCTAATAAGAACCAGACACAGGATGAGTGGTGAACAAGACACTTGACACTGTGGACAATAATGTGTACACATATCATTTAAGTGGTTAGAAAGAAAGTATTACACATTTTAACGGCAATATAAATAACATTTACTAAATGTCTGATTATGTGAGGAAGATAAATATAAATTGTCCTCAAGCAGCTCACAATCCAGTAAGAAACACAAAAGGCAGACTTTGTGAAGCAAAGCATCACAGAAGAGGAATAACAGAGAGCTAATGGAGGAGGTAACATTCCAGCCTTGAAGAATAGGATATTATCAAGCAGAATTAGCCTGGCCAGTTTGTCTCAGCAGCTGGAGCGTCAGCCCTCTGACCAAAAAGTTGGGGATTTGATTCCTGGTCAAAGGCACATACCCTGGTTACAGGTTTGATCCCCGGCTCTGCTTGGGGTCATGTGGGAGGCAACCAACTGATGTCTCTCACATAGATGTTTCTCTCTCTCCCTCCCTCCCTTCCACTCTAAAAATCAATGGAAAAATACCCTCTGGTGAGGATTAACAACAAAAAACAAGGAACACAGAATATGTACTACTTCAAATTTTCTCACGTATACACAAACATATACAATTTCACAGTTGGTAGAATCTAGTTTCTAAATGTTCTACTTGTGCTGATTCCTTCCCTCCAAATTTATATCTAAAAACCATTGAACAATATTAAGAAACAAGTTACAGATAGGCAGAAAATAAATGCAATATATTTAACAAAGGATTTGTTTCCATAACATATTGAAATAAAATATTCCTTCAAATCAATTAAAAAACAATTCAATAGAACAATGAGCAAAGGATGAGGGAAATAATACAAATTGCCAAAAAAAATATGGGAAGATGATCAACCTCAATGTTAACTGGGAAAATGCAAATGAAAACACATTGAGATATCAATTTTCACCCATCAGATTGGAAAAAACAATAACATTCAGTGTTGTGGAAGATCTAGAAAAGGGCAACTCTCATATAGTACTGGTAAAACGGCACACTGCAAAGTCTTTCCAAAGGCAATTTGCCATTTCCTATGAAAATATAGAATGTGTACTCTTTACTCATCACTTCAATTTTTAGTATGTATCCTAGAAATATACAAGTGCACCAACAAAGCCCATTTAAGGATATTCCCTACAGCTTGTTATAAAGCAAAAAACAAAACAACTTAAATACCCTCAAAATGATAATACTTAAATAAAATATGATAAATCTATCCTAAAGAAAACCAGGCAGCCACACTGGCCAGTTTGGTTCAGCAGTTACAGCATCGGCCTGTAGACTGAAGAGCATGTACCTCAGTTGCAGGTTTGACCCTCAGCCTCAGTTGGGGTCGTTCGGGAGTCAACCAATCAATGTCTCTCTCTCACACCAATGTTTCTCCCCCCCCCCCCCCTTCCCCTCTATCAAAAAAAGAAAAGAAAAAATACCAGGCGTCCTGGCTGGTTTTGCTCAGTGGTTAGAGCATTGGCCCATGGTCCGGAGAGACCTGGGTTCGGTTCCTGCTAAGGGCATGTACCTTGGTTGCAGTTTGTCCCCGGCCCCAGTTGGGGTCGTGTGGATGGTGGCCAGTCGATATGTCTCTCTCACATCGATGTTTCTCTCTCTCCATCCCTCTCTTTCTAAAACTCAATAAAAGCATATCCCCAGGTAAGGATAAAAAAAAAAGGTAAATTTAATTGCATTAAAATGGCAATATTTCCAAGACATTGTTAAGATACAAACAGCAAGCAACAGAACAATATGTATAGTGCTATAGCAATATTATAAAAAAAGCAAAACAAGATGTTAATGTACTTATATATGTGTGTAAACTCATTAAAAATAACTATAAACTTGGTCGGTGTGGCTTAGTGGTTAAGTGTTAATCCATGCACCAAGAGGTCGCCAGTTCGATTCCTGGTCAGGGCACATGTCCAGGTTGTGGGCTAAATCCCTAGTGGGGGGCATGCAGGAGGCGGCTAATCGATGTTCTCTCTCATCAATATTTCTAACTCTCTCTCCCTTTTCCTTCCTCTCTCCTAGAATCAATAAAGAAAAAACAATTTAAAAAAGTACAAAACTGTAAGTTACAACCCAAAAACTTCAATGATGTAATCTTTTATGAAAAGAAAAAGATTTGTTTTTTACTGAATTTTATTCTATTTGAATGTTTTATATCTTCATATATTATTTACACTATTAAAATCAAAATTTATTCTCTCATAGCAAATTCATTATTTTAAACTGACCATCCATGCAGGTTAGGAGCTGGGCTACAATTCTTCGTTCCATATCTTTTGAAGCAACTTCTCTTTTCGGGGTAATGGCATCAATTTCATCAATAAAAAGGATACAGGGTGCACTGGACTAGAAATAAGAATATCACAAAAGACAATCATAAGTGTATTTCCTATACTGCAGCATAGTTAACTATACATTATTTTATTTTATTTTATTTTTTTTTTATCCTCACCCGAGGACATTTTTCCATTTTTTGTACAGATAGAGTGGGAGAAAGAGGAAGAGACAGAGAGAGAGAAACATCGACGTGAAGGAACACATTGAGTGGCTGCCACCGCACGACCAACCAGGGCAGGGGACAAACTGCAACCGAAGTACGTGCCCTTAGCGGGAACCGAACCCGGGTCTCTCCGGACCCCAGGCCGATGCTCTAACCGCTGAGCCAAACCGGCCAGGGCCATTATTTTATTTTTTTTAAAGTTTTTTTCTTTACTGATTTTAGAGAGAGAGGGAGGGAGGAGAGAGAGATAGAAACATTAATGAGAAAGAACATCGACTGGCCACCCCCTGCATGCCCCCACTGGGGATTGAGCCCACAACCTGGGCATGTGCCCTGACCGGGAATCGAACTGGCAACCTCTTGGTGCAAGGGTTGACGCTCAACCACTAAGCCACACCGGCCAGGCAAAATTCTTTTTTTTGTTGTTGTTGTTGTTTTTGGTACGTGCCCCTAGCAGGAACTGAACCCGGGACTCTCTGGTCTGCCGGCTGATGCTCCAAATGCTGAGCCAAACTGACCAGGAACTATACAGTTTTTAAAATCTTAAAGTTCAAGGATCATTCACCAAAAGAATAATCCTGAAGAAGGCAGTTCACTTCTAATTTTTATCTGATTTAAGAGAAGCATGGTGCTTAAAAGAGACGCCATATAGAATAACACATTTATAGTCTCCTCAATCCATGTTTTGTGATGGTAAATCTACCAAAATTCTTTTGTAAATGAGGCATATTTGCTATGCAAAAAATATAAATTGTAAGTTTATAAATTTTAAATGAGAAAACCTAAGCTTACTACAACTGTTATAAGTGTAGCCCAGCTGGTGTGGTTCAGAGGATTGAGCATCTTTCTTTCCATGGACTGAGAGGTCCCGTTTCAATCCCTGGTCAGGGCACATGCCGGCACCCGGGTTGCTGGGGCGTGCAAGAGGCAGCCAATTGATGTTTCTCTCTCACATCGATATTTCTATCTCTCTCTCCCTTCCTCTCTAAAAAAAATCAATAAAAACATATTTTCAAAAAGTGTTCCTAGTAGCAGAACAATATCCAAGCTTTTCCCTAGAATCTGCTGTAAGAGGAATTAAAGAAGTACCAAAAGCTTTATTTTTAATTTATTTTTAAATTGTGGTAAAATATATGTAACATTTACCATTTTACCATTTTAGGTGTACACTTCAATGGCATTAAATATGTTCACACTGTTGTGCAAGCATCACTACCATCCATCTCCAGAACTCAATTGGCATCCCACACTGCAACTATGAGGCTTATTTTGAAGACTACACTAAGTAAGGAAGAAGGGTCAAGTTCAAATACATCAGTATGGATAATGATCATCTTCAGTCTTTGTAAAACATAAACTAGAGTTAAGGTAGAATAAATTAAGATATAATATAAGCACCAACTACCTGGAATAATCAAATTCACACAGACAGAAGTAGAATGGTGGTTATTAGGGACTAGAAGGAGGGGAAAATGTGGAGTTAGTGTTTAATGGGTAGAGCTGCAGTTTGGAAAGATGAAAACTTCTAAAAATGAAGGACAGTGATAGTTACACAACAATATGAGTGTACTTAATGCCACAGAACTGTACACTTTAAAATGTTTAAAATGGGCTCTGGCTGGTTTGGCTCAGCGGTTAGAGCATTGGCCTGTGGTCTGGAGAGACCTGGGTTTGCTTCCCGCTAAGGGCATGTACCTCGGTTGCAGTTTGTCCCCAGCCCTGGTTGGGTCGTGTGGGTGGCAGTCACTCGATGTGTTTCTTTCACGTCAATGTTTCTCTCTCTCTCTCTCTCTCTCTTCCTCTTTCTCCCTCCTGCTCTATCTGAATAAAAAATGAAAAAATGTCCTCGGGTGAGGATAAAATAAATAAATAAAATAAAATGTTTAAAATGGTAAACATATTTATCCCAATAAAAACAAAGAAACAATCAGTTACAATAAAAACTTTAAATAAAAATATCTATAGCCCTGGCCAGTTTGGCTCAGCGGTTAGAGCGTCGGCCTGCGGTCCAGAGAGACCCAGGTTCGGTTCCCGCTAAGGGCATGTACTTCGGTTGCAGTTTGTCCCCGGCCCTGGTTGGTCGTGCGGGTGGCAGCCACTCGATGTGTCCCTTCACATCGATGTTTCGCTCTCTCTCTCTCCCTCCCTCTCTCTCCCTCCCACTCTATCTGTACAAAAAATGGAAAAATATCCTCGGGTGAGGATAAAAAAAAAAAAGAAAAAAAAAAATCTATATATACAATCTAAAGTACACTCTTAGTTATTCGGTTGCCAGGAGTGACACTGATTATGCTAAGAGTCAGACTCTCAAGGGACCACTGCAATTTAAAAGGAAAGAGATTTGGCCCATCATTAGCTGGCTCTCCTCCCAATCTCCTTATGACAATGTTTGCAGCGAAGCACCTATGACTACTGGATACATGACCCAGTTACAATACAAACGTTTCAGAGACCAAAGGTCTCAGAAAGCAAGCAAAACAGTATCAATGGCCTGGAACACTAAAAGAGAGCCCTGGCCAGTTAGCTCAGTGGTTAAGAGCGTCGGCCCATGGTCCAGAGAGACCCGAGTTCGGTTCCCAGTAAGGGCACGTACCTCAGCTGCAGTTTGTCCCCGGCCCTGGCTGGGTCGTGCGGGTGACAAGCACTCTATGTGTCCCTTTCACATCGATGTGTGTGTCTCTCTCTCTCTCTCTCTCCCCCTCCCTCCCTCCCACTCTGAACAAAAAATGTCCTCAGGTGAGGGTAAAAAAAAAAACAGAAACAAAAAAAACTGAAAGAGAAAACGAGGAAGAAAAGAATTAAGAATAAGCTCAGTATTGGTTCAGAGAGAAGCACACATCGGTCTTTTATCTTCATTCACCATGTGTTTCCCATAAACACAAATTTTATTATTTACTAACTCACTTTGGAACACAGGTGACACCTGAAAGAGTTTGTTTTGCTTTGTAAAGCACTCTTCCCACCCCTCTCTGCCTCTTCTTGTACCGTCCACACCATGTCAATGTCAGTCTGCACATCGATCACGTAGATGGCTTCTATATTCTTGCTATTTTAAAAAATATTTCCTGCTTAAATACAAGTTTCTCTTTTAATTTTACATCAGCTTCTAGCAGTTGTACTGGCCATTTTCACTAGCCCCTGTATATTCTGGGTATAAGGACATAAAATTCAATTTCCCACCATTTTTAGTTTTTAACCATTGTGATGACGTGTGACTGCTCCAGTGTGCATAATGTTTCTGGGCTTTTGCTGTGTACTAGGCACTACACTGAAGGTGTTATTTACTTTTTTCCTCTGAGTTTTAGTTTATTTATTTATTTTCTATTAATTAATTAATTTTTGTTACAGATGTTTCTCCTTTTTCCCCACACTGAAGGTTTTAGATGAATCCTCTCATTTAATGTCAACAACCCCATGAGATTTGAGTAGTACTATTAACCTAGTTACTAGTAAGGAAACTAAGGGTTAGAATGGTTAAATTTCAAATCCACAATTACACAGTTAGTATGTGGTGGCACAAGGACGCTTCAGACTTGAAAGTACAGTTAACCATGACACAACATGGAAGAGAAATTTTAATTGGACACAATGTCATCTTCCTCAGAATGTCTTAAACACACAAATTAAATGACATGAATTACAACTAGGGTAAAATCCAAGCTGTAATTTCTCTAGTGTCAGAATTTTCACAGCTTTAATTATGCAAATAGAGAAGAGTTTAATCCTGGCATTTCTATGCTTGCTTTTAGGTAATTCTAATGTTAAAAAATTTCACATTAGTCTGGCTGGTGTGGCTCAGTGGTTGAGCGTTGACCCAGCACCAAGAGGTAACAGATTCGATTCCTGGTTAGGGTACATGCCCGGGTTGTGGGTCTGATCCCCAGTGGGGGGCATGCAGGAGGCAGCCAATCAATGTTCTCTCTCATTGATGTTTCTCTCTCTCCCTCTCTCTTCCCCTCTTTCTAAAATCAATAAAGAGCCCTGGCCAGTTTGGCTCAGCGGTTAGAGCATCGGCCTGCGGTCCGGAGAGACCTGGGTTCGGTTCCCGCTAAGGGCATATACCTCGGTTGCAGTTTGTCCCCGGCCCTGGTTGGTCGTGCGGGTGGCGACCACTCAATGTGTCCCTTTCACATCGATGTTTCTCTTTCTCTCTGTTCCTCTCTCTCTCTCCCACTCTATCTGAACAAAGAATGGAAAAATGTCCTCGGGTGAGGATGAAAAAAAAAAAAAGAAAAAAAAATAAAATCAGTAAAGAAAAAAACCTTTCACATTGCTTACAAGTTGTTTAGCAAACCTAAATTGTAGAAAATAAAAGTGAAAGAAATTACCTCAAGGATAATCTATTTCCAACATACACTACTGGATATGACAGCCCAGAACTTCTCACCAATTATATTTATGTTTTGTTTCAGATTAAACAAATTATTTTATCCAATTATTTGTGTCAATAAATCTACTTTAAATATTTAGTCATCATGGCTTCTCAGCCTTTTGGCTAGGATCAAGTATAAATATTTAACAATCATGGATAGCAAAAATTACCATGTTTACAAAAGAATGGCCAGTGAATGGGTAATAAATACTAGCATTAGAAAAAACAGGACATTCAATGTAACCTTATACAATGTGACAACCTGACATTTAGTCATTAGTTGACTCACCACAGCTTGTTCAAATAATTCTCTCAGCTTCTGTTCAGATTCTCCAGATACTCCAGACACAACCTCTGTAGCAGCTACTTTCAGAATTGGAAGGTCAAGTTCCTATGAACAAATGTATAAAAGAATAACCAAGTTTTTGAATGTTAACTTCCCTGCTTTTTCCTTAGTCCCTCTCTCAAAATTAGTTTTAAAATGATAAATTTCCTGAGCAATATCTTTTTGTGTTGGTCCAACAAAAAACTTCATTTAATAACCAACAGTTTTAGCTCAGCCGGTGTGGCTCATTGGATTGAGCATCATGCCTTGGCTGCAGGCTTGATCCCCAGTAGGGGGTGTGCAGGTTGCAATTGATCAATGTTTCTCTCTCAAGTCGATGTTTCTATCTCTACCCTTCTCTCGCTCTAAAAAATCAATAGAGCCCTGGCCAGTCTGGCTCAGCGGTTAGAGCGTCGGCCTGTGGTCCAAAGAGACCCGGGTTCGGTTCCTGCTAAGGGCAGATACCTCGGTTGCAGTTTGTCCCCGGCCCTGGTTGGTTGTGTGGGTGGCAGCCACTCAATGTGTCCCTTTCACGTCGATGTTTCTTTCTCTCTCTCTCTTCCTCTCTCTCGCTCCCACTCTATCTGAACAAAAAATGGAAAAAAATGTCCTCGGGTGAGGATAAAAAAAACAAAACAAAATAAAAAATCAATAGAAACAGTAAAAAATAATAATAAATCCCTAGCTGGTTTGGTCAGTGGTTAGAGCATTGGCCCGTGGACCAGTAAGTCTCAGGTTCGATTCCGATCAAGGGCATTTCCCTTGGTAGCAGTTCATCCCCAGCCCTGGTCGGGTCGTACAGGAGGCAACCAGTTAATGCGTCTCTCTCATATTGATGTTTCTCTTTCCCTCCCACTCTGTCTGATGAAAAATGGAAAAATATCCTCAGGTGAGGATAAAAACAACAACAACAGTATTTTTGTTGTTGTTCTTGTTGTTGTTTTTATCCTCACCCGAGGACATTTTTTCTTTTTTTTTTTTTGGTTCATATAGAATGGGAGGAAGAGAGAGAGAGAAACATCGATGTGAAAGGGACACATCGAGTGGCTGCCACCCACACGACCCAACCAGGGCCGGGTACAAACCGCAACCAAGGTACATGCCCTTAGCGGGAACTGAACCCGGGTCTCTCTGGACCGCAGGCCAACACTCTAACCGCTGAGCCAAACCGGCCAGGGCAAAAAAATCAACAGTTTTATTCAAACACACTGACGAGATATCTTCTACTGTACTTGTTTTTACATTACAGGTGTCACTATAAAACTCTGTTATCATCTTTTCTGAATAAAGGGTCTTGAATCTCAAGAGATATGTTTTCCCCCCGCTTAGAAGTGAGCCAAAACAAATTTATCTGTTGGAGAGGTTTTAGCAGAGGAAATTTAGCTGTTGTGACACAGTTGTCTCCCACACACTCTACTAGCATTTCTCCACCCCGAACCCAGACAAGTACCCAGTTACTAGTCAGAGGAGGCAGGGTCTTTAAGTAGAGGAAGAGAAACTACCTTTGTCCCACCATACAAATGGCGACAAGCCTGCCTAAATCCTACTCATTCTTCTGGCCATCTTGAAATTCCACTTCTGCAACCATATTTTCTTTGATCCTAACTCTTAACTTGGGTATCCCAACAACAATGATACGGCATTCTAGACTCTGTCTCTCACTTATTATATTTTTAACTATGTAGACATTTATTTGTATGGATGGCTATTTAACGTTATGCTCTCATGTTAAAACTAAAAAACTCTTTAAAGATAAAAACTGGGGCCCGGGATGGTTTGGTCAGTGGTTAGAGCGCCAGGCTGCGGACTAATGAGTCACAGGTTCGATTCCAGTCAAGGGCATATACCTCAGTTGCGGTTCGTACCTGGCCCTGGTTGGAGTTGTGCAGGAGGCAACCAGTCGATGTGTCTCTCTCATGTCAATGTCTCTCTCTCTCCCCTCCCCCACTCTATTTGAAGATAAATGGAAAAAAGTATCCTCAAGTAAGGATTTCAAAAATAATAATAATAATAAAAATAAAAACTGGGGCCCTGGCCAGTTTGGCTCAGTAGTTAGAGCATCAGCCCACCGACCAGAGAGTCCTGGGTTCAGTTCCTGGTAAGGGCACGTACCTCAGTTGCAGTTTGTCCCTGCCCCGGTTGGGGTCATGTGGGTGGCCGCCAGTCGATATGTCTCTCTCACATCGATGTTTCTCTCTCTCTCTTCCTCCCTCTCCCTCCCACTCTATCTGAAGTTCAATGCAAAAATGTCCTTGAGTGAGGATAAAATAAATAAATAAAAATAAAAACTGGGTTTGTTGTCCCCAATGTATTTTGATGGCTGGCATGCAGCAGTCACACATTAGACTTATCCAACAAATTAATAAATGAGGCAAATCCATCAATTTCTGTATATAAAGGATTTTGTTTCACAGAGTACTAATCTATTAGTGATCAGTATAGAACCCTATTCTTCAAATTGAAGTTATTCAGACATTTTGCGCTTTATCACCCAATACAGTTTCTGAAAAATCTGATAGGACTAAATAAGATTGTTAACTTTTTATTTTGCTGAGTATCTGTTTTAGAAAGGATATTTTAACTTTGAAAAGTTTAAGATCATTACCCTCAATAAAATTTTGAATAAATTTAGCTCTATAAAAAACAACACATCCTTGCTCGTTTTGGCAGCACGCATACTAAAATTGGAACAATACAGAAATGATTAGCATGGACCCTGTGCAAGATGACATGCACATTCGTGAAGAGTTCCATATTTTTCAGACATTTCTCCAAACAGGACATACAAATGGCCAAGAGACATATGAAAAAATGCTCAACAGCACTGATCATCAGAGAGATGCAAATTAAAATGACTATGAAGTATCACCTGACTGACACCTGTCAGAATGGCCTCCATCAACAAATCATCAAACAACAAGTGCTGGCAAGGGTGTGGAGAAAAGGGGACTCTAGTACACTGCTGGTGGGAATGCAGACTGGTGCAACCACTATGGAAAACAATATAGTATTTCCTCAAAAAATTAAAAATTGAACCCAGTGATTCCACTTCTAGGAAGTCTGAAACACCAATCAGAAAGAATATATGCACCCCTATGTTCATAGCAGCACTATTTACAATTGCTAAGACCTAAAAACAGCCCAAGTGTCCATCAACAAATGAGTGGATAAAAAAGCTGTGGTACATTTATACAATGAAATGCTATGCAGCTATAATAAAGAAAGATCTCTTACCCTTTGAGACAACATGGAGGGACCTGGGGAGAGTTATGCTAAGTGAAATAAGCCAATCAGAGAAAGACACATATCACGAGCTCACTTATTTTTGGAATATAATGAACAAAATAAGCTGATGAACAAAACAGATTGAGACATGGAAGCATGGAACAGACTGATGAATCTCAGAGGGCAGGGAGTGGGGGATGGCAGGGAGACATAAACTAAAGAACTTATACGCATATATGCATAACCAATGACACAGACAACAGTACAGTGAAGGCATGGGCAGGGGGTGGGACTGGGGAGGAGGGTGTCAAGGGAGGGGAAAAGGGGGGATATCTGTAATAAAAACAAACACAAAAACCCCATACATCCTTAGTTTTCTTATTTCACTGCTCTTTAGAATCACTGGCTTAAAGTGAAAGAGAAGTAACTAAAATGTAAATGTGTTAAAAAAGGGGGGGGGGGTTGTTCACAGCTATATGATTTTGCTTCCCACCTAATCCTTGCTATGTAAATAACTGGATGCATTAAAATATATATATAGCATCTCACAAACAGCACAGTAGCATGAAAGAGGTAAAAGAAAACAAGAAAGGAACCCGTCCTCTTGAGAATATGCCATCTGTTCAAGTTGACAAAGAGAAAAAACAAATAACAATAAAAATAATGAAAGCAACCAAGTGTCAGCAAACCTCACCCCAGCAATTGCATGTGCAAGTAATGTCTTCCCACAGCCTGGTGGTCCATGAAGGAGAACTCCACGAGGGGGTATGACGCCCAGGTGCTGGTATACCTCCGGGTGACGCATGTGTATGAGCATCTTGCAGACTTCCTAGCAGAGAAGAAACAGTAAAGATGTCTTTCCCGGCCCAAGAGAGGAAAGAATCAAGGTGGAATGAAATGTCCTATTCTTTGGAGCAGCAAAATATAGTAGAGGCTTTAGACTCAGACCAGAGCTGGAATTCTAGCTATGGCACCTACAGTGTGACTTCAGCAATACCATCTCTGAGCTTCCATTTCCTAATGGCTACCTTGCAGATGTAATGGAAAGTAACTAGCGTGGTAACTGGAATAGAGTAAAAACTAAAGAATAAGTAGGAATTATTATTATTATTATTACTTTCATTTTTATTTCATTTATTTTTCCTTACCTGAGGATATTTTTCAACTGATTTTCAGATAGAGTGGGAGGGAGGATATTTTTCCATTGATTTTCAGATAGAATGTGAGAGAGACACATCGATTGGTTGCTTCCCACATGACCCCAACCAGGGCCAGGGATTGAACCTGCAACTAAGGTACGTGCCCTTGACCAGGAATTGAACCTGAGATTCTTTGGTCCTCGGGCTGACACTCTAACCGCTGAACCAAACCAACCAGGGCTATTATTACTGCTTTTAAACAACATTACTTATGAAGTATGTATCTCCTGTACACTATAATCAAAGTAGTGACAAAGTTAAAGCTATTATGCTTCTTTTATCCCGCAGTACCCTGAAGGGTACTAGTTAGGTTTGCTCTTCTCACCTTCCCAGTCTACTTTTCTATACACAGTTCCTACTAGAAACAAAGAGGTAGGCTTGGTTTGCCTAACTGATTAGCAATATACCCACTGGAAATAAAATTCTGAATCTGAATAACCTTTAATGTGGTATCATTGCCTCCAACATCTTCAAACTTCACGTTGGAGATCTGGAACTCTAGTCCCCTGGCTTTAGCTGGTAAACAAAAAGGAGAAAGTGAAAAGATTAGTGATACAGGAGTAACTTAGAATTATATTTAATAATTCTTAAGTAAACAAAGTTCCATTAAGTACTGAACCGTTTTCTAATACATGTCTTTGCACACGGAAGGTCTCCTAAGCAAGTCAGCTTGGAAGAGTGATGACTCCCGCAGAGCACACACTGCCCCCACTGCGCACAAGACCTGCCCCTCACCTTTCTTCTGCAGGACAGCTTCTATTTCTCCATCTACTTCCTGAAGGTCTTCCTTCTTCTTTTTACTTCCTTTGCTCTTTAACCTGTCTTTCCTTTTTTTATTAGTTTCCAGAAGAGACAACTCTTTTGAATCCTGGATGATTAAAGCAAAGAGATTTGGAAAAGGTCTGTTAAAATAATTCAAAAGGAGAAAAGTTAGGCAAACCAAAAGACTTGGTTCTTGCCCTGGTTGGTTTTCTCAATGGTTAGAGCATCAGCCCTCGGACCTGAGAGTCCTGGGTTCGGTTCCCACTAAGGGCACGTACCTGGTTGCAGTGTCCCTGGCCCCAGTTGGGGTCGTGTGGGTGGCAACCAGTTGATGTGTCTCTCTTACATCGATGTTTCTCTCTATCTCTTTCTCCCTCTCGCTCTATCTGAAGATGAATGCAAAAATGTCCTTGGGTGCCCTGGCCGGTTTGGCTCAGCGGTTGGAGCATCAGCCTGTGGAACAGAGAGTCCCGGGTTCGGTTCCCGGTAGGGGCATGTACCAAAAATAAATAAATAAATAAAAGCTGTAAAAAAAAAAAAAACTTGGTTCTTGGAAACCACTTAGAGACACTTTGTCCAAGAGAAATACCATGTAGGCCACATATATAAATTTATATATTCTAGAGCCCCATTCAAAAAAGGAAAAAAATTGCCCTGGCCGGTTTGGCTTAGTGGTCAGAGCCTTGGCCCACAGACAAAAAGGTCTCAGGTTGATTCCTGGTCAAGGGCATATACCTGGGTTGCAGGTTCCATCTCTGGCCCCAGTCAGGGGAGGCAACCAATTGATATGTCTCTCTCATATCAATATATTTCTCTCCCTCTCCCTCTACTCTCTCTAAAAAATCAATGGAAAAATATCCTCAGGTGAGGATTGACAAAAAATAAAGAAGTGAAATTAATTTAATAATCTATTTTAACTAAATAAATTCAAGGCATTATCATTTCAATATAGTCAGTATAAAAAGTTAACAAGATGTTTTATACAGTTTTTGTAGTTTCTTCAAAGAACAATGTGTACTTATTATAGCACATCTCAAGTCAGACACTAAATTCTCATGGGAAAAACTTGACATGTATTTAGATTTCATAAAATTTAGTTAAGAGAGTAGATTTATTTTATAGCTGAAAAAGTAGATTCAGTTACCCAAATTGTCCTGAATATACTTAGAAGTGAATTGTAAAGAACTAAGTTGATTAATAGTTTATAAATTTAAATTTCAGTTCCTCATTTGCACTAGCCAAATTTCAAGTGCTCAGCAGCTACATGTGGCTAGAGCACTTACCACACTGGACAGTGAGCCCTGGAGCAAATACAGCCAGTCTATTGTGGGACAGATGACTTTAAATCCCTTCTCATTCTGCCAAGCATTATAAAGAGTCCATTAAGAATGTGTTCAGCCCTGGCCGGTTTGGCTCAGCGGTTAGAGCGTCGGCCTGCGGTCCGGAGAGACCCGGGTTCGGTTCCCGCTAAGGGCACGTACTTCGGTTGCAGTTTGTCCCCGGCCCTGGTTGGTCGTGCGGGTGGCAGCCACTTGATGTGTCCCTTCACGTCGATGTTTCTCTCACTCTCTCTCTCTTCCTCTCTCTCCCTCCCACTCTATCTGTACAAAAAATGGAAACATATCCTTGGGTGAGGATAAAAAAAAAAAAAAAAAAAAAAAAAAAAAAAAGAATGTGTTCAGCCCTGGCCGGTTTGGCTCAGCGGTTGGAGCCCTGGCCTGCGGACCAGAGAGTCCCGGGTTCGGTTCCCACTAAGGGCATGTACATGGGTTGCAGTTTGTCCCCAGCCCCAGTTGGGGTCATGTGGGTGGCAACCACTCGATGTGTCTCTCTCACATCGATGTTTCTCTCTCTCTCCTCCCTCCTCCCTCTATCTGAAGATAAATGCAAAGATGTCCTTGGGTGAGGATAAAAAAAGAATGTGTTCAGTATGTTGTAATTCATCCAACTTCACTTTTCTTTATGTATATTTCAATTTAGAAAGGTTAAAAAAGCCCTCTCCGGCATGGCACAGTGATTAGAGCTTCAGCCAGAACACTGAAGGGTCACAGGTTCAATTCCCAGTCAATGGCAGGTACCCAGGTTACAGGTTCGATCCCTAGTCTCAGTTGGGGCGCATGTAGGAAGCAACCAATCGAGGTGTCTCTCTCATATTGTTTTTCTCTCCCTCTCCATCCCTCTCTCTCTCTTTATTTCTCTCCTTTGCTCCCTCCCTTTCACTCTATCTCAAATCAATGGAAAAATATCCTCAGGTGAGTACTAACAACAACAAAGGTTAAAAAAAAAAGTGGTGTCTATTCTTATTCTGTACATTATTAGAGTGCACCCATTTACACAGGATCCCTTAGGGTATTATCCTAAAGTGAAAATCAACCACATTGCTATTTCAACAGCTATCTTCCCTACTGCCTACAACTATCAACTTTCTGTACTATGTACCCCAAGTAGTAATTATTTAACTCTCTTTCACTAGTAAATGCATCTCTGAAAGCTCATTAGGTACCAATTCAGCAAACTGATGACTATATGCTAGATGTATTTTAGCCAGGGACATAGTATTAAACAAAACAAAGTCCTTGCTCTTTTGGAGCAGATATTCTAGTGAAGAGAGACAGAGAAAAAACCCAACTACACAATTATACAAGTCAGGTGGTTATAAGTACTTGAAACACAGCACCCAATGATGTGCCAGTTTACATGCATGTGGGAAAAGGCCTCTCAATGAGGCCGCCTGGTGAAAAGAGCTGTGAAGAAATGATGGAGGGAACCACTGGAATCTGGGGAGTGTTCCAGACAGAAAGAACAAGTGCAAACCCCCAAGAGAGAGGGTGCTTGGTGTATTCTGGAAGCAGCAAGCAGCGACTGGGGCTAAAGCAAAGCTGGCAGGTGTGTGTGGGTGGAGGTAGTGGATGAGACTAACAGGTGGCAGGGTGGCCAAATCACACAGGGCTTTACAGGCAATTGCAAGGGCTCGGATTTTATTTATTTATTTACTTTTAACCTCACCCAAGGACATTTTTCCATTTTTTGTTCAGATAGAGTGGGAAGGGGAGAGAGAGAGAGAGAAACATCGACATGAAAGGGACACATCGAGAGGTTGCCACCCTCAAGACCCAACTAGGGTCGGAGACAAACTCCAACCGAGGTACATGCCCAGTGGGAACCGAACCCGGGTCTCTCTGGACCACAGGCCGACGCTCTAACTGCTGAGCCAAACCGACCAGAACAAGGGCTTGGATTTTAGACTAACTAAAGCCATTGGAGGATTTTTAATGCAAGAATGACAATGACCTGACTTAACTCATAAAAAAGGTATCTCTGTGTGAATAATAAACTAGGGGATCAGGAGTGGAAGCAAACTCCAGTTGGAGGGTTATTTCAATGGTTAAGGCAAGAAAGAGTAAAAGCTTTATAAATTATAAATTTTAAAAGTCTACTGATTTAGCCCTGGCTGGTTTCGCTCAGAGGTTGGAGCATTGGCCTGTGGACCAGAGTCCCAGGTTTGGTTCCTGCTTGGGGCACATACCAAAAAATAAATTGTAGTAGAATCCATGTAAAATCAAGTTTGAAAAAAAAAGTCTATTGGTTTAGCCCTGGCCGGTTTGGCTCAGCAGTTAGAACATCGGCCTGCGGTCCAGAGAGACCCAGGTTCGGTTCCCACAAGGGGCGCATACCTCGGTTGCAGTTTGTCCCTGGTCCTGGTTGGTCGTGCAGGTGGCAACCACTGGATGTGTCCCTTTCACGTCGATGTTTCTCTCTCTCTCTTCCTCTCTTTCCCTCCCACTCTATCTGAACAAAAAATGGAAAAATGTCCTCGGGTGAGGATTAAATAAATAAATAAATAAAAATAGCTTTTAAAAAAAAAGTCTACTGGTTTAGAAAAAGAAAGAGCAGAGACATGGACTAAGATGAAAATGATTGCAGCAGTAAGAAGTGAAAAAATTCTCCCCATATTTCAAAAGTTACTATGTCTTTTATTTAACACAAGAATCTGCTTAATATTCTATTTAATGAAAAGACTGTAATGTACTGTAATCACGTTGGCTAAAATTTCACTATAAAAATACCTCTGTCTCAGATATTGCCTTCTTATGATTACTTTTCTCCTCTGATAGGTCCAAAAAGAAACTGTCTTTCTTTCCACCTGGAGTTTTGTCAATGAACCACCCTCCTCCAGAGCCTCTGGCAGGGGCCTTCAAAGGAACAGACGTGGTTCTGGAGGTTATCGGTGCAGCTGAACCGCTGGTTTCTCTTTCCTCCACCTCAGGAGTACTTGCCACAGAATCAGGGTTTCCTTTCCGATATAAGGAGAGCAGGGAAGTGTTCATGTGATTTGCCAACTGAAAGAAACATGATTTTAGTAGTTACTCAACAAGTACTCATGAAGGTCTGATTGCCTATATTCATACACTTTCTACTTTGCACTTCAAACAACTTCTCTCATAACGTTTACAGTCAGAAAAACAGGTTCTTGCAATGAGATGATTCAAATGCAAACATGTACTATCCAAAAAAATGTATCCCCTTGCCACTCCAAGTGAATGTACCAATTCATAACCGGCAATTAAATAAAACCAAGTATGAATGGTCGCTTTTAAAAAATATAACAGAAACAAGTATGAAAACAAGCATGAACTGGTAGTCAGTCAATGAGAGTCCCTACGATCCCATCACTTCAAAACTAGATCACATATAACTGAGTATCAATACATGACTATTAATAAATTAAAAAACTGAGTTATCAGTGGGAAAAAAAAAGAGAGAGTAAGTTACAAATAATTTTGCAGTCTGGCTGGTGTGGCTCAGTGGTTGAGCGTCGACCCATGCACCAAGAGGTTGCTGGTTTGATTCCCAGTCAGGGCACATGCCCAAGTTGTGGGCCTATCCCAAGTGGGGGGCATGCAGGAGGCGGCCAATCGATGTTCTTTCTCATCGATGTTTCTCTCTCTCTCTCTTGTTCTCACTTCCTCTCTAAAATCAATTTAAAAATTTTTTACATATTATTCCCATGTTCCCTTTAATCCAAGTCTATCTATTGGCAATGCTAACTCTTTGGCAAAAAATAACTCCTTTCCTTCATTTTTACTATTACTACTCCTTTCTGTTCATATCTGCCCTTACACCTGGCTATTCTCTTCCTTCCTTTCCCCCTGCGTAACAGGCTATAAAAACAAATATGGGAAGGATGGTTACCCCAAGAGTTCACTAACACTGGACATAGGAAATATTCAACTGTTTACTGATGAAGATGTTCCAAGTCTCTCATTCTGTTCCTCATTGATTTTTTCCTAAGGAAGTACATTATGATTTTTAATAAACCAAAGTACATCCATTAAATGATTGGCTTACCTGTGGATCTGGGTAATCTTCCATATCTGACTCATCATTTGAATAGCTTTCAGTACACCTCGGTAAAAAGAGGAAAAGAAACATTTTTTAATTTTTTATTTATTTTCATCCTCACCCGAGGACATTTTCCCATTTTTATTCAGATAGAGTGGGAAGGAGAGAGAGAGAGAGAGAAACATCAACGTGAAAGGGACACATCAAGTGGCCACCCGCACGACCCAATCAGGGCCGGGGACAAACTGCAACCGAGGTACGTGCCCTTAGTGGGAACCGAACCCGGGTCTCTCTGGACCACAGGCTGATGCTCTAACAGCTGGGCCAAACCAGCCAGGGCAAAAAGAAACATTTTAAAGGCTTTTGTCTTATATCCTAAAAACGTTACTACCTAAAACAAGAAAATATACTGAGGGAGAATAGTATGGTGGTTAAGAGTACATGCCTGGGAATCAGAGAAATCTGGATTCAAAATCCAGCTTTACCAGTTACTAGCTTCTATTTAAGGAAGCCTCAGCTTCCTTATCTACAAAATGGAGATAATAAATAATGTATATCTCACTGGATTATTAGAAGATTAAACACAAGCTTGCAGCCCCGGCAGGTTTTGCTCAGCGGTTAGAGCGTCGGCCTGTGGACTAGATAGAGAAACTCGAGTTCAGTTCCCGCTAAGGGCACAAACCTCAGATGCAGTTTGTCCCCACCCCAGTTGGGGTCATGTGGGTGGCAACCATTCAATGTGTCTCTTTCACAATGATGCTTCTCTCTCTCTCTCTCTCTTCCCCCATCTCTCCATCCCACTCTGAGGATAAATGAAGAAAAAAAAAAAAGCTTGCAAAGTCCTTAGAACTTAGTAAATGCTTAATAAATTGTGGTTTCCTTTAGCTTAACAAAAATTACAGTGAAATGCAAATTCCCATCAGATCCAAGGGTCTCATTTAGGAATCAGATACCAGGAGAGGAAATACTCCAGCAAGCCACAATTAAGTACTTTTAACAAGAAACTCACAAATTCAACATGACCAAGCCATGTAACCAAATGGAACTTTTACAAGTCTGTTAGGAGGAATGAAGATACAGTTTTCTACATAATATGATTTAAAAAAAGTATAAATCTTAGTAACTACAAACTGAGAATGTAGTCTCAGTTCATTACAATCAAGAGTTGGTATCAATACCTTCAAGTAACTATAGGACTCTGCTACTATTTACTAAAGCTTCTTTAGAAAATAAATAAAAGGGCTTTTCCAAGTAATAGGGTTACATGAATGCTACGATCCACCTTCATAATTAACACAATTCTTTTTGCTATTCATTAAATTCAATTAATATAATTTGGGGCATTTCTTTTCAATATAAAGAAGGTGGATTATCCAACTACTGGGAAAAAATCATTTTGCCCTACAATTCATGTCCTACAAGTATAATTAATTACAAGTGGATTAAGAAATTAAATGTAATACCATAAAGGAACAAGAGAAAAGCACAGGTATATACTCCTGGGATACAGGTCTATGGAACCATTAATAGCATAAACCATAAAGGAAAAGGTTGGTAGATTTGATGAGGTAAAGACACAGAACTTCTCTAATCAAAAGACATTATAGCCCTGGCCGGTTTGGCTCAGCGGTTACAGCGTCGACCTGCAGTCCAGAGAGACCCAGGTTCGGTTCCCACTAAGGGCATGTACTTCAGTTGCAGTTTGTCCCTGGCCCTGGTTGGGTCGTATGGGTGGCAACCACTCGATGAGTCCCTTTCACGTCAATGTTTCTCTCTCTCTCTCTCTCTCTCTCTCCCCCTCCCACTCTATCTGAACGAAATATCGAAAAATGTCCTCAGGTGAGGATAAAACAAACAAACAAACAAAAAGATCAGCAAACAGAATTAAACAATATATAAAAGGATAATATATCAGAATCAAGTAGGGTTTATCCCAGGAAAGTAAGATTGTATTAACATTCAAAAATCAATATAATTCACCAAATTAATAAAGGGTAAAGCCATAACAAAATAAGTATATAAAAAGCATTTAACAAATGTAATACCTATTCATGAAAAAAAAAAAAAAAAAGCCCTGGCTGGTTTGACTCAGCGGTTAGAGCATCAGCCTGTAGACCAAAGAGTTCCAGACTTGGTTCCTGCTAAGGGCATGTACGTAGGTTGCAGTTTGTCCCTGGCCCCAGCTGGGGTTGTGCAGGTAACAACCAGTCAATGTGTCTCTCTCATGTTGATGTTTCTCTCTTTTCCTCCTGCTCTATCTGAAGATAAATGCAAAAATGTCCTCAGGTGAGGATTTAAAAAAAATATATCAGTAAACTAGGACTGTTAGAAAATTTCCTTAATCTGATAAAGGATATCTATATATATAAAAAAAAACTACAGTAACATCATACTTATAGTGGAGGTCTATCTAAAATTAAAGACTAGCCTGGCCGGTGTGGCTCAGTGGTTGAGTGTTGACCCATGCACCAAGAAGTCACCAGTTCAATTCCTGGCCAGGGCACATGCCCAGGTTTGAGCCTGATCCCCAGTGGGGGGCATGTAGGAGGCAGCCAATCAATTTTCTTTCTTACGGATGTTTCTATCTCTCTCTTCCTCTCCCTTCCTTTCCCTCTCTACTAATATCAATAAAGGAAAAAAAAATTTTTTTTAATAAATAAAATAAAAGACTAATCATACCCAGTGATGTAATATGTGGAACATGTGGAAATCTCACATACTGCTGATGTAATGTTGAAATTGTACAAATGCTTTGAAAAAGAGTTTGTTAGTTTCTTATACAAGTTAAATACACTGTTACCATATGACTCAGCCATCCCACTCCTAGATATTTACCAAGGGGAAAAAACATTCTTTGTGAAAGAGAAATGAATGTTCCAACTACAGAAAACTGCACAAAGAAAGAATCTGACCTCTTTGGGGAACAGTGAACATTCAATATGTCTGAAGTTAAGGACTGGAGATATTAGGTAAGTGTTATGCAATGAAGAGCCACTGGAAGTTTTTTTTGTTTTTTTTTAATATGTTTTTATTGATTTTTTTTTTTTTAGCGAGCAAGCGAGAGAGAGAGAGAGAGAGAGAGAGAGAGAGAGAGAGAAAGAGAGAGAGAAACATCAGTGAGAGAGAAACATTGATCAGCTGCCTCTTGCAAGCCCCCTACTGGGGACTGAGCCACAACCCGAGCATATGCCCTGACCGGGAATCAAACTGGGACCTCAGTCCATGGGGCAACACTCAATCCACTGAGCCACACCGGCCAGGCTAGCCACTGAAAGTTTTGCAAGTAGGAATGTAATGTGATCAGGTTCACGTGTTAGAAAAAAGCCCTCCATTCTGTAATCCTTACTCATTATCCTCTTCATCTTTTCTTATTCTTTTTGCCAGATGTTCATCTTCTAATTCTGTTAGATCCTTATGTTTCTTCTCACTATTAATTATGCTAAATACTGAAACAAAAAGAAAAATGCCATGAGCTAAAACCATTCTTTCTATAATTTTATTAAGAATTCAATTCTAACACTAATAGACTCACCTTTTTCTACCTGAATCCTAAAAGCATTTCTTTTTCTTCGACCGTAGTCTATGCTGAAAACATAACAGAAGTTTAGTACAGTGGTCTCCCCCATAAACATTTGCATAAATATATAATTATGTCACTGAATTACATTGATCATAAACTTATTTTCAAACAACTTTGGAGTTAACATTTTTACTAGTATAATTTTTCTTGATCAGAAATGGGGTTATAGCATCAGAAACACAGTCAGCTTGTACTGAAGGGGACAGAGACGAAATTAAATGAAGGAAGGCTGTTGAACTTCTGGGATTCTACAGAACAGGCCAAAGAAAGGGAAGAATGACTCCCAAGGGAGCTCAGAAGTTGGCAGAGTAGCCACTGCCACCATGGGCCAGGGAGCGTAGGCCTGCGGAGTGGCACTGTCTCCTCTTCTGTACCAAAGGGCAGGGTAGACATCCTAGTAAGCCCACAGGGCAGAGCACTGAGCCAGAGGATTATTCTTAAAGTCCAGTGAAATTCACCCTGCTCTCTTTCAGACTTGAGACCATAACCCCTTCCTGCTTTCCAACTTCTCCCTTTTGTAATGAGAATGTCTATGCTATGCCTGTCTGCCACTGCATTTTTAAAAACATGTTTTTTAAAAAGGGAGAGGGGGCCCAGCCAGTGTGGCTCTGTGGCTGAGCATTGGCCCATGTACCAAGAGGTCGCCTGTTTGACTCCCGGTTAGGGCACATGCTCAGGTTGTGGGCCAAATCCCCAGTAGGGGGCATGCAGGAGGCAGCTAGTCGATGTTCTCTCTCATTGATGTTCCTTTCTATCTCTGTCTCCCTCTTCCTCACTCTCTTTCTAAAATCAATAAAAGAAAAAAAAATTTTTTTTAAATGGGGGGGAAATGAGGGAGGGAGAGAGAAAAATGATGATGAGAGAGAACCATAGACTGGCCACCGCTTAAATGCCCCCAACATCAAGTTGATGTTCTCTCTCATTGATGTGATGTTTCTATCTCTCTCTCCCTCTTCCTTCCTCTCTCTCTAAAATTAATAAAGAAAAAAAGATTAAAAAAAAAAAAAAAAGAGGGCAGAGTGTTATGAGTCGAGTTATGTCCCTCCAAAATTCATATGTTGACATTCTAACCCTGAGTACTTCAGAAATGTGACTGTATTCAGAAACACGTCCTTTAAAGATGTCACTAAGGTAAAATGACACCATACAGACGGGATTAGAAGCACAAGGGAATGATTTAATCTTCAGTGGGAGGACTAAATGAGTGACACACTTCTAGAGAGAGAGTCAGGGAGCTGAAGGAGATCATGCCTGATGGTTTTACTTTTTTTAATGAAGCAGGAAAAGAAGTAATACTCCTGACCAGACTATAAGGTACTGAAAGATAAGATGTAGCCATTCCCCCTAGTAACAAGGACAACTCTTTGCCTATAACTAGTGCTTGATATATACTGAATTGCATTCCGAATTTATGGACTAGAGAACTAACGCCGGCAGCTATTAACATCAATGAAAAATTTAGGCAGAATGCAAACTTTAAAAATGGAGGAAAGAAACAAGAAACAATGGGAAATAATGGTAGGAAAGAAAAGCAAGAACCTGCAGACTCCATTTCTTTACCTGTACATTCTTTGTAAGTCAGATGCTAAGACTCCAGTGTCCACGTACTTGCCACATCTGTTACTGGTGAGGTACTGAGACAGAAAATGTGATATATAAACACTCATATTTCAAATTCAGAGATTTTAATTGACACATAAGAGACTAAGCTACTGAAACATGTTATACTTTAATGTAGACTCTTCATTAATAAAGCATACCAGAAACATAAATAAAAATCACTAAATGATTGTCATATCTGGAATTAAATAATTTAATTAAAATTATCAATCACTATGACACACAAAAACAATAACTAAAATAGCTATAAGGTATTAAGTAAGGGCTTACTATATTCTAGGTTCCCAAATACCCCCAGAACAAAGCACTGAACTCCCAAGGGCACCAAGGGATATTATAAATTTGAGGGAACACAATAACATTTGACATCTGCCCAACACTGCAGGAATTATAACCTCAGACAATTCATGGTTTTAGTAGTCGCTATAATAATAAGCAAAACCCATGCAAAAATCAACGTGGAACAGGAGGGATGAGAGTGTCAGTGACAACCTGAGTGCAAAGTATGAAAAACTGTCCCATAAGCACATAAATCCCGCTCATAAGTAATTGTAACCAAAGAATGAAATACAAATATATTAATTTTCTTTCAATTTTTACATATTACTTCTCAAAAGGCTATTAAATTATTTGGATTAAATAGTTATTAAGTGTTAGAACCTAACTATTTAATAAGCAGTCCTATTAGGTATTATTTTTGGTCTAGGAGCTCTGTGAAAATATTAATGAGAAACTAAGGGCCCTGTGAACCCGTTTGAGTGGGCCTTTTTACATATTATCCCTTTTAGTACTCATAATCGTATGAGGTAGATTTTTTGAGAGAGGAAGGGAAAGATAGAAACACAGATTGGCTACCTCCTGCACGGCCCCTACTGGGGATCAAGCCTGCAACTGGGGCACTGTGCCCTGACAGGGAGCTGAACTGGGACCTATCAGTCCATGAGACCACCCTCAATCTGCTGAGCCACACCAGCTGGGCTATGCTGTCATTTTTATAGTCAATTTGGAATTATGGATATTTGTATATATTTCATACCCACTGCAATTCAAAAGCTCCCTGATGGTAATAGAAATAAACTCATTTTAATCTGCTAGATTTGGGGGTAATTTGTAAGCAGCAATAGACAGACTATCCTGGTTAAAAGGAGGCAATTGTATTTGTGGAAAGATGTCTAAAGTATACCACTAAGTGAAAAAAGCAAGCAGCAGAATTGATGCAAATAAGCCTGTTTTAGTGATTTTAAAACATGAATACATCAGTTATGGCCAGTTTGGCTCAGCGGTTGGAGCGTCAGCCTGCAGACCAGAGAGTCCTGAGTTCAGTTCCTGCTAGGGGCACATACCAAAAAAAAAAAAAAGAATACATCCATCTGTTAAGTATGCAAATACATACAGTTTTAAGAAAGATGCGACAGATACCTCTGGAGAAGTGTAATGGAGGTGAAAAGAATTCTTTCTTTTCATTTTATGCCTTCTGTTCCTTTTATTTTATACCATAAGAACCTATTACTTTTATAATGAACCAAAGTAGCCCTGGCCAGTTTGGCTCAGCGGTTAGAGCGTCGGCCTGCGGTCCGGAGAGACTCGGGTTCGGTTCCCGCTAAGGGCACGTACTTCAGTTGCAGTTTGTCCCCGGCCCTGGTTGGTCGTGCGGGTGGCAGCCACTCGATGTGTCCCTTCACGTCGATGTTTCTCTCTCTCTCTCCCTTCCTCTCTCTCCCTCCCACTCTATCTGTACAAAAAATGGAAAAATATCCTCGGGTGAGGATAAAAAAAATAAAAAAATAAATAAATAAATATAATGAACCAAAGTAGAAACAATAGAGGAAAACTTCACCCTGTCCAGTTTGACTCAGCGGTTAGAGCGTCGGCCTGCAGTCCAGAGAGACCCGGGTTCGGTTTCCGCTAAGGGCACGTACTTCGGTTGCAGTTTGTCCCCAGCCCTGGTTGGGTTGTCCTGGTTGGGTTGTATGGGTGGCAACCACTCAATGTTTCTCTCTCTCTCCCTCCCTCCCACTCTATCTGAATGTCCTCGGGTGAGGATAAAAAAAAAAAAAAAAAATCGAGGAAAACTTCTAATATCAAATGCTGAAGTGCAATGAAGTGTGTTGAGCACTGAGAAGAGACCACTGGATCCAGCATTAGGAGTCACTGCTCAGAGACCTGAATAAAGTGAAGAATCAAGAGTAATTCACAGTGAGTGAATTGCAAGAGCAAAAGTCCTGTGCTTGGCATGTTTGAGAAGGTCCATGTGGTTAGGACAGTGTGAGCAAAGGTGAGAGCAAAAAGAAAAGAAAAAGAAAAAAGACAAAAAAGTGGACAGGGGCAAAATACATAGGGCTTTTTAGGGTGGGTTTTACTCCAGATGTCTGACAGTTCAACTGAAGGTTTCTGAGCCTCCCCTGGCAAACTCCAATTTTCCTTTAAAAGGATCTCCCTGGCTGCTCCGTGGGAAACTGACTAGGTAAAACTAGAATCAGAGAGATCAGTTAGGAGGTTGGTTCTCAGTAGTCGAATAAAGAGATTGGTGGTTTAGACCAAGGTAGTTGGATGAGGACATGATAAGAAATAGTTGGGTATAGAGTACATGGTTGAGGGTAAAGCCAAGAAGACTACAGATTAATTGGTTGCAGGAAGCAAAAGAAAGGAGTCAGAATGATTCTTCAGACTTTTGGCCTTAACATAAAATGGATGTATAGTGATGTCATTTACTGAAATAGAGAACGCTAAGAAAGGACAGGTTTGGCGAAGAATATCCAAAGTTCAGTTTGGATATGTTAAGATGAAGATACCTATCAGACACTCAAGAGATACTGTGAAAGGTAGCTAGATAGATGAATCTGGAATTCCAGATAAAATCTGCTCTGGAGATATAAACCTAGGAATCATTAATATACAGATAACATTAGGAAGTGTGGATAGATAAGAGAGGAGTGTGAAGATAAGTAAGTGGTGCCCTGGCTGGTTTGGCTCAGCAGTTGGAGCGTTGGCCTGCGGATCAGAGAGTCCCGGGTTCGGTTCCTGCTTAGGGGCACGTACCAAAAAAAATAAATAAAAAGAAATAAATGGTAAGGCCTGGCTAGAGTGGCTCAGTTGATTAAGTGTCCTCCCACGCACCAAAAGGTCAACAGTTGGATTCCTGGTCACCCTAGTTGTGGGTTCAATCCCTGGTAGGGGTGTGTGCAGGAGGCAACGGATCTACCTATCCCTCTCACATTGATGTCTCTCTCTCTCTCAAAAATAAATAAAAACTTTTTTTTTTAAGTGGTAAGCGCACCACTGCTCAGGGCACTTCCAACATTTAAAGTGAAAGTTCCAAAAAGGAGACTGTATAGTGGCCAGTAAGGTAAAGAAAAACAAGAAAAGTATGCAACTCCTAAAGTATAATGTAAAGAAAATCTCTCGCCCTGGCCGGTTTGGCTCAGCGGTTAGAGCGTCGGCCTGCGGTCCTGAGAGACCCGGGTTCGGTTCCCGCTAGGGGCACGTACTTCGGTTGCAGTTTGTCCCCGGCCCTGGTTGGTCGTGCGGGTGGCAGCCACTCGATGTGTCCCTTTCACGTCGATGTTTCTCTCTCTCTCCCTCTCTCTCCCTACCACTCTATCTGTACAAAAATTGGAAAAATGTCCTCGGGTGAGGATAAAAAAAAAAAAAAAAAAAAAAAAAGAAAAAAAAAAAAAGAAAATCTCTCTGTCCTTCTAAATAAGATTGTTAGCTGACTGTACCATCGCAAGGCATTTAGCACACACGGCTTTCTACGGATGACCATGACAATGAAAATGAATAGCTAAAGTGCATATTATAAAGTCACATCCACATTACCTATTTCTACTGTATCCCAACCTGACCCCAAGCTTCCCGAGAATGAAAATGTTTGATGGCCTCCACGGCACCTCGTACAGTGGGGGTGGGGGTGGTCCGAAGACCGTCTCTGCCCTAACATCACGACAGGAAGAAGTTAACTCCAAGGCTATCTCCACTCGCCTTACTGATCTGCGCGGAGGTCCACCAGACCCCGGCAGGCACCCCGGCTGCACCCTCCCAGCACCGCCGGCGGAGGAGTGAACTGTCAACACTCCCACGCCCGAACCCAGACCGGGGCGGGCGGCTGGTCGAGTCCGACGTAGAAGCCGCCCCAGCAAGGTGCCCTCGGGCCCCGAACGCGGACCACGGTGCGACCCGGAGCTGCAGAATATGCACCTGGATGACTCGCTGCTTCAGCTTATTATCCAAGAAACCTGCGGGTCGGGGCCTCATCCCGTCTGTCTCCGCCGCCACAGCCTGGGCGCCCGGCCTCACGTGACCGGGGGCCTCCTCCAGGCTGACCGCGGCAATCGCCGGGCGAGCCGCGCCCGAAATGCGCCCCACCGGCCTGGCCCACGCCGTTCCCCGCAGCGCTTTTGTCCAGCGAGCGAAGGGAAAAAATCTACCGAGGACAATGAGCAGACTTGCAAAAAACATCAGGGAGTTTCTAGGAGTCTTATTTTGCAGGCTCGTCCAACAGGCCCTGGATGACAAGGACCCCTTTGAACAAGCTCAACTTTATTGTTTCCAATTGTGCGAACATGTGCTTGCGGTGGCTGCGGGGAGGCTTCCGCCGGGGCTCTGTCCCTGGTGCCTGTTGGTAAACGTGCGTTTGTTTGTCTTATTTCCGCTGTTGCAGCCACATCTATATTCGGGTGCAAAGTTAGTCTTGGCCCAGAATCTTAATAAAACCAAAAGCTGTAGATAGTTGGGACGATTAAGAAAGGATCAAAACACCGCCCCCCTGCTGCTTGCTTTTCTAACCTAATTACCTACGTCTGGATCCAGGTTGACAAAAAGGTTAGGTGTCAAAAGAAGGAAAAACTGGTTCACCCAGATAACTAAACCATCTTGGACATTTGGAAGTTATTTGACCTTACGCCATTTTTTTTTTTTTTTTTTTAAATCCTCACCCGAGGACATTTTTCCATTTTTCACTCAGAGCGGGAAGGAGAGAGAAGAAGAGAGAGAAACATTGATGTGAAAGGGACACATCGAGTGGCCGCCACCCACACGACCCAACCAGGGCCGGGGACAAACTGCAACCAAGGTACATGCCCTTAGCGGGAACCGAACCCGGGTCTCTGTGGACCGCAGGCTGACGCTCTAACCGCTGAGGCAAACCGGCCAGGGTGACCTTATGCCATTTTTGACAGATAAGTTGTGAGCAAATCCAATGCAAGACTTCATCTTGGTCCAGAATTTTATTAAACATAGGTATTTGCCCCCAAGAAGTTCATTTTCAGTTCAGACTCAAGTAAAGGGACAATTATAATTAATCAAAGAAAAAAACAAAACAAAACAAAACAAAACCCGCCGGCTTTAGTTTCTGTTAGCTTGTTTAATTGTGTTTTCAATATTCTTATTTAGATGGAATTAAGAGAAGTCGGTGAGATGTTAACAGGATACTAGTAATTTATTTTCTGTTTAGAGTTCAGATTATAGCACTGTTTCAATGGTTCTTATCTGAACAAGGAGTAAAGTATAGAGTCTCACTCTCATATTCAAGACATTGGTCAACTTGGCTCTAACTTCAACTCTTCCTCATGTATTTACTCTGCTTTTCACGAAGTATTATTGCCTGCATTTACACAATGCATATTTATTGGAGGCCTACTATTTCACAGGCACTGGGGACAGCAATGACGAAACAGGCTTCTTTAAGCTTCTGTGGAGCTTACAGTTCTATGGAAAGGTAATGATAATACACAAATAAATTATACACAGTATTTTACTCCCACTGACATTTCCTCTTGTCTATAATGCCTCTGCTGGCCAGCCTGTGATTTTCAGAATCCTAGCTAATCATCTCCCTTTTAGCCTTTCCTGATATTTCCCCTTCTCCACCCATTGAACCCTCCTCTCATTCATTCAACATGTATTTATTGAGTGCCTACAAGTTCCAATCCCTGCGCTGTCCTTGGGTCTTGTGAGAATAGCAAAAGAATTAAAATTGTAACTTTTATAACATCTTTTACAAATCAGATTAAGTATAACATCTTTTTAAAATTAAAATTAGGTGTGTTTGCATGTATTAAACTTTAGCAACGATTTCCTAAAGCAAATGGCACAAATACAGTCGATGCCCAGTAACTTATTTTATTTTATTTTAATCTTCACCCGAGGATATTTTTCCATTGATTTTTTTTTTTTTTAAGACAGAGTGGGAGGGAGGGAGGGAGGGAGGAAGGAAGAGAGAGAAACATCAATGTAAGAGAGACACATCAATTGGTTGCCTCCTGAACAACCCTGACTGGGGCCAGGGATTGAACCTGAAACTGAGGTACGGTGCCCTTGACCTACAGTCGAACCCAAGACTCTTTGGTCTGCAGGCTGACACTCTAACTGCTGAGCCAAACAGGCCAGGGCAATGTCCAGTAACTTTTTTTTTTTTTATCCTCACCCGAGGACATTTTTTCATTTTTTGTTCAGGTAGAGTGGGAGGGAGAGAGAGGAATATATAGAGAGAAACATCGACGTGAAAGGAACACATCGAGTGGCTGCCTCCCGCACGACCGACCAGGGCCGGAGACAAACTGCAACCGAGGTACATGCCCTTAGGGGGAACCGAACCCGGGTCTCTCTGGACTGCAGGCAGACGCTCTAACCACTGAGCCAAACTGGCCGGGGCATTTTTTTTTTTTTTTTTTATCCTCACCCGAGGACATTTTTCCATTTTTTGTACAGACAGAGTGGGAGGGAGAGAGAGGAAGAGAAAGAGTGAGAAACATCGATGTGAAAGGGACACATCGAGTGGCTGCCACCCGCATGACCAACCAGGGCCGGGGACAAACTGCAACCAAGGTACATGCCTTTAGCGGGAACCGAACCCGGGTCTCTCCGGACCGCAGGTGGGCGCTCTAACCGCTGAGCCAAACCGGCCAGGGCAACTTTTTAAATGTAATTTAACTCCATGCATGCCACATGTACCACAAAGAATGAAAATAGGCTGAAGGGCCCCACAGCATCACAACATACACCAAGCAGCATAGTTTATTAATCTATAATTTGTCATGGATATGAGAGGGGTACATTGATTCACTGCCTACTGCACGCCCTATACTGGGGATCGAGCCCCAACCCCGGGCATGTGCCCTGACCAGTAATTGAACCAGCAACCTTTTTGTGCATTGGACAATGGCCAACCAACTGAGCCACACAGGGCAGGGCCACAAAGGGCTTTGTGCTCAGAAGGGCCTCACCCTTGGTTTAATGCTCCATTGTTGCCATCTTGGAATTTTTTTTTCGAATTTTTTTTCCTTTATTGATTTTAGCGAAAGAGGAAGTGAGAGGGAGAGAGAGATAGAAACATCGATGAGAGAGAACATCGATGGCCGCCTCCTGCATGCCCCCCACTGGGGATTGGGCCCACAACCTGGGCATGTGTCCTGACCAGGAATCGAACCGGTGACCTCTTGATGCATGGGTTGACCCTCAACCACTGAGCCACACCAGTCAGATACCATCTTGGAATTCTAAATAGCACTTCTTGAATAAGTTGCCCCTTATTTTAATTTTGCACTAGGCCCTGTACACCTTTAGAGAAATGTTTATTCGGTCCTTGCCCATTTTGTAATTAGGTTATTTGTGTATTGAGTTGTAAGAATTGTTTATATATTCCGGATGTTAATCCCTTATCAGATATATAATTACAAATATTTTGGGCCTTTTTACTCTGTTGATTGTTTCCTTTGGCACACAGAAATTTTTAAGTTTGATGTAGTTCCATTCATCTACTTTTGCCTTTGTTGCCGGTGTTTTTTTGTGTCATATACACTAAATCACTGCCAAATCCATTATCATGAAATTTTCCTCTGTGTTTTCTATAGGAGTTTTATGTATTTAATAAAATCTGGCCTAATTTGAATAAAATCTCCCCTTATAGTCTTATTTGGTAGACATTTATTAACTCCAGCTATTTATAGGATAGAAGATATTTGGGGTATAACAACTACTAAAATCATAGTCTAAGGTGTGGCTGGCTAGGCATGCAATGAAGACAATGTGATGAGTGATCTGCTAGAGGTATGTACAAGGTACAGTGGGAGTGTAATGATAGCTGGTTTATACATAATCTGTTACCAGTCCATTTAGCTTTAACCTATGAACCCTGTACGTGAAATTTCTTATGAACCTATGTGGTATCAGGACAATCCAGTTGGTTTTGCCTTCATTCTAATCCCTCTATTCACCCTCAATTCTCCTAAGTGATCTCCTTGCAGACAAACTTGTCTCCTTTTCCTGCATTCAGTGCACCAAACAGAAGGATATTTAAAAAATGTAAACCAGATCAAGGTGCTTTAATATTAAAACTCTCCAGTGGTTTTTTATCATATTAGAATAAAAGTCACACTCCTTGCCAGAGGTCCACAAGGCTCATGAGACCTTGTCCTGCCCACCTCTGACCTCCCAAAATTCTCTCACCATTATTCATTGTACTTCAGCCACATTGGCCTCCCCCCCCCCCCCATTCCTTAAAGAGAGCATGTAAGCATGTTTCTGTGAGCAGTCGGGCCTTTGCAGTCACTGTTTCCACTATCTGAAACACTCTGCCTGCAAATCTTCATGTAGCTATTCAGATTTCAACTTAAATATCACTTCCAGCCTGGCCTTCTCTTATCAGTCGCCAAGTGTTTTCCCACCTCACCCCCATCCTTTTCAAAGTACTTATCACTGCCTGTCATTAATAGATTTTTTTTTTTTTTTTTGGTGTGTCTCCCTCACTGTAATGTAAGCTACAGGAATGTAGGGATTTTTTTCTCTTGTATTCATCATGCATCCCTAAGTCCCGTACTTGGTATATACTAGCTGCTCAGAAAATATTGGTTGGATGAATGTATGACTTTGATGTACTTTGCTTATTGAGCTTATAACCCATTGATATAATGGTGTGGGTTTTTTTTCTGTATTTAGTTGCTACTTTATTGCCTGTTCCACCCACCAAAGAGAGCACCATCTTGAATGCTTTGCTCATTTCTGTATTTCTGGAGTCTTGAGAAGTTGTTGGCATTTAGTAGGGGGTAGAATCAGGAAATATTTTTTAAATGAATAAGATAACATTCAATTTTCAAAGATATTAAAATCGAGAGCGAAGAGAAACATCACTGTAGCAGAGAAGAAGCAAGGGATTGTGAAATTTCCGGAGAAACTGAGATTAGGCAAGGCGAGTCTCAAGTGTCAAGCCAAGAGTGTTAAGGTTAGATTTATGCTTTAAGATGAAAATCTCCTACCATTCCCAAGTCAGGGGATCCAGTGGGGTCCAGCGTGGAATCAAAAGAAAATTTCTCACATGGCAAAGAAATTCTACTGGGTATCCATAAGATTACAAGCGTTCCGAGAATACTCACTGATTACTTCCTTGTCACAATTTCTTGACAGAATTAGGTTTAGAGTCTTTGCCCATCTCTTGCCCGCCCGGTATTCGCGCTAGAGACTACTTTTCCCGGCATGCATCAGGGACGGACTACAATTCCCGGCATGCCGCGCCTGGGCGGAGTAGCTCACACGCCCCAGCAAAGAAGGTCAGGGCCTATCAGGAGCGGGGCGGGTCGGAGCTCCAGAACCGGTTTGACGGAAGGAGCGGCGCCGGAGGAGGAGGAGGAGGAGGAGGAGGATGGAGGCGGTGGTGTTCATCTTCTCTCTCCTCGACTGTTGCGCGCTCATCTTCCTCTCCGTGTACTTCGTATCCTTGCCTGAGGCGGGCAGAGGCCTCCCTGGGGCCCGCCGCCGGAGGGACGGGCTGAGGTTGGGCCCGGGTGGGGACCAGGGCAGGTGCGTGGGAACGAGGGAGGCGGCGGGCGCGGGTCCCTGGGCGCGGGCCGCCGGCGTGGCGAGCCCGGGCAGGAGGAACGCCCAGCTGCCGCCCAGGCTGCCGGCCAAGGGTCCGAGGGGGCCTGTCCTGAGCGGGGCAGGCTCTTGGCCTGCCTTGTCTGGGCTTCAGCGGAGAGGGGTCGCGATTTGCCTCCCTTTGGACCCTCGGGAGACAGGGTTGCGGTTTTCCTGGGAGATTTCCTGGGCCGGGCCCTTGGTGGGAGGCGACTGCCCACGCCCGGGGGTGCTCGCTCCGGGACTGCGGGCTTCGGGAGGAGCGGACGTGATTTGCAGCCTCTCGGGGTTCTCTGGGCACCACCCCCGCCGCCCGCCCCTTTGTTCTCGCGGGTCTTGGAACTTGCAGGGACCTTTCACGTCCCGGAGTTGAGTCTTTTCAAAAACGGGTGAGGTACCTCCCTCACGATGCCGTTTTGTAGGGGGTGTTGGGAAGGGTGCATTTTAGAAACCATCTGCAGTGGATTATTTTGGTGGCCCCTGGTTGCAGATCTGTGAGTTTAGTAACTATTCTCAATTTTTACACCTTTCCGGGTCCGTCCATATTTAAAACTTCAGTATTTTGTAGAGCTCTTCATGTTACGGTATTTGAACAATATTTCCAAGGCCAACCAAGTTGTTAAACCTAGCACTGTAGAAGCTGTGTGGGCAAAAACTCTTCCTATTCTTGGGGCAGCATCTAGTCATAGTTGTCGCCCAACTAATTTAAGTGATTAAATACAAGCTAGGAAACATGCAAGAAAAACTGCATTTTTTTTTTTTTTTTGTCTTTCCTTGGAAATTACCCATGCCCCTTTCTGACAATTAAACGTTTTGTTCGCGTGAGTCTGCTGGCTTTGGGATCGCTGTACAGAGTGCGGCTTCATACTTGATTAAGGTCAGGCAGCCTGTTGTAGTGGGAGTCAGGGTTTGAAATCGGGCCTCCTTGCCCTTGGCTGTGCACATTATTTCTCTTGTAAGCCTTAATTTTCTCTTTAAAATGGGGAGGGAAGTGCTTACTTCCCAGGTATGTGTGTACAATGAAAACAGGTGCTAAGACCTAGCAGTACCTGTCCGATGGCCCATATTCAGTAAATACTGCTCTGCATCCCCATCCCCCAGTTGTGCATCATGTATGAGGTTTTGAAGCTGAAAGGGCAGCATCATTTGCCTAAATTTTTATAATCTTCCTCTACATTGGTTTTCAGATAGAGTGGGAGGGAGGGAGGGAGGGAGGGGGAGAAAGAGAGGGAGAGAGAGAGAGAAACAAATTGATGTGAGAGAGACATAGATAAGTTGCTTCCCTTATGACCCCAACCAGGGCCAGGGATTGAACTCCAACTGAGGTACCTGACCTTGACTGTAACCAAACCCTTGACCCTTTGGTCTTCCAGCTGAAGCTTTGACCACTGAGCCAAACTGGCCAGCGTCATTTGCCTAAGTTTTGATGAGCTATGTCCCTCTTATGACAAAGAAGTGGAGGTTACACTCAGATAAATGAAACTTGGGTTTCTCTTTTTGCAGTTTGGAAAATTAGGCTTGATATGTTAAAATAGGCTTGGCTTATATCAATTTAATATACATAGAAAAATGTTAGGTGCACCCTGGCCGGTTTGCCTTAGCGATTGGAGCGTCGGCCTGCGGACCAGAGAGTCCCAGGTTTGGTTCCTGCTAGGGGCATGTACCAAAAAAAAAAAAAAAGTTAGGTGGAATATTTGACTTAGGTAGACATTAAGGTACATTCATGGTGTGTTTTGATGAAATTCAGCATATTATATTTCTGTATTTTGGGGTGGTTGCATTAGCTTACTGTTAGAGCCAAGAGGTAGAAAATGGTCAGGGTAGATTTTCTGTAGTGATAGGAGTTTTCTTGTACTTTGAACTGTGAAGAAAACCTGCAGAGAAGGAAAGGGGTGGCTCTTTATAATCACACAGGCAGGAGCAAAGGTATGCTCATAACATTTCTGGGTGGTGGGGTTAAGGAGCACATGGAGCACGTGGTTGATTTTGGTGGTAGTAGCAGCTCAGGTTGGAAAGGCCGGATTAGATCAGATTTTGGAGGGCTTGAATGTTAAAAAGAGGAGGGCTCTCACTTTTATCTTCTAGACACTAGGGATTCATTGAAAAAATATGACATAAAGTGGTGTACTAGAAAGATGAATCAGCAGAATGGGTTGGAAATAGGAAAGATTGGAAGGTAAGGAACCATTAGGGTTCACCTGGATTTGAAATAGAGTGCTCATTGTGGGCAGGTGTAAGGAGGGATTAGTATTAGGAAGAAGTGATTGCTAGGACCTGGTAACAGTTGATTATGAGATAGAAAACAGAAGGCAGACATAACTTTTCATATTTTGAGCTTGGGCAAATGATGCTTGTGTTATCGACAGAAATAAAACAAATTGGAGATGCAACAATTTGTGGAGAAAGTGGTAAGTTTGACTTTAGCTGTGTTGAGGTGATAGGGGAACATCTATATGGAAATGTTTAGAATTTAGTTGAGAACATTTGTTTATACTTGCACTGTTGGACATTTTCAAATAAAAGTAGAGAGCGTTTCTATCACTCACCAGTGATTTTCACCGTTTTACCATTCTTTTTCATCTCTCCTAATAGTTGGGGTGGAACATTTTTCTTTATTGATTTGAGAGAGAGAGGAAGGGAGAGGGAGAGGGAGACAGAAACATTGATGAGAGAGAACATTGATTGGCCGCCTCCTGCATGCCCCCCCCCCTGGGGATCAGGCCCACAACCTGGGAATGTGCCCTGACTGGGAATTGAACCGGGGACCTCTTGGTGCATGGGTCGATGCTCAACCACTGAGGCACACGGCCAGGCATATAGTTTTGTATCCTGGTTTGTTTTCTATATCTTAAGTTTTCAAAGACATTTTATGGATATATCATAAATAAACACTATTTTCTACTATTGAAAATTCAGGTTTTTAACATTTACACTGTTTTTATAGGTCTTATTTTTCCATATCTTGTAGCCACTGTTTGACATTTGAGGAATTCAGCTCGAATGTTCTGGTATGGGTCACATTAGAATTGAGCATAATGAGACCATTATTTTGTGGAAATCATTTGTTGCAGGAACACAAATGAGAAAATTGTGTTGTCTAACAAGTGAGCTTTAAGGAAAAAACTAAATTGTTTTCAAGTCAAGTCTAACTCTGCCTTGCAACTGGGATTGCTTTCTGAAACTTAACAACAAATACTTAATTGTTATAAAAGAAGTCTAATAATTCCTTATCTTCATAATCAGATAATTACATTGTCTGATTTAGAATGCGATTACATTAATGCTAGATCATGTTGCTCGAAATTAAACAAGGTAAGACATTTCTTTGTTCATTTTCTGGCATTGAAGGTAGTTCTCTGTTTTCTGTATTAGAGATTATTAGAGGTAATCAACATATGTACTTGATTTCAGAGTGCATATTATCTCTTATTGGAATGTTGGTAGAACTATGTGTTTTGCAATATTTTAAATTATGAAACTGTACTAGAAGACCTAACTTGGAATTTTGTTTCTTTTGCCTCTTATCCCCTTGTCCACAGTAGACAACATTATTTCTCAGACTACGTAAAGGGTTCTTATGAGGGTAATTGTTTTTGTGTGTCTAAGCCCCTCCTCCCTGCTCATGGGAAAAAAGCTCAGTCTGTCTTTTGAATGAAAGACCTTCTTTTTGTGTCTTTTGGAGAAATGCAGTTAATTAGCTGGTTTGTTTTTTGTTTTTTGTATTTATCTTTAGGTAGAGTGGGAGGGAGAGAGGGAGGAAGAGAGAGAGAAAAACATCGATGTGAGCGAGACACATCAAGTGGCTGCCACCCACAAGACCTCAACTGGGGCTGGGGACAAACTGCAACCAAGGTATGTGCCCTTAATGGAAACTGAACCCGGGCCTCTCTGGTCCTCAGGCCAACGCTCTAACTGCTGAGCCAAACTGGCCAGGGCAGCTGGTTTGTCTTAAAGCCATTTTACCTTTGGTATATAGTCAGAATTTTATATTGGCAAAAATATTCTGAATTGCAGAGCTTGTCTAGATGCAGAGAAACCAGTTGGTCCTGATTCATTTAAGTTGAGTAGACAGAAGAGCTTTCTAGATACAAGTTCATATAACAAAATAATACTGAGAGGTGCTTTTGGTTTGACCTAAAAGTGATCTGCATGTGTCTTTTCACATCTTGAGTCTATTTAAGTTTCTCTGGCCCATGAGGGAAATAAAGATACAGTTGGATAGTTAAAATTTCTTGTAAACTATATTTCTTCCTTTTTTTATTCTTTTCGTTTTTCTTCTTCCTTTCTTCCTTCTTTCCTTTCTTGCTTTCTGTTACTCTCTCTGTTGAATTTTTCAGAACATGGTTTAATATAGCGATAAATTTAAATAAAAGGTTTTGTGTTTATCTGCTAGGCTTTGAGAGTTCTTTTAAAAACTTTATTTTTTGAGACATAATTATAAATAACATTAAATTAGTTTCAGGCCTTAGCTTTAGAAAAATGACTACCTATATAATCAGATGGATTGTGTGTCTTTTTATATTTGTTTTCTCAATATTTTAGATGGGTATTTGTTGTTTTTTAAATAAAAATCTAAATACAAAGAAAAAGCTTATCTGGATTCTTTTCCTGAGAAAATTACCCCTTCAATTTGAAGTTAAGTAGTTTTTTTATGTTAATTTTTATAGTTGTCTTTTCCTAGATTGCACAGCTAATTCAGTGCATGAATTCCACTCCAGATTTGTTGGACTTTGCTACTCACACTATATTAACTTGGTCACATTTAGAAAGTGCATCTAACTGGTTTAAGGCCCAGAAAATCCCTTCTTTGTTTGCAAAAAAGTAACTAAACTCTAAATGCAAGAAACCTGGGGCCAGCATGCCTGGTCTTTTTTTTTTTTACTTTTAGAGAGAGGAAGGGAGAGGGAGAGAGAGATAGCTGAGCAAGAACATCAATTGGCCGCCTCCTGCATGCCCCCCACTGGGGATCAGGCCCACAACCTGGGCATGTGCCCTGACCAGGAATCTAACCGGCGAACTCTTGGAGCATGGGTCCACACTCAACCACTGAGCCACACTGGCCAGGTAGCATGTCTGGTCTTAAACTATATTAGTGTGCCACTCAGTAGCTGGGCAAGTTACTTAATCTCTCTGTTTTATTTCCCTCATTTCTGCAAGTGGGAAGTGCCAGTTTTGGACTCTATAAATATTAGCTGTTAACTTTTATTAAAAGTTAAGTTTCTAGCCCTGGCTGGTTTGGCTCAGCGGCTGGAGCATCGGCCTGTGGACCAGAAAGTTCCGGGTTTGGTTCCCACTAGGGGCACCTACCAAAAAAAAAAAAAAAGTTTCTACTCCTAGAAAAAGACCATTGATGAATTGAGAACCTGCCACACTAGCTGTTGATGCATGAGAACAAGGATATTGCCCAGTATAGATAAGGGTATTGGGTGTCATAAGGCAATAGGCTGGGATTCTGGCATCGGTTCATTTTAATATTTGTTCAACAGCTTGAGCTATTAGTGTTAAAGTACTATTTGTGTGTGTATATGTATAAATTAGTGAATGTGAAATGATTTCCTCTAGGATTCTGGAGATTGAAAAATGTTTAAGATTGATATTCTGACATGAAAGGCAGCATGTATGTGGATATACCATCCCAAATTAGAGTAAGAGGCTTTAGCATAGATATTGGAATAAAAAGTAAATAGCCTTGGCCGGTTTGGCTCAGCAGTTAGAGTGTTAGCCCGCGGACCGGAGCGTCCCAGGTTCGGTTCCCGCTTAGGGCATGTACCTCGATTGGAGTTTGTTCCCGGCCCGGGTTGGGTTGTGTGGGTGGCAGCCACTTGATGTGTTTCTCTCTCACATCGGTATTTCTCTCTCTCTCTTCCTCCCTCTCTCCCTCTCACTCTATCTGAAGATAAATGCAAAAATGTCCTCGGGTGAGGATAAAAATAAATAAATAAATAAAAATAAAAAGTAAATAGTACTCTATTTCTCCCCTAATTGTCATTCATACCTGCATAGTGAATAAATTGGAACCTTTGCTTAGGATAAAACATAGTTGAAATTTAAGCGCATTTGTTATAAGCGGTGCCCTGATGTGTCTGCATGGACTAAGCGGTTACAGCAGTTTGCAAATCTGGGACATTGAGTCTAAAAATATCTTGAAACACTAGCTGGGAAGTTCCCTTTACCATCATTGATTTAGCTTCAAATGACATGTACATTCAGCAAGAACCCAGCAGTGAGATGTAATACTCTTGTTTTTCCCTTGCAGTGGGTAATTCCAGAATTGATTGGCCATACAATCGTCACTTTATTAATGCTCGTTTCATTGCACTGGTTCATCTTCCTTCTCAACTTGCCTGTTGCCACTTGGAATATATATCGGTGAGTATAGTTTGTTTACTGTTTTGTGTCAAGAAAGTTTAAAGAAAACATTAAAAAAAATTTCACAGCTTTCTCTTCTCCAATAAAATATATGCCAGTCATAAAATCAATGAGAGCAGAATGTGTCATTAAATCAGCATACATTTTTGTTCACTTTGGTGTACTGGGCAAGTAGCATTATGTAATGTTTAGCTGTGATGTTTAAAGACTTGTGAATTTTTTTTATTGTGTTGAGTATCTTTTTCCTTTAAAATGATCAAAAGCCTGAGAATATAATATAAGGTCCTTGTTATTTACATCAGCAGTTTTAAATTAGAGTGTATTTGGTCCCTGGCCGGTTTGGCTCAGCGGTTAGAGTGTTGGCCCGCGAACCAGAGAGTCCTGGGTTTGGTACCCACTAAGGGCACGTGGCACGTACCTTGGTTGCAGTTTGTCCCTGGCCATGGTTGGGCTTGTGTGGTTGGCAACCAGTTGATGTGTCTCTCTCACATCGGTGTTTCTCTCTCTCTTCCTCCTTATCTCCCTCCTGCTCTATCTGAAGATAAATGCAGAAATGCCCTTGGGTGAGGATTAAAAAAAAAATTAGAGTGTGTTTGGAATGCTCCAAAGAAAATTTTCATTTTCAAACCTGCAAACTAGATAACAAGTATTTCTACTTAATAAATTTAAGAAGTTTGTTCAAACAGCTCAGTAGAAACACTAATTGGATATTATTTTAGTTGGGCTATTTGTACATTGCATATTTTCTTCTGAAGTACTATGGAATAATCTTGACAAATCTGGGATAATTTTTGTTAGTCAGTTGCTGCCCTACTAATTTTTAGGTTTTATTTTTATTTATTTATTTATATCTAGTTTGTTGTGTGTTTTTTTTTTTTTTTTGGTAAAATCATTGGCTGGTTTTTAAGTGTGATTTTCTTTTTTAAAGTCCATTTAAAATAAGAAGGACATACTATAATATTGTGATAACTACATATGGTGCCAGGTGGGTACTGGAAATACCAGAGGGAACATTTTGTAGAGTCTAACCTCTATGCTATATACCTGAAACTAATAGAAAATAATATTGAATGTAAACTGTAAATGAAATAAAAATCAATAAGAAGGACATAGAAAAGGCTAAAGGAAGGATGGGGGAGGATAGGAAGCACAAGAAAAGCTAATGGAAGGTGGAGGTGAGGGAGTGAGTGGACTAGGGGAATGATCTTATAAAGGTTATGAGACTAGAACCTGAGCTAGGGAAAAGTCTTTAAATTTCTGTACCTCTTTTCCAGAGTGTGGGTCCAAAGGGGTACAGTTGTTTGTTTTCTTTTAAGTTTCTTATTCTCCCATGATCATGCCATAGACCACCCTCTAACCTGAGATCAGCACTGAAACAGACTCCTCACACTTATGGTGAGGTGTGATCCCACACAGACTTTTAGCATCGCTCAGTATCCCTGTGATCCTACTAAGTGGAACACAGATTTGGAGGTGAGAGTGGAAACTTCTGACACTTTGGATCTTAATGATACCCCAGACCACATCATCGGTCATTTCTACCAGAAGTGCAAGTGTGCCAGAGGAAGAGCAAGCTTGGACCTGACTTCTTTGTATATGGTACATACTGGGGTGAAAAGCTCTCTGAGGTTTTATTTGGCAGCAGTAACGTCATAGATTCTGTTTATAATGATGAAGACAAAAATCATGTGTGTTTATTTCCCTGATAACGTCAGTGACATATTGACTGTCTCCTGGTTACAAATTTACCTTTTATTTAAAAAGGTTAAAAAAAAAATCTACAGATGAATCATTTCCTTTTCAGATATCTGTACTTTATGGTATTGGGGATACAGACATATATGTAATGGATTCTACCCACAGGAAAAAGAGGTGGAATGTTGAATAACAAATGAGCTGGTTAAATAAGAGGTGGGCTGAGGCAGTGTAAGATGGTTCCCAGGTGAGTGGTGAGGACCCTGAGGCTGGCAGGAGAGTTGGATTACTGTGGACTGGGATAGTTCCAAGGAGCTCATGGCAGCCGAACAGAGCCCTACAGAATGGATAAGGTTTGCTAGAGATGAGTGGGAAAAGAATACTCCAGGGTGAGAAGGATAAGGGAGAGGTGGAAGGGAAAGCTTAAGCAAACACACAAGGCATGTTTAAGGACCAGTTAGGTTGAAATCACTTAGATGAGGGCGTAGTAATAGACAAACCTAGAAATGTCCATTGGGATGGGTCACAGAGAACCTTGAATGTTTATCCATGGCGTTTATATATAAATGTGAATACTGGTAGCATGAACTCCACCCATTAAAGTATACTATTTCCTCTATTTTAGTGTATTTATAGATTTAAGCAACCATCACCACAATCTATGTTAGAACATTTTCATTACCCCAAAAAGAAGCCCTGTGCCCATTAGCAATCATTCCTAGTTTCTCTCCTCCCCAGCCCTAGTCAACCAGCAGTCTACTTTCTGTCTCTATGAAATTACCTATTCTGGACTGACATACCATATAAAAGAGATCAATATGTGTCTTTTAGGAATGACTGGCTTCTTTCACTTAGCAAAATATTTTCAAGATTCACCCATGTTTTGGCCTGTATCAGAACATCATTCCTTTTTATTGTTGAATACTGTTCCATTGTATGGATATACCACATTTTGTTTATCCATTTGCAGTTGATGGGCATTTGAGTTGTTTCTACTTTTTGGCTATTATGTGCAAGTTCTTGTGTGGGCATGTATTTATCTTTCCTAGGAGTGGAGTTGCAGGGTCATATGGTACCTCTTATGTTTAACCTTTTGAGGAACTGCCTGAGTGTTCAAAAGCAGCTGCAGTATTTCACATTCCCATCAACTGTGTGTGAGGGTTCCAGTTTCTCCACATCCTTGCCAACATTTGCTGTTGTCTGACTTTTTTATTTTTCCATCCTTTTGGGTATGAAGTGGTATCTCACTGTGGTTTTGTTTTACATTTTCCTAATGACTAAGGATGTTGAATATCTTTTAATGTGCTTATTAGCTATTTATATATCTTCTTTGTTCTATTTGTTTTGAGTAGCTAAGCTGACATGAAAAAGATTATGCTTTAGGAAAATTTTTCTGGAAACACTATATAGTATTGATTGGATGAAGAAGAGCAAGAAATAGGGAAATGAGTTCAGTGACTGGAAATGAGTTCAGATAATCTAGTGGTGGGTCCGGGTTGTGATAATGAGAATAAAAAGAATACAGCTATGTGAGTGGTGCGAGGAAGGGAGAGTGGACAAGAGTTTGACTACTGCCTGTGAAACATAAGGAAGAGAGAAGTCAGAACTGAGGAAGAAAGTTTTTAAGGACCACCAAGAATCGGTCACACTGCTATTTGATAACCTAGAAGTCAGAGAAAGATAAGACTCTTAGAGACTATTTGAGTTGAGATGTTATTCGGATATTCAGAGGTAAATACCCTCTATTCACCTAGAGATGGGCTACTAGGATTTGGGGGAGAATTTAAGATTGGTGGAACTCAGAGGAGCATCTGCATTTCACAGAAGTCGTGGTTGAGAAACTACATGCTGGGCAAGAGTGAGGCAGAACCAGAGGAAGCTTGAACATGAAAGCAGGAAGAGGTCACGAACAGTGTTAGGCTGGGTATGCATGTGGCACAGATGTCAGTCTGGATGTTGAAACCCAGATATTTATTAAACTCATTGTTTCAAAGTAACTCAGTTTCCTTATTTGTAAAAGGAATCAGTCAAGGAGGAAGACTATCATGTGTAGCTATTATATACACAGTGCTATTAAATAAATATGAAATGTTACATGTTATCTGAAGAACCCCTAAAGACTCCTCTGTAGTATATAAAATAGTATTATCAAGATTTTTTTAAAAGTTGGAGTCTGTTCTGAGTCTGTGGGAACACTGATTGAATTGGTCTGGATTGGAACATAATGCATGCTTACCTTTATCTTCTGTGTTGATTTGTATCCCTGTTCCTGTCCTCCCACTGTGGTCATACCACCACCACTATAAACACTACATTTCTTATTTGTATATTTTGTATTTAAGCTGTATTTTTTTGAGTTACTTAAAGTCAGACATTACATTTTTAGTCTGAGCTATCCATTTACTGTCTTGCTTAAAGAGTTTTATTTTACCACAGAAGCATTTATTCGAAATAATTTCTGTCCTTCTTTAAATTGCTATTTTAAGGTAGGCACCATTTGTCAACCATGCAGATTGAGACATATATGTTGATCAACAGAAAGAATGGAGAGACAGAAATATCAATTGGCCGCCTCCTGCATGCCCCCTTCTGGGGATTGAGCTGCAACCTGGGCATGTACCCTGACCGGGAATCGAACCTGGACCTCTCAGTCCATGGGATGATACTCAATCCACTGAGCCACACTGACCAGGCTAGAGCCTCTCTTTATATTGTCATCTGTGGAATGGGAATTATTACATCTGACACTACTCTTCATTATAAAGATGTTGTGAAAATGAAGGGATTGCATACATTAAATTTAGAACTTTTATTTTATTTTATTTTATTTTTTTTTATCCTCACCCGAGGACATTTTTCCATTTTTTGTTCAGGTAGAGTGGGAGGGAGAGAGAGGAACAGAGAGAGAGAGAGAGAGAGAGAAACATCGATGTGAAAGGGACACATCGAGTGGCTGCCACCCGCACAACCGACCAGGGCCGGGGACAAACTGCAACCGAGGTACGCGCCCTTAGCGGGAACCGAACCCGGGTCTCTCAGGACCGCAGGCCGACACTCTAACCGCTGAACCAAACCAGCCAGGGCAAATTTAGAACTTTTAGATAGAGAAGTTTTTAAGAACTTGATAAAATTGTTTTGGAGCCCCCTTCATTTGGTATAATTGGTTCAGTGGTTTTCTATTCTTTTTTTTCCCCAATGTCCTTAATGATTTTTTAGAGTGAAAGGGAGGGAGAGAGAGAGATAGAAACACTGATGAGAGAGAAACATCCATTGGCTGCCTCCTGCATGCTCCCTACTGGGGTTTGAGCTGCAACCTGGGCATATGCCCTGACCGGGAATCCATCCGGGACTCTCAGTACATGGGACAACGCTCAATCCATTGAGCCACACCAGCCGGGCAGTTCAGGGGTTTTCTACAGAAGATGCATGAGAGGGTCTCAGTGCATAAAATATCCTTCTCTAGAGTGTTACTGTATTTGTTACTGTATTGTTTTAAAGGGCAGAAAATTACACCAAAAATTAACAGTATTGTATCTTTCTTTTTGGTTAATCCTCAATGGAGGATATTGTTCCATTGAGTTTTTTAGATAGAGTGGAAGGGAGGGATGTAGGGGCAAGAGAGAGAGAGAGACATTGACATGTGAGAGACACATCAATTGGTTGCCTCCCGCATGACCCTGACTAGAGTTGGGGATTGAACCTGCAACACAGCTATGTGCCCTTGACCTGGAATTGAACCTGAAGCCCTTTGGTCTATGGGCCAGTGCTCTAAACTCTGAGCCAAACTGGCTAGAGCTGGTTACTTAGTTTTGAATGTTTAAGCTGATGATTTGATTTTTCTTCTAATATGAGTGCATCCTTTAATTTAACAGGTTCATTATGGTGCCAAGTGGTAACATGGGAGTGTTTGATCCAACAGAAATACACAATCGAGGGCAGCTGAAGTCACACATGAAAGAAGCCATGATCAAGCTTGGTTTCCACCTGCTCTGTTTCTTTATGTATCTTTACAGGTGAGTTTAACATTGTGGCTTTTCCTGGATCCCATGCCTGCGTTTGGTGGGTGAGATAGTATACTGTAGGATTTGGCATTGACATTGCAGAGCTTTTGGGGAGTATGTGAATTTCTTGCAGTGTGTAGATTTTCTTTTATATATCATTGAATTAGCATTCTGTTTGATCTGCGAGTTACTCTATAGTATTAGTTATTCCTTAGTTGTAAGGTTGTCAACATGCTCAAACTGCCTTTGCTTCTCTTTTCCTGCCCTAGTATCCAGTTGTGAGGTCTCACTGCCTGTTATAAGTACTAATATATGTACCCCAAAGATTGCCCCACTCTTGGGACACCAGACTCCTCACAGCAGCTCTGAACGGCTTATGCCCAGGGTGGGGTTATTTTTCTCTAGCCTGCTGAGTGGTCTGTTCTGGTAAAATTGCACCAGTCTTTTGGTTATAACAGGTTGGAAGAAAGAATTAATATGAAGGATTGGCTGTCAGACACTGGAAGCTTTATGCAGTCCTGTTTTAAACTTAGATTTATTACCTTATGTTTTAAAGATAAACATGCCACTTTTTTAAAAACCTATCATAGACCCATAGATAAAGCAGAGGAAAAAGTATTGTCATGTGTGTATGTCTTGATTAAAAACCTTTATAATGCTAGACATCAGGCTTAACCTTTGTATTGAAGCTTACTTAGACCATTCCTCATTTTTTGCAGGTAAATTTTAATTTTTCACATAGGCATAAGGACTGTTAGGAAAGACATACTAAACTAAACTTCTGTCATTCAGAGGATTCCTAATAATTAGAAACTGGAGAGAGAGAGCAGGTTTAAAAAATTGTCATGTGTCTGAAATGGGAAGTCAGAGCCATTCTTATTCTTTGTGAGTAAGCAGGCCTCCTGAAATCCTCCGCTGTGCTGATTTCACCCACTAGCATAGAGGATATTGAGGTTGGAGTTTAGATGGTTTTCTTTTCGCTATTTACCTTATTTGCTTTTCTGTTTTTTTTAAAAACTAGGACAGAAAAAGCACATTGCTATTAGTTTCTGGTTCTCATACCCTACCTCACTGCTAATGTGCTTAATTTTTAATCCTAGTGTTAAAGATGAAGAATAAAGAACAAAGAAATAGAGAAATTAACAACACGATGGCACACCTGTTCTCATTTTTGTTATTTATTTATTTTTTTTATCCTCATTCGAGGACATTTTTCCACTTTTTAAAGTTAAATCATATGAAGGTATCTTTGCCATCATATATATATTTTGTTAATGTTTGTCTGTTTCTGAAGAGACAAAAAAACAAGTTGGAAACAGCTTAGCTCAAGGTTATTCTTTCTTCATCCTCCCCAACCCTCCAGGTTTTACATTGTTGAAGTCAAACTAGAGTGGCCATTCCCTGGTCTTCATAGCAAGAGCTTCCTGAGACAGCTGTGAATGCAGCCACAGTAGTCACACTTCGAGGAGTGAGTGCAGGTTTTGGGAGCAGTGTCTTGCTTAGTAGACTGAAGTCTTAGGATTTAAAAATGCACAAGTTTCTTAGTTCTCGGTTGTTGAATTTCAAGCAATGGGAACATGGGCTGAAAACTGGGGATTAGAGGAATCAGGAAGCAGTTTGGGGCAGGTTTAAGGTGTGGTTCTTTACAACTCAATAAATGACAGGCAACCTGTGTAAGGGGTTCGACTGAGTAGCTGTGTTCCTCCCTGGCTGCACCCTTTCTTTTTCTTTCTCTTCCTTCCATTCCCCTTTCCCCCTTAGCTTGTCATTTTTAGCCTCATTGTTGTTATCTTGCCCCTTGGAGTCACCCGTGGCTCAAAGGATCAGGATGAAAGTAGACTCAAAAGATGTCCTTGTAATACTTTGCTCTTAGCTTTTGGCTACTGTTGTTTAAAAGTGGCATTATTTTCAAAATTATCAGATTTCCAGTGCAGGCATTTTATGCTGCTGCCGTGTCGCTGGCTCCAGCTTGCATGGGTGCCTTGCACGTGGCATTCATTCAGGGTTTAAGTAGAATTAAAGGAAAAAATGCCCATTTTCTTTGGAGATTGGAAGAATCTATGCTTTTGGTTTGTTGTTTAGGTACTAGTCTAGGGGAATCTGGGCTCTACCATTTACTGTGTGACCTGGGGCAGGTTTCTTAACCTCTCTTATGCCTCAATTCCTTTCTCGGAAAATGTGATAGTGGTAGTACCTACTTTATGGATTGTGATGTGGACTAATTGAGATAATGCCTGTAAAGCACTTAAGTTTGTGCTGACCTATAGTAAACTCTAAAAAAATTTTTCCAGCCCAGCTGGTGTAGCTCAGTGGTTGAGCATTGACACATGCACCAGGAAGTCGCCAGTTTGATTCCCGGTCAGGGCACATGCCCTGGTTATGGGCCAAATCCCCAGTAGGGGCATGCAGGAGACGGCCAATCAATGTTCTCTCTCATCGATGTTTCTATCTCTCTCCATTCCTCTCTCAAATCAATAAAGGAAAAAATTTTTTTAAAAATTCTTCCAACATATGAGTTACTTCCACTGTTAATCTGTACTGTGCACTAAGTACACTTAGTATGGTTAAATGTGGACAACTAGTCTTTATTTTTTATTTATTTTTTTTTTTTATCCTCACCCGAGGACATTTTTTCATTTCTTGTTCAGATAGAGCGGGAGGGAGGGAAGGAGAGAGAGAGAGAGAGAGAAACATCGACGTGAAAGGTAAACATCGAGTGGCTGCCACCCGCATGACCCAAACTGGCCGGGGACAAACTGCAACCAAGGTACATGCCCTTAGCGGGAACCGAACCTGGGTCTCTCTGGACCGCAGGCCGACGCTCTAACCGCTGAGCAAAACTGGCCAGGGCCAACTAGTCTTTAAATAACAATTTATACCATTAGTAATGTCAGTATTAGTAACATCAGGGTATTTCTATATATTTTCATCATTTGATCTCAGGAGAGCAAAGCTGATTCCAGTGAAAGGAAATGAGGGTTCTGTTACTCTGGTGGCCTTAGTAGAGTATGTATTGAGAGACTACGATGTGTCTGCCACTGTGTAAGTCACTGCAGGTGACACAAAGGAGCAGCACACAATCCCTCTGTAAAAGCTGGGAGCCTGGTATCACAGTAGTTGGGTGTTCTCCTGGAATATGCAATGACGATGCCTGGATCGTGCACTTGTGTCAGAAGAGCTCACAATCCAGGGCTGCAAATGGAAGCTGAGGCATATGAGAAGATGGGTTGTGGAGGGAGCCCGTGCAACTGCCCTGGGCTGAGAGGCCGGCTTTCCAAAGGAGAGCCTGCTTCTGAAGCCTGAGTATACTAGGCTGATGGCAGGATGGAGAGTAGGGTTGTAGGCATAGGGGTAGCATAGGGACTAGATAATTTGTTTGTTTTTTTCTGGACATAGTTTGTTTTTTCCTAAAGTATAGCCCAATATTGGTTTTAGATTATATTCCTCACTCCCACCTTGATGACCTTATTCTTTAGTGAAAAACAAAAGGTATCTTGAGACCCTAATACAGATTTTCTTTCCTTTAGGTATAAATGATTGTCTTTTACTCAAATGAGTGTTCCTTGCTGAGCCTTAGGGATGCAAGTTTGGACAGACCAGACTATGTGGGACTTGCCTAAGGAAACATTAGTAACCTTAATTTCTTCTCTCCACAGTATGATTTTAGCTTTGATAAATGACTGAAGCTGGAGAAGCCATGGTTGAAGTCAGCTACACTGCGGTGTGCAGTTGAGGAGCCAGAGACTACTTACATCATCCTTAGAACCGTAACCATAGCAGTATATTTTTTCCTCTTTGAACAAAAAAATATTTTTGCTGTATTTTTGCCATATAAACTATTTAAAAAACATGAATTGAGTTTTTGTAGATTTCTGGTACTCAACTTTAGCTTGAACCCCAACATGTGAAGGTGTTTGTCATCATCTGTGTATTGAAGATATTTGGATGTAGGAACAGGACTGCCATTCCAGCCTTGCATGCCAAAGAAACAAAGGACACACTTGCAAGGGAAAACAATAGACAAGCAAGGTGCTCATCAAGTTGACCGAAAAGTCAGAATACAAAACAGCACAGTTTATCTGGGCAAAGGAAGAAAGTCAATTACTCTTTTGCTAATACTGTGGCAGCTTCGTGTATTTAATATAGTTTAAAGATTTATGGGACTGTCAGCTAAAAGTCTTTTTATAAGGATGTTAATGGAAAATGATATTTCAAACATTATATATTTCTTTACAGAATTTGTGAAACCTTATAAGCCATTTGTCCAGGTACAATGTCATTCCTGCTTATAGGAAGGAAAAAGAAAATTAATCAAGAGCTTTCATTTAAAAGCCACTGCCTCCACAGTCACCCACAGACCCATACAGTCCCACTGGCTCTTGCCAGGTCTTGTTTGTATACTAATTGATTCAGTTGTATTCCAGCTCTGATAGACTTGTAGTGGGTTTGGAGAGGTGACTTGGTAGAGGATGCTCGCCAGGTTAGAAGCAGGAATAGCCATCGTTCGTGTCAGTGCCCTGCTCAGGGCCAGGCTGCCTGGAGTGCTGTCCTGCTGCACTGACCACTCCAAACTGGGAGCCCAGTACAAGCCATTCCATCGGCCCGGCGACGTTCAACCAAACTTTGTTCCTCGGAGCTACATTTGTAGACTCGCAGTTGATGGGAGCAGTTAACCTCTTTGGCTGTTTGCTAGGTAAAGTGAACTTGGCAGTTTATTCTCAGTCCTAGTTTGTGCTTTAATCTTAAGTGTTGGCATTTAGGCAAAACAGGATTGATTGTCTTTTATGGCAGAGTCCACAGGGATTATTCCCTCTGTTGAGGCAGAATTGGGTGGCTAAACAAGGCTTGTAGTTACCAAATGGTGCATGTCCTTTCGACCCTGGGCGAGGTCTAGCCTTGGCAGAAGCCAGGGAGCCAGCAAAACTCCCTATACAGAGAGGCCCATGTTTCGAGGGTGGACGCAGTGCCCGGGCCGCACTCGAACAGGGAAGCAGCAGGCACAGTGAACCTGGTTCTGGTGGCCTCTTTGGGGTCTCAGAGATTGCTCCTTGGGGTCATCTTGTATTTTTGCCAGGCAAAGAGCCAAGAAGCTGTAATACAGAAGTTACTTTTCCCTTTTTCCTTCTAAGGCACCTTTGTTAAAAAAAAAAACAAAAACAAGACAGTCTCTTCACTGCCTTCTCCCTAACTTCCAGTGCCCTTAATGTTCTGCTCCGGCTAGTACAGATGGCAACTGCTGGAGAACTGACGTCCTTACAGAGACAGACACGCTACTTCAAGAAGCTCAGAGGTGGTGGAGGACTGTTGACCAAAAAGTGTTATCTTCTTCTTCAGGTATTCTAAGTAGCCCATTCAAGCTCACGTAGTTGAGAGTCTGGTATCCGTTTACGTGCGGCTGGGCTTGCATTGCTGAGGCTGAGCACATCAGGAAGGTGCCTCGCTTGCAACAAAACAGGAGCTCTTTACTTCTGAAACATGAACTGTGCTTGAAAACAAACAAAACCACCCTTCTTGTATTGCTTGTCTGTATCAAGCCAGGAAAAGGGGATAACTAGTTTTTTGTTTTCATTTTTAGGTGCTTCTTTACAAATGATGTAAAGGGGGAAAAAGCACAGACTTTCAAAGCTGTGGTTAAGACGCTAAAGATTAACTTTCTGTGCTTTTCATTGATGGGAGAGTTGCAGAGGCCTTAGATATCATTTGGTTTAACTTCATCTTAAGGACAGAGAACTGAGGCCTTGAGTTTGCATCTGGAGTCCTGATGGTTAGTCCAGTGCAATCTCCTTGTCGCTCCTCTTCCCTGTCTCTGTGGAGGCACAGTCCCCAGGGCCCAGCCAGGGCAGACTACCACGGGGTGCTCCTGTGTGCACAATATTTTTCTCTGTTGTGTCATTTCCCCTTTTCTTTCAGCCCCTCATTGGTACAGGTGCCCCAGCTAATTTCTGGACCTCAGCTGAGAGGGCCAAGGCAGCAGATCTAAGAGGCAGCTCAGGTCACCACAGCCTGGCAGGTCCCCTCGGCCACCTTTTCATGCCACACCCATGACAACAGTAAAAGCCCAAATCTGATTCCTCTTACCCGGTCTCTGAATTTGAGAGCTAAGAAAGCTGCCTGGGGGTGGGGGGCACTTGATCTCCCATGGCGCTTACCACGTTCTGTCTGGTATTACAGTTACTTTTTTGCAACTCATCTCTTACTAGATTGTACGCTCCTAGAGGGCAGAGCGCACTCTTATACATATTGTATCTTCCTCCTCCTGCTCCTGGCACCTAACACCGTGCCTTGCACACACAGTAAATGAAGGTTGAATGAACAAGTAAATCTGATTGTGTTATTCTATTGCTCCATCAGCAAGATGTCTACATCAGAGGAGCAATGGAGCAACATGATCAAAGCCCATGTCTTTGTTTTCAAGGCAGTCAGTCACATGAGATGTTCCAAGTCATGCTAGACTAGCAAAGGAGACTGCTCTACCTGCTGCACTGGAGACTTGTGAAATCACCTTCACTCACAAGTAATATTTCGTCAGGAGTAATTGTGGTTAAAAGTGTGTGTGCTAGGTGCAATTGTTCCAACTATGTAAAATTGTCCCAACTTGTTCTAATATGTAGAAACAGGCGGCAAGATAGAAAAGGTAGGTTTGAAAATTTGTGCTTATCATCTAGATCTCTGCCACCTGAGTTTATGTACTTTAAACCAAGTATACTTTTTGCTCTGTAGTGTACCAGTCTGGAATATTTTGGTGTAGTGAAATTTTCTTCATGGCTGTTCAAAGAATGGGCTAGTTTGGCTTCCAGGGTTTGTCAGTGAAGCCTTTTGGCTTTAAGCCATACTTTTTATGAAAATGCTAAAAGGTAGTAGCCAAATTGTTTTGCTTTAGTTAAATAAATTAATGACTGAGGGTCAAAATGTTAGGGTTAGCGTTGCAACCTGCAGTAATCACAGTAATAATCCACAGAACTATAGATTTGGTTAAAGGAACTGCTCACGGAGTTAGCTTGTTACTTAGCTCAAGTTGCTCTTTAGAAGACATTCCTTGATAAGAGCTTTTTTTAGTTGCCTCCCTTTGAAGCTGGGTAGGGAAGAGTGGGGTGGTCAGAACAGCGAGCTGAGAGCTCAGAGGTTTGTGGCTTCCTCTGCTATATATTTGGTTTGCTACATCCGCAATGGAGCAACCGTGGTTTCTTCTGTATCAGTTCCCAGTCAACATTAGAACCTAGTCAGAAAGTTAATCCATTTAACAAATACTTACATTCCCATTATCCAGTGCAGCATCTTGCATGTCAAGTACTGAGGGGCACAATAAGATTCTGAGCTACACACTACGTCCAGTCATCTTATATCTGCTGTTCTGAGCACCTTATAAACTTTGGGCAATAGGCTGGTACTTCAGCAAGGAAGGAGCTTAAATCCTTTGTCTATTTTCACAGCTCAGTTCACTCAAAATGATGATCTCTGAAGGAGAGAGACAATAACATGGAATCAAGTTCTAGAGCCTTAACGTAACACTTGATATGATCAGCAGCTGTATTTCACAGATTGGATACAAACTGGGTGAGACTCAAACCTGATGGTTCAGCGAAAAGCAACAAGTTTGGCTGTCACTGTATGTTCTCTATCAGAAAGAGCTGGAGGGCAAGACTAGTCCTCTGTTACTTGGTAATTTTCTACTTTACTAGCTACAGTAATCAAACTCATGGGCATTCTCGTTTCATCCATAACCTTCCCTCCCCCACCCTGTTTTGACTCACCGGACATCATTATATAATAATTATCTGTAAGACAAGGGTTCTCGACATACACATACACATACACTACCATAGTACCAATGTCATATATGAACTATAATTTTTTGTGTGTGGTACGTGCCCCTAGCGGGAACCGAACCCAGGGCTCTCTGGTCCACAGGCTGACGCTCAACCGCTGAGCCAAACTGGCCAGGGCTGAACTATAATTTCTTTTTTTTTTTTTTTTTATCCTCACCCGAGGACATTTTTTGATATTTTGTTCAGATAGAGTGGGAGGGAGGGAGAGAGAGAGAGAGAGAGAAACATCGACGTGAAGGGACACATCGAGTGGTCGCCACCCACATGACCCAACCAGGGCCGGGGACAAACCGCAACCGAAGTACATGCCCTTAGCGGGAACCGAACCCGGGTCTCTCTGGACCGCAGGCTGACGCTCTAACTGCTGAGCCAAACCGGCCAGGGCTGAACTATAATTTCTTAATGCTACATGCCCATTGCTCATTTTGCAGTTGATTTGTTCACATTGGGATCCAAACAAGAGCTGTACATTTCATTTGGTTAATGTCTCTTAAATCTCAGTTTCTGTTTTTTCCTTGCAATTTGTTGAAGAAACTGGGTCATTTGACATAGTGTACACCCTCCAATATTCTGGATTTTGATGACTGCATCTTCTATCCTAACTTTTAAGTCACTCTTAAAGAGTTGGTTGTGATTTTACTGTGTGCATTCTCACACATTACAATGCTGTTTGGTAAGATGCTGTTAGCTGCTTTTATAGATAAGGGGACTAGGTGTTGATGGGTTAAGTAACTTGTCTAAAGTGACACATCAAGTGATAGGATTTATATTCAGGTCTAATGACTCCAAAACCCATGATTTTAACCACTATATAGTTATAAAACTTCAAGATACTCAAATTTACTGTGGAGATTTTCCTCTATAAAACTTCATGAATCTGTCTGTTTTGATTGCTTTAATTATATGGAGAAAAGTATCTAATATGTCAAAAGTGTTATTTTCTTTTATGAATTATGCAGTTAACTATAATCAGTAATATGGGCCCTTAAACTGTTCACCTGTCCTTGACATGTTTTAACAGTTTTATTCCGAGGCAAGCGGCCATATGCAGACTAAGGGTTTGGATGGTGTAATGCTTAAAAACATGAGTTCAAAGGCACCTAGCTTTGAGTCCCAGCTCCTTCAGACCAGTTACTTCGTTTCAACCTATTTCCCTCATTTGTAAAATGGGAATTAGAGTATCTGCCCCATAAAGCTACCTTGAGAACCCAATGAAATGCATATAAAGTGACTCCTCCAGTGACTGGCCCAGAATAAGAATCTAGTACATTAGCCCAAACGAATACCTGTTCTGTATTAATGTAGTGACCAAAGAGGCATGCAGTGCTTAGGTTAGTCCCTCTCAAAACCCTTT